GTCTATTGATGTCATGCAAGCCAAGCTTGAGTACATAGTTGGCAAGTTGATAGTCTGCGCTAAATCCAAGAATTGGTTGGTCCTCACTACCTGGGATGCAATCCTGCAATGGTATGTTATTGTTCTATACAATCCCAAATTACTCACCCCCCGCTTCCAGCTGGCTGCAGATGCGTTATCCCATGACGACCTCCACCCGCGCCTCATTGGTCCGCTTTTATTACGAACTATGCCTTCTGCCTGGCATAGAAGTGCGGGTCATCCGTAGCTGGGCAGATATGTTGTACCGCCTCTTAGGATCCAAGACCGTTAAGCGCAAACTTGAGGCCACTGACCTCCAACTCCCCTGGAAACCCCTATGGGATGTATTGTACAAAGAGCTGTTCCCCAAGAGCCGCCTCGCAGAATTCCAGTAAGTGTGCCACAACTATGTTCAAATGCCAGTGTTTAATGCAATGTGCACAGGGGAAATCGTAACTTAAACAATATATTGCTGTATGTTGCGGAAAGCTGTAAGCGCTATTTCCCTGCGACTGATATCCCCGATATGCTCGAGACGTTCTTGCCTATCCTCACGCCCGATGTAAGTCCTAGATCTCTTGGGATTGATGGATCCCTTACATTAATGCTACTCAGACTACATTGACGATGATACCTGTCCTCACATCGTTCCTTCCGCCAACCCACACACACATCTACCTTCCCGTAATATTCAGGATTTGGGAAGCTTTCAATTCGAACATCATGGACGATAGGTTCCTCGAATTCGCTGGAATCCTCGCGGAGGAACACGTTGCTGGTCAGGAAGGACCTGCGGGAGAGGAAGGAGGTGCCGCATGGAAAGATGTCGGTATCTGGACACAAGAAGAGTGGTTGATGCTTGTCAGTAAAGGAATTGAGTCGCTGTGTAGGTTTTTTAGTACACTTGGTCAAGATCCCGTTGACTTCTTGTTACAATAGATGTCCCTGTGGGCAATTCGAGCGTGAGTCATTTCTTTTTCTCTCTTCGCACAGCGATATCCAACTAAATTCTAGCAGAATATTGCTGCTACAGCTGTTCAGGCAGATGCTTCCGCGGCACGCCAAGGTTCCAAAGTCAAGAAAACAATTAGTAGGATCAGTCAGTATCTTCAAATCTTCTGTGCCACACGAGCAATCCTAATCCCTGCAGGTTCCATGGCTAAACTATTTGTGTACTCGATGGCCCTCGATGGTCCAATACGCGGAGATTCCGCATCCACTCCTGGGTCTCCCAATAGCCAGCCGATGGGATACTTGGCCGGTTCGAAGGCGCTCGACTCGTTAGACAAACTGATTACAAGTACAGAATCCTTCTTTCATCCATCAAACTCCGGTCACTGGACGTTCACGGTGCGTTTTGTGCTGAAATAGGTGGACTTCTGTTGATATTCCCACTAGCTCACGAATTTGCTGCAACGTCTTACTGTCGAGTTTGCCGACAGATGGCTCGAAGAACAGCAACCGTCGTGCAAAACTCCCGTGGTACGTACGACATCAGAGCTTGTTGCAGTTAAATCATGTGCACAATTTAGGCACACCGTCTCACTCCTTCTCTTCGCCGAGCGTTCGTCGATGTTTTACGCACGCCTGCGTTCCTTGCCATGTTTTCCAAAGATTCCTTTTCTATTAGCATGGCACAAAGTGCACTGCGCACTATGGCATTGCTTGAGCCAACGCTCATCATGCCTGAGCTTCTCGAGCGTGCCTACGGTGGCCTGGAAGTGGTAAACGAGACCCACCGCACCACTGCAGTGTTGAAGATGCTGTCCGGCATTTCACTTCCGCTTGTCTCAGAGATGATATGGAGGCCGGGACAAAAGCACCTGCTTCCTCTTCTCGAACTTTGCCTTCCTGGTATTGATCTGGTAAGATACTTTACACCCTCATAGCGTGCGCTTGTTTCTCATCACGCGATGTTTAGAACGACCCCAATAAGACCATTTGTGCTACTTTATTCATCGTCAGCGCCATGCAGCATGTGAAGATTGGAGATCTCTCCATGAACCACTCTGGTTTTGCTTTGTCTGGGGATGCGCCAGCGGAAGAACTCATGGAGCTTGATGCCGAGGACACCCGCATCCCTGAAGGTGTCGAAATGAGCCCATTCGTTTCACTGGGCAGGCAAGAAGAGAGGACTCTTGTCCGAGAGAGCACGGCAGGCTTCGCAGGTGTGGTTGTTCCCTTTCAGTGAAGGAAAGCTACTCACTCCCTAGTAGATTGGGTGACGTCCCTCTTTCGCAGAGTTCTAGCTTTATACGAGAATCCTTCCTGAGGAAGGTGGGAAGAAGAAGACTACCGGCGGAAAATCGGAAGAGACCGTTCTGAAATCGATCAAGAGCATGCTTGACGTGGTCACCTTGCACCTCTCAGACCAACTATTCGATCTCGTGTTGAATCTCGTTTTCGAATACGCTGTGACAAATGCAAAATCTAACGCCATCCGAGCGTTCGGGCAGCTCGTAGCATGCCTGGCACGCGCACAACCTCAGAAGACGCTGGATAAGTTTTTGCCGTCATGTATCTCACGCATACAAGAAGAACTCAAGTACGGAGCTTCGAGCGTTAGGACAACATCAGCACACGATCTGGTTCCATCTGACACAACGTTGCATTGGAGTGAGTGGCTTAGCTTGTTCTTTGTCGGGCATCTAAACGATTGTCTTATCAGACATGTCAATATTGCGCGGGTGTCTTGCGTACGGCGCACATGCTGTGAGTGCGATCTCATTCCGTAGTAGTTTTGAGTTCCCAAATGCGTTATCAATTCTAGCTCCTCAACCACAAAGAAGACATCATCAACCTTTTATCGTTACTGTTGAATAAGACGAAGAACGAGCGTGGGTACACGGGCACTGCCGCGATTGTCGCTAGAGTGATGCATGCGCTGTCTGGTGTCTACCCATCTGACAACCGCTTCGTGAATGAAGACGTATGGAATCAACCTGGTCGGTCACGTCGACACCACTCCCCCTTACGCAACTGATTGTTATTCAGAGTTTGGCGAGTCACACAACACACAATGGGGTCGACTGTACGAAGCGAAGGATGTGAAGGTGGAATGGCACGGTGAGCATGATATCAATACGCCTGACACAACTGCTAACCATGGGATATCAAGTTCCAAGCACCGAGGAAGTGCAATTCATTCTGGACATTTTGGATCGCGTAGTAGCTCCTGCGCTCGATAAGATAGAGACCTTGGCACGGTCTACTCAGCATTGGGATGAAGTAATCAGGAATGACTTCTGCAGGCGAGTTGCAACACAACGAAGATAGCAGTCCGTTAACATAGTTTTCACAGGTACCTCTTGTTTGCGAGGTCTGTCTGGAGCGGCCTACCGTCATTCCTGAAGGAAGGATCCAAAGACATAGTACACCCATGCCTCGATCCAGAAACGGAACTGGAAGGACTTCTTGTTGATCATCTTGATGTCAATGCTGGATTTATTCTCACTGATCCCAATGATCCTCGTTACCAACAAGCCTTGCAGCATCGCATTCGTTTTGGCAATGTCGCGCACTTGGCCGCGGTCGCCTTGCGCCAAATCCAAGGAGGTGAAGATCATTTGGATGCTGTCGTCGCTGTCGTGAAGGCCATCGACACTTACTTTTTGGATTACGGAATGAGTCGGGGAGACTTTATCACACTGCAAAAGAATTTTGCACAGTCGAGAGAGTGAGTTGTCCAAACGCAAAGTTTTTTCCTCGTCTGACGTAAACCAGGGTAAACCGAGTGTCGGCAAGGCAAAAAGAGAACTCGCGAATTGCGTGGGTAAAAAGAGCACAAGTCTACCACTGTGGCCGGCTCTATATCCACGCTTTGTATCGTCGAAGATCGTCCCTGGACGACACGTTACTGAAGGAAGACCTCGCGGAGCTTTGTTTGTCACCATACACGCGAGTGCGACGGTGAATTCCTTGATAACATCATTCGTTCTTTGTCATAACCAATTTTTCAGCCTCGCTCAGAATGTGTTGCACAGCGCATGTGGTGTGAGTACACATATATTCTGGTTTGACCTCGTGGTGACCTCGGTGCAGTCCTATGTCCGCGCGACAAGATACATCTTGCCATCTATTTTCAACGCGCTGTCGAAAGGTAATGATCCTGATAGGATCAAGGGCGCTTTGTACGTCCTTGGTAACAAAGGCACTGGTATGTAGTTTTACTACGTCTTTCAGCATGATCTGATTTGAGATCCGCAAAAGCCGCACTGACCATGTCTGGTATGTCTCAGCAATAGTGAGTATAATTGATTCTAATCACGCGCAGAGCCACCGCTACGACGGCAATACCTGGTTGCTTTGCTAGAATGCCAGCACGAAGAGAAAGTGAGTGCAAGTTGCAATCTGTGGCTCTGAAACCCGTCTAATTTCACAATAGCCATCGATACAGAAGCTTGTCACTACTTTCTCCACGGAGTGTCTGATACACCTCAGTGAAGAAGTCATAAGGACTTCTGCATACACAGCCCCTACTCCTGGGGTTGAAGCCTCTATTCGCACTCTTGAAGAAGAGTTCTCGCCTGCTGTCATTGATAGAAAGTTAACAAAGGCAGCGGTAGAATGTGCTGCTAAGCGTGTAAAGCGATGCTTGGAAGAAACCGAAAAGACTGTGCGTATCACGCTGTCGATGCGTATGTTGATATTGATATTTTGTGATAGGTCCGCTCTATTCTCGAGATCGCCTCTCGGCCCACCACACATGTACGTTATTCATCATTGTCGTTCAACAAATTCAAGCAAGGTTTTTAGTGGAGATATGTACACATGGCCATGAAGTTTTTGATGGGCTTCCTCAGACGCGACGCAGTGGCTCCTCCGGAGTTGGTTCGCTTCTTCATGGAACAAACACTTAGCCCACAACCAGGAATAAGGGCTAGTGCTGAGCAGTACGTGCTTTTTAGTCAAACATGCACCCCATCGATTCATTTAATTATTCGTTTCTTTACAGGGCAATCGTGAAGACCGCCGTTCTCATGAAGATACGAGCGTACGCTAAGACCGATGATGAGCTCTGGCTCTGCAAATGGCAGAGTCCCTTTGCGAGGACTATTTCCATCGATAACCCGTCTGCTTTCCTTGCGCAACTATACCAACCTGTTAATGAAGTCGAGTAAGTCGAGTTATTTGTCGTGCAGAATTTGTTGTTCATGCGCTTTATTAGTGGCTTTTACGTCGACCTTCTAGACACTGGTTTTTTGGCTTGGACAAAGGTCATCAAATGCTATCCTGTGAATCTGAGCAACTCAGTGTCATGGGACTCAGCGTCAAGGCAGTGCTTGCAAGCTATGCACAGCTTTATTGGAGAAGGATATTTTACTCAGCTCGCAACATTGTGGAGCCAAGAGTCCAGCAAGGCGTCCGGTTCACCGCATCTTCATGCAGAGAACGTGATTTTTATGATTACTCTAGGTCCTCGTGGTTTCTGTTCCATCTATAAACTCGTTGCTGACCCTGCTGCAGCGAAGTTGTTTAATGGCGAACACTTGCATCTAATTCTTCCAATTGTCGAGCCATTGATGACCGATGCGGATAAGTTCAAGCAGGCGGCCGCGGCTGAGATATTGACTGGACTGCTGCGCGGTATTCTTCCTGTTCTGTACCGTTATATTCACATCTGATGTGCTTCATCACAGGGTCCAAACACTGGCCCAGGCAAACACGAGAGGAGCTTTGGTCTTGGCTCACCCCGCGCTTTGACGTAATTCTCGCTCAGGCGAAGCCAGATACTGTTTCATACTGGACTTCGTTCCTAGAGGTATATTGTTCCGCAGTTGTATCGAGAAACATCACTCATTGGCTACCGAAAAGCATACCTTACTGAACCTCGACCCACGTCGCTTCCAGCCTTTGGTCAATTGGATATTATCCCTCCAGCTTGACTTCCAGGGCGACTCTGCGTTTTCCAGTAAGTTTCTTTCTTGTCATTAGCCCTGTTATGCTCATTGTCTTGCAGTGACGAAAGCTCTTAACATTATCGTTGTGTTCATTGATTCTGTCGGTGTCCGGTTCAATGGCGTATCTGAGAAATATGCATCGATTTTCTTCGACAACGCGGACTCCAACTATGCAGAGGTATTTGCTTGATACAGAGATACCGTATCCGTGTGTCTCATATCTTCTGATATAGATAAGAACTTCGATAGCCAATGCCCTGTGTCTGATAGCCAAGTATCAATGGAGACCAGCATATCCCTCTGTGGATGCCCTCCTCGCGGCATGTGCAGAGAGTCCAGATCCGCTTCGAATCAGGTATTTCCCCTCCAGTGGTTCCTCCGATATGGCACTCAATTTCCATTCCTTCTCAGCCAAGGGTTTTTCTCTTATCATGTACAATCGATCATTGATAATCTGCCCAAATGGAAGGACGAACGATTCCCTCCGCCTAGAGTTTCACAGTCCCGGGTGGGTATTGACATATTTACCGGAATTCTCTTTCTTACGTTCATCTTCAGTATGACAAAGTCGGCTTGACTAGTAGGATTCGCGATTTCTTTTCATCTGAAGTTCTAACCGAGACCCGACAGTGTTGCTCTGGCTATGGGTGTCACTTTATAGCCCTGAAGCTTGTCTCGTCCGTCCTCATGCCATGGCTCTGCTGTTTGTAACCTGTTCATTTTACTGTATTATTCCGCTAAAATATCTTTAGACCTGAACTCTTGAGCATGTCAGAATTAAGCGACAATCCGGAACTTCAAAAGTACAGCAGCGCTGTGCTTCGTGTGTTTTCCTCGGTTCATCTGCCGTCTTCGCTTACGCACATCGTCCTGGAGAACCTGGTTTCGGCCATTCAGTCATCTGAGGTATATTCGTTTTACCTAAATAATTAAAAGTATTTATCTGGAATTTTTCTAGTCATGGCGAATTCGATTGCATGCATTGCCTGCCCTGGTCGTTTTCTTCTATCGGAACCTCTTGACGATTTCATCTAACGGCGTACTCAAAATCATGGATGTATTACTTGATTGTTTATCGGATGAGAACGTCGAAGTTCGAGAAATGTCGTCCAAGACCCTGTCTGGAGTTGTAAGATGCTCACAACGGCAGAACATAATTCCATTGAAGGTGTGCGATGATAGCCTCCGTAAATTTCCACTGATTAAGCTCCGTTTAATTCAGAATCGCTTCATATCATTGGCGCGCAGCGTAAAGCTCCCCTCGCGTACACACCATGACTATGGAGAGTCACTTAGGAAGTTGCATTCCGCTATCCTTGGCCTATGTGCCCTTATTGAGAGTTTCCCGTACTCTGTCGAGCCCTGGATGCCGTCCCTCACAGAAGGTCAGTGGATGCTGTGAACTTTCTTGTCTGAAACTCATATCCGCTCGCTATAACTCTCTTACTATTTTCGATCATCTTCGTCAATACAGTCCTAGCGAGACACGCAACAGATCCGCCGCCGATCTCGACGACGATTCGTCACTGTGCTTCTGAGTTCAAGAAAGTAAGATCCTTTCCAATTGTACACTGATTTGACCTCACGAACATTATTTCTATCTAGACTCACCAGGTAAATTACTTCCGCGATCAATGACAATCTTTGTCGCGCCTTACCATCGATTTTACAGGATACCTGGCATAAGGATCAACTAGCCTTTGACGAAGATCAATTACAAAGCCTCTCCACGATGCTTGTTGGTACTTCATATTGTGGGTTAATTGCGTCTGTTATTGGGGCTTTGTCTAATCAACGGCCATATCTACAGACGCCTAGATAATGTTTCATAGATTAGCATCGATCCGCGCCTCCGTCAGGACTCAGCATCAGCAGGACGTTCGTATTACATCGCCGTATCGACTATGTATAAATTAGGGCACATACTTGATGTTCGATTTTAAGTATCGGGTCTTCTTCAAAGAATATTTGTGTTATCGATGATTAATTCCGCCTATGCCTGCGACAATTTGGCGTGTTCAGTATCGGCAGTAGGGTCCTCTATTCCCGCCTGGATGCTCCAGCCGAACAGGAGCAAAGCTTTGTGTACCATTAGATGTAAAATCCGAAAAAAAAAGAAGTTCTAAGGCTTGTTGGCTCGCAATTCATCGGCTCGGAACCACATGATGGGCCGGTATATGTAACTCCTGGAGACGGCCCATCAGCGCGTGTGTTACACGTGTTCCGGTCATTTGAATTAGTGCCTTGAAATATGTGCTAAGTCGGCTGATGATACAATCGATGACCGAGCCTAGTACTTATAATCATTCAAGCCGTCAGAAAGGTTTCAGAAAGGTCTGACTTTCGTCAGATCTTCGTGCTTTGTTCAGGGTTTGGTTCATATGGCATTATCACGTTTGTACATTCCACAACCCGTAAAACTTTGACCCGGGACTTCAAACTTAGAATTGCAGCATACGCGACGCGTAAATCATGCGGTCATAGGAAGGAGCAGTAGAAAGCGCGCTTCCCGTAACTTCTAGATATTAGCGGCATTATGTTCATATCGCGATGGAGTTATCCCCGAGCCAGGTCATCATCGATGGCAACTGATTTGAAGAGATAAATTGATAATGATAATGGTTCGACTTGACATATACTGTGCGCTTCGTGCGCACGTCTTCTGAGGCGTCACGGTGATTATCTAGCCGGATTATAGCGCCATCAGCAAGTCAGGAGAAGGTTCCGAGGCACGGTAGGAAGTGCGTCTAATTCATGGTTGCAAGTTCTTGTGACTTGTACCCCAGAATTTGGAGCTGATACGCGAAAAGTTATCTGAATTGTGGGGCAGATTTATGCACGTTCGATGGTCGGGTCTTTGGTTAGCCCCTAGTGCTATGAGCAATGAACACTACTCCTGCCTTTTTTGTGCTAAAAGTTCCGAAATCCAATCAAACAGTGCCCCAACGTATCCAAGACTCGAGTTCCCCGGATTTTGTTAATAACATGGTATCGGAACGGCGGTTGCAACGTTGACGAGTCCCATATATTAGAGCAATTAAAGTGGATTTAACGGAACACAAATAGCACCATATCAACTCACGTGAATTGGCATGGTCAAGTTAATCATTGACTCGGACGCCGACATAAGAAATGGAAGTTTGAACCCAATTCAAAGACGATAAGAATGGCACCGATGAATAGTGGTGATACTGTGGATGGGCGCAAAGACGCAAAACGTGGTGATCACGGACGGTGCATGCTTGCTTCGTATGACTGTTCGGTGAGTGCTCAATTGAGGCGGTCCTTGGGATTATTTCACAGAGCGGCGAACCATGGAGGTGCTGCGGCTACATAGCATCATGGCACGGTCGTGGGACAGCATCAACACGTGTTGGGTATAGTGTGTTACTTTGGGGTTAGTACCCTTGATAGTATTTTACGAATGTTTGATTTCTAGAAGGTGTTCCGAGTAATACATTTGCTTCAATAGAGTCTTGTCGTCGTAGCAAACGATCTGCAGCTTGACGCTATTGATTTTCGGGTCATCAATTGCGATGCACGTGTATCCAAAATTAAATTTGAAATTGGAGCCAACGAAAGTAGCATGCAAAGACACGGCCTCAAGGTAACACGAGCCTATAGCTGAGGAATGATTTGGCGCCTTATGAGGAGCAGCGAGGAGCACAGTGGATGGATTGTTGAAGGGCTTGGTGTAGCCGCTGCAGACTGCAGTACGGCGTTGTCACGTTTAGGCCGATAGTTACGACATCAACAATGTAAACCAGTGCGAGCCAAGTGAATTATAGGCCAGGCCCTTGGTCTAGGTTTTCGGTTCATCTTTTTTGTTTTGACCACGACCATCCACGATCCAGGTTCTTATTTTTTATATTCTCTGCGAAGACTTGCTGTTGCTAATTGAATGTTTACTTTGACAGTATCTAATAGTTCTTATTTTTGAGACGAGGGAGCGCCTAGTAACATCTCCAAACCTCATTGCACAGGGCTCATTATAATTATTGGCAATCGCCGCCGCAAGAAGGGCACGTTGCGATCAAAACCCCTTCGCAAGGTCAGTCAGGGCTCCTCCCCTTTGCCTCATTTCATTACCATAACCTCCAAGAAGATCTAAAACCCTCGACCACCACCCACTTTGCCTCTTCAAACTCTTGACCTGGGTCCTGATCTTCAACACGCGACCCCGGTCCTCACGACCTCCTCACGCCTCGTTTTAGTTCATCTCACTTTTTATACCTATCTTGTGCTTTCTCTTTAGATCTTTACTGCTTGTCTTCTTGCATTCTATCCAGCAAAACGTCGACGGCGGTCTCTATCTATCAACTCACTTAGCAAATCGTGCTCTCAACATCGCATCACCTATATCCTATACATCATCGCATCTTTGATTATTCTCTCATACCGCAACGCACGACAGATTTTTATCCAGCAATCATCGGTCGCTCATCAGCTTGTTAATTAACTGGTGAGTCAATTTCTTTGCAGCGTGTTTTTGCTTCGCTGACAATTCCCATTATTTAAATCAGATTTAAATGCAAAAGGTGGTCACCGCTACTACTGCACCCACACACAATTTGTACTTTGCACGCGAATCAGGCTCAAGAAAACCCATTTCAGCTCGAGCACAATCAACGGGTACACCTGGTTGGTCCCAAATTCCCCTTGAACATCACAACTTGAACCCAGACTTCACAGCCGAGGTAAGCCATGCGCTATCTCTCTAGACAGCCTTCTTATACATTCCCGTAGACTTGGAACGTTTCATCTGCGCAAGACTCACCGCCATCTCTTTCATCCTACATCCCCCGTCCAGCTTCGATCCAAAAACCTTTAGCAATGCCTGTTCGTACGAACCTCGTAGACATGTCAAAAACCGAAACCTCTGGCCATCCGTCTGAGCGTGTCCCAAATAACGCTCAACGATGGAGGCTCAACGGTTCGGGACAGCTCGTCGATCCAGACGCATCGCTCGACTGGGATCTTGCCCAGGATATTGCCAGGCTGAAGCTCGGCGCTGTAGGCGACCTTGGGGACGACATACAGGGACGACTGGGGCCTTCTCCTCAGTCCAAGCTAGGTGCTGCGAATGTAGCTCCATTCAACGATGCAAGTCCGCTGGAAACGGCTTCTGACGTCAGTCTCGACTCCTCCCCCAATACCTCTGATCATCAAATTTCACCGTCCCATTCTCGCGTGTCGTCCACTGATACACTGGAATCCCACGAATCTGCCATTTCTTCGGCCAGTCATACCATGCGCGGGCAGCCCCAGCTGAAGATAGCAACTGGAAATGAGGGGAAGGAGCGCCCTCACTCCTTCAGCGGTGGACTATCGACTGCTGATTTGCGTCGCCTAAAGCAAGCAGGGGAGGAGCATGTACATCCCGTGCCTGCTCACCCTTGGTCGTCTGCTGCTTACAGGGACCGCGTTGGTGGTGGAGAAAAGCCTTTTTCGCCTGAGCAGCCCCAGTACCCATCGCTGACCAACGCATCATTTGGTCGCGGACAACAGCAATTTGACTACCGTTCCGCACAAGGTAATGGGGACTTGCAGAGCGATTATGCCCCTCAGCGCAGCTATTTCCCCCAACCTACTGCCCCCAGTGCCGCCACACCACAGCACTTCCTCCAAGGTCGCCCGGCGAATGGGGTTCAATCTACCTATCGCCAGCCTCAGCGAGGTTACCCCCCACAACCGTTGGTCCCAAGCCCGACAGGAGTTGCCTATGGTCCAGCACATGTTCCTCACTTGTCGCTCGGTAACACTCAGCAACTCTATGACATGGTTCTCCCTACTGGAGACAGTCATCACCCAGCCGTTACTCGTGTGCAGCAACAACACAACGTTTTTCGTGGTGCTCATCAGCACTCTGCCTCGGACCCTTCCGCTCTGCGAGATGCTGCTACATTAGCGCTCCTCAGCAACCAAGCAGTTTTCGCACAGGCGACTCATGGAATGTATCCTCCCATCCACCCTGGCCTCTACAATCAGTTCTACGGTACTCCGGAATCATACCCCTCGGATCTGGCTGTCGCAGCCATGGCAAGCCGTCTGCAAACCCATTTCACTAGTCCGTATGGAGTGTTGCCAGCCCAAGGCCTGGGGGTAGACCACTCCAACCCAGGATCTGAGAGTCCTCTGCAAAACTCTGGTGGACCGAGTGCTAACAACCGCAAGCTCGGCTTGTACAAGACCGAGTTATGCAGGTCATGGGAAGAGAAGGGCTCGTGTCGGTACGGAGCGAAGTGCCAGTTTGCCCACGGAGAAGATGAACTTCGGAATGTTGCTCGTCACCCCAAGGTAAGTACCCATCTATGCTTGCGATACTGAGTATTGATATTATCGCATCTCAGTACAAAACAGAAATATGCAGGGTAGATTTTCTTCTTATTTTTTTTTCTTTTCTGATGATGATGGTGAATAGACATTCTGGGTGTCAGGTGCATGTCCATACGGGAAACGTTGTTGCTTCATCCATACCGAGTTGCCGGTTTCGGGCATCGCACCGGGAGCCGAAGGTATCCCTCCGCCTTCGGCCACCGCAAGCAATCGTGAGCGCTCGAATAGCGACCCCAACGAATCGTCGATATCCCTCCTTCAGCGCATCCAGCGTAAGGGTGATGCAACACCAGTGGATGCATCCCCGCCTTCGGGTAACTTCTTTAATTCTCGACCTCCCACCGGCTCGCTTCGCGTCGACACGTCTGCTCTCAATAATATTACGAAGCAGAACAAGTCGGCATATCCTACCTTTGCCAGCAATGCCTTGATGCTTTCAAGCTCCGAGCAGACACCTATGAAGTCTCCAGTTATTCCTCTGACAGCGGGTCCTGACCTGGGGCGGCACAACAACGCACGCCTGGATATCGTAGGATACAGCCAGGTGAGTATGTCGCGGCTGTGCAAAACCGATTCTGATCCAAGTACACTGTTAGCAACGTCTTAACAGGACGAGCGCCACAACGCCTAACGCCAGACACTCTTTCAATGGAACGGATGTAGATCTTGATTTCTCCTCGCCGTCCACACCTTCTGCTGCAACCCCCACAACGTCTTTCGCACTCTCGCAAGCCGATAGGGTATCGAACAATAATGCTGTTCCACGCGCGCACGTTAGATCAGGGAGTGCTGGAAACTGGGGCAGTGTTACTCGTAGTAGCAACCTAGCTGGTGTGCCTTCATACCCACAGGCTTCCGGAGCCGGGGAATCTTGGGTATCAGGTGACCTCACCAGACTCGCAGAAAGTTGGATGTAATACATCGGCTGTCGTGTTCAAGAACTTCGCCGCTTGGTCGGACGCTCTTTTGTGATGTTCCCTACCTCCCGTAGTCATAGTGGAGTTTACGAGACATTTCCTCATCTTCTACCTTACTTTGTACAAAAGGCTTTTGTATACCTCATCTTACGTCTTGTTTTCATGTGCCCCTTGTCACGCTTCTGATGATGATATTTTTCATGACTATCTCCGTGCGAACGTACACCCTCTCCATCTCCTCTCTTCATCAAATCTGCCTTTGGCTTCTCTTGCAGCGCATCGTAATCGTCGATTGGTGAACTCTCTTGTCGTCGAAAAGAATTACGTGCTGAGCTAGAAGTCGTGTTGCGCATGAACTAGAAGTCACCTTGTCCACCAAATGGCAAAGACAAGCCCGAAGGCATTTACACATTGATGATAAGCCCATCAGCTAATGCCGTCGCGATCGGGCCGCATATCAGGCAGAGCGTAGTACCTAACAATTGCAAAACCTGAACTTTGTACTAGTCAATTCAAATTCACCAAGCTTCCCCTGCAGCACCCTGCCTTATTACTTCAAAGTTGCCCAGTCGTTACGAAGAACCTCAGCAGCTTCTCATCGGAATAGTAGTACTCATCATGTTTCTCTCGACCGATTCACGGTGTTCTTAGTACGTAACATACACACTCAAAGGTGTCTCCGATATTCCAATTAATCTATTAAACGGGCGCACACGACCACCGCCCACGTCTATGTACGACCCCTCGCCCCTACTAAAAACGGTAACCTTGGATAATCGTCGGACTTTGGACTAAACCTCGCGCCGAACATACGGGTACTACTTGTCTTAAGCATTCTTGAACCTTGCCTAACATCCCGTCATCCCCAAAACCTTACTTGCCGGTTGCATAATTTGTTAGTGCACATGTTGCATATACAAGTACTTTTATCAATTCAAAATCAAATTTTCAGGTATTTTGAGTGATTATATGATAGATGATATATGGAAAAAACACAACTTCCTACTTATTGAACCATATATACTGCGCGGAAAGGGTCAAAAGGGTTTAGCAAAAAATTTACTAAGGACTATTACTGAGGTTGAGACAAGGTTTAGGTTTTAGCACTGTAGCAGACAATTCTCGACAAGCCTATTACTACTGTTCGGCGCTGCGCCGCAAGGTTCAGTTCAGAGTCCGACAATTATTTAAGGTCGTTTACTAGTAGGGGTGCATGGGCAAAGGGGTCATGGGCGCGGGCGGTGGGCGTGTGCGCCCAGCTTTGAACGTCCCAAATTATTAAAATAATTACTGATGGCGTCTGGGAACGGTAAATATGTGGGCTGGGTTGGCTTGGTAATTGTAGTTGCGTTCGCGACTTCAAGCTTAAGGACGCGTTGGCGTCAACATCTCTTCATGTGTCACCAAACGTTCACCGGCGCACCCCCGGGCCACGCAATGTGCAAAGTACATTGCATCGACGGCAGTGGCCTAAGCTCTATAGAGCTTACTTGCTATCCAAATTTTAAGAGTGTTACTTTGGTACAGCCCAATTTGATGAGGGTAGTATATGCTTGAAGCCCGAATAATCCAAACTAATGATGATCTTTATTGCAGGGAAATCGATACATCTCGCTGTCATTCAAGACGGATCTATGTGAATTTCCCTCGTGCTCTGGATCACGCATAAAGATCCGTTTGGCCTCAGTGATGTCTAGGAGTCATGCGTTCTCATCCCTATTTGCGTGCTTCCGAGTGGGCCGTAGCCGCAACTTGAACTATTCCTGACCTTCAACACTGTCAATTCCTGTCAGACGTCCTAGGTCTTGCATACCATCAATTCTCTCACTTTGTGGTAGCTTGGCTGCCACCTGCACCCCCTCGATAACGTCTACTCGGATCCCAATTAATACCGCTTGTCAGTGATTGTCTTCCTATCGATCTATCTAGGAGAGACTACCCTACTAAATCACCAGCACGAGGACAGGGTCACAGGACACATAATATCATTCTATTCTGGATTTGTTGACACACACCTAGTGTTTCAGTCAAATGACAGCCGTGAGCTGGTCCGTCTTTCAATAATTCCTCTACTACACCTTTACATAGTAAACGCCAAACAATGGTATGATGATGTGTCCTCGATCCCTCAAAAGGCATGCACGAAATTTCAACGTCCAACTGTGGATAACCTAGATGCTCTGAGGTGAGCCAAGTGAACATTCCACCATCATATCGTCTGACACCCTGTTCAGAGTCAGCGATTGAGCATGATAACTAAAATTACACAGAAGATCTCCAAAAGCAAACGATCAAACCGTGGCGAACAGGATTTCCGCCGACGCGATATCGTAAACCCGGCAACGCAGCAATACTGACATTCGCATCGTGTTTTCAAGCTGGTTGCAGGCCTTATGGAATGTCTCCAACAAGATCAGATCATTTTAATGATGAATAGAAAGCTCCCTCGAAGGTTGACGAGATCTCAAAACCTACATCAAATCTGCATTGCCAAAATACAAACAAATTAATGTCAGGGGCTCTCAGAGCGCCCTTAAAAATAAATAATCCGAGGGCCTACAGAGATCCTTAAATGGATGTGCGAGGATGTTCCACAAAACACGACCTCGAGGAGCGTGCGTAAACATCGCCGCAGCACATGGTAGGCTTCTACAACGCCTATGAGCGTTTGAACAGAGACTTGATTAGCGCTCAGCAGGTGTCGTGCAGGGGACACGTACAAAAAATTGCAGATTCTGTGATAGTTGGGACAGAGGTGCCAACAAGGGATTAAAGCCCTAACGAACACCAAGCTCGGATAACTCTCTAATGAACCCTTCCATGCGACATGTCGCATAAGCTAAGTAGTCAAACTCTGGTTCCAATTCTCCTCTTTCCAGGCTGTCTTGCGCCTGTACGATACCCCACACAGTCCACATCCCGTGTGAGGCAGGACTCCAAATACGCACTTGACGTTCCAACAGGGAAACTTCTGCTTCTGAGCGCAACGTTGGAACCGAGGAAGTGTATGTGACAATGGGACGCGAGTGTGCAAGATACGCCCGATAGAAATTTTGACGTTCTTCCATTGTCGGATACCGGCTTGGATCCAGAAAATGCGGTGTTGATGAATGATAGTCAGCTGTCCACTCGTGGAAGTGATTAGCAATTTCGAACGCAACTGGATTAGGCGATGCGTATTCAAAATCAACCACAACAATCTATGCCATAAATTTGGTAACATCCTCTGTACCCCAGAATAACTATTACTCACCTGGTGGTGCTCGGGAGCACCCTGGCGAAGTGGGCTAGTTAACCTCAGTATGTTGCCATACTGGGTATCATTGTGCGCGAAAACACGTCGGCTTGCCCCCTCTACCTGCTCAACGTGAGAAACCCAGCGTAAATAACGCATCCAAAGTTCATAGAAGCGGTCGATGTTAAGTGTTTGACGAGTGGCCTCAGATACACAGTGGAGACCCAAAACCTCTCGTGCGGTTGGCATCCACGCTTTAACATTTTTCTTGACCCCGATCTCCCAACTCTTCCCCTCAAGAGCACTGACGGTGAGTGGACCTTCTACAACACTAATGTCCACAGAGTGGAGTTCAGCCATGCGCGAAGCTATCCATTGGCTGGTCTTCCTGTCACGAAGGTCTGATGAAACTAGCGTGACAGACTCGAAGTACTCTTCAATACGACCGTTTGTAAATGTACCATATACACGAGGACCAAAATGGCATCGAGACGAGAGAATGTGAAGCATGCGCAACTCGTGAGAGCGAGAGATGAGAGAGCTGGATGATGGGCCATAGATGCGCAACAGGAGCGTAGGAACGAGAGCAACGGTAGGGCAAGAGACAAAAAAGATGGTATTGGTGAGAGCACCAGAGACCTTGCGGATGGAGAGTAACTCGGGGGTTACCTGCGTCTTGTGCCAACCAGGAACCCGCAGAGCCACCAAAATAGCAAGGAGGTCTCTTGCAAAGTCGACCGACTTGTAAGATCTATATGAAAAGACGGGATGTAAGCTCAAAATGCAATTTGAATAACAAACCCTGCCAAAAGGATGATAAAGAAGCAAAAACAAATAGCATACCTTGCATGTAATTTGGCCCTAACGTTTGTTAAACCATCGACAAACTCAACATCAATAGTGACTTTTGGTTGAGATAAGGATACACTTGAAGATTTCGAAGGACTGAGCACTAAACTGCGCAAAGACGAGGATGACCGTATGCCAGTGAGTGGAGAAGGAGAAACGGCGGCGCTAACTGCAATCATGTCAGTTGCCTCACACATAGTGTACTAGGATTGCTTGACCGTCCGTCTAGGTTGAGAGAAACGTTACTGGTAGACACGTCGTAGGGGGACTCAGTGCTCGGCGGGCACAAACCTTGGCTATGAGCACACGACCACATTGCACGGAACTAATGGCACTACTTGACAAAAAAGGAAATCGATATAACACGTGCGTGCCCTAGACATCCTGAGACCTGCAACTTGTACACATTTTTCACGCGCTTTTAGACTATCTTTACTACGTGGCATACCCGCCTATTTGCTACGGAAAAAATAAAGAAACTCGCCCCGGTCACACAATCAAGATCCCGGCAGGACCATGCAACATGACCGCTGTGCTTATTGACAAGAGCGCTAAGGATGAACTGCTGGAATTTCCAGAATCACCTGCACCCTTTAGGATTGGTGATGGAAAGAGGGTCGGGCAGCTATCCGAGACTGACCGGTCAGAAGAAAAACTGATAAAAGAAGATGAGGAAGAGCTTGATAAATTCGAGGCTAAGCCCGGGCCTGAAGAAGAGCATGGCAATGATCAGGCCATAGAAATTACTGACATGGATGCCGTCGCCACAGGCACTACATTGAAGGTTCTGCATTCACCCTAACCCACTACCTTATTATCCAGCTGTGCAAGGTCATAGGCAACCCCAAGCACTGGCAAGTTTTTCTTGATGACAACAGAACAATAAAATCAGGCGCACAGATAAAATGATTATGTATTTCTCACGTCACCCCCTTGCAGGTTTCGAACTGAACATTCAAGCAGCATTCGTTCGCACCCAGTTTTATCATGTAGAAACATTCAAACTTGTACAATTGGCACTGAAAATACTGAATGGCTCCTCGATTGGTGTCAAATTAGACGAGTACAGAGGCAGGTAGAGTATCAGACAACCTATCCAATGTTAGTTTTATGAATCTGAAAGGAGAAACAGTCACAGAAACAAACCGGCACTTTCAAGGTCAACAAGGTCTTCGTTATGACGGATCCTGCAATTATCATAAACAAGGGTGGCTCTCCGGGGAAGGGATTCATATGGCAAAGCTAGAAAAAAACATGTGCTCGACTCAGCTCAACAGACACAGAAAAGAGACATCTTCAGCGATGAAATCATAGAACTACTGTAATCAAAGGAGCCTTCAACCACCTGAGCTGCAATGTGACCTTGCGCGGTCGTAGCGGTACACAAAGAGTACCAATCACCTCGAACAAAGACATTCGTGAGTTGTGCGCAATGTCCCCCCGGTGCTCGTCCATAGTGCCATGTGTATGTCCGGTCGTTCTTGCTGGTTTCGTCAATGCCGACGAATTCTGAGCCATCCCCGATAAAATAGTTGCGAAAACTCACTCTGAATTCCCCTTCTCGGCTCTCATTACGTTCGGAAGCAAGTTTTCGAAGGATCTTGCGTGTGAGACCAGCTTCTTTGAGATTGCGCGGTAGGGTGGAAGCACCGACAGTGATATCGTGCCCGACTGCAAGTAACGTACAGACCTCGTTAAGAAATATATCAGAATTCGCAACAAAGATATGTTCAACAGCTGTTAACAGTGCAGGTGTGATTGTTTGAGTACGGCCGGTGAGTGGGGGTGGAGGCCTCGCGGTAGTTTGCCACCACCGAACTCCTCAAATATCCGTCGTCAGCGGTAGCAGCCCCTCCCACTAATACCAAGTACTTCACATATGTCCTCCAACTCCCATCCATTATCCCAGAGTCGAATGGCGCATTCCCTGAAATCATTTCTAATTCTTCGGTTGACCTCAGTGTTTAGATGTTAGAGAAAGTCAAATTCAGAGTCTTCTGGTGTTGTGAACGACGTCTGAATGGCACATTATTAAAAGCTGTCCTGGACCGGGCATTCCCCCGCAGATTTTTTTGCAGAGATGATCGAGGGTGGCCCCGCAACTGTTGATATAAAGTCGTTCTGGAAGTGAGTAGCACTACCAGGGTATAACTCGAGGATTAAATGCCGGACATTCGAATTGATGTCTTGAATCTGGGTAGGAGCCTTGCCTTGCAGCGGCTTCAGGTCGAAAGTATTCTGGCCACTTGATTCGAATTTCGCTGAAGAACAAAGTTGACATGTCTGACATCCGGAGCAAGGGAGCAAAGTCGCCTGTGGATCGATGATCACTGATCAACATAGCTCATGCGCGATTGGGTTTCGCGTGTCTATGGTCGGACCCCGAACTCCTTCGGAGATTAATAACTAGCACATTTATTTAATTATGAAAATGAAAATTTACAATACCCCACAAGTTCAGCAAGTACTGCTTACATGGGTTATGTTGATCACGGGTTCAACGTTGATCATTAGCGAGAGGCAACTTTGCTATCTTGCTCCGGATGTCAGGCATGTCAACTTTGTTCTTTAGCGAAATTCGGATCAAGTGACCAGAATACTTTCGTGATGCTTCGACTTGAAGTCGCTGCAAGGCAAGGCGGCTCCTACCCAGATTCAAGACATCAATTCGAATGTCCGGCATTTGATCCTCGAGTTCTGTCAGTGCTACTCACTTCCAAATTGACTTTCGAAATTCTATCAACAGTCGCGGGGCCACCCTCGATCACCTCTGCAAACAAATCCGCGGGGAAAAACCCGGTCCAGGCCCATGATGGCGTTGAGTACACGAACACCGTATATCATGCAATACCCCTATAATCGCATCCTGCATCGCGGCCTGGAGGCCACACGGCATCAAGTTCAAATAAACCAATTTAACCTCTTGGTTTTGCATTATGTATGCGACCTGGTTCTGGGTATCATAAATATCTTGACCAGGAACAAAATTATGTATCTGAAAATTTTGCATCATTTTCTTGCATGCACGCTCAATTCCCTGAGGAAGACCCTGGAGGCTGTGGGTATCAATGCTCTGTTGTGCGAATCGACTTTCAAGGTTGGTTGGTTGTGCTTTATTTGTTGAAGCAAGAGGCTCTGATTTCTTTAGTGAACGAGTTATGTATGCCGTCATTCCGCGGGTTAATACTCTCGAGGAAGCGTTTCATTGTTCAGCTCATCGACATGAAATCAAATCAACTAACACTATATCACTGCGTCGGCAACGGTCTGAGCCGCACTGACACTATTTCCCTTTCACATCAAGATACGACCCTGCATTGTTTGCGCGAACAAGGCCCGTTTCTTCTGTGAGCCAACGTTCGTATCAACACCCTATCGACTAAGCTCTGACCATATGAGTACGGTTAGGCCATCCAAAATTCCGTTCTGAGATGTATGAATTACGCCCCAAGATGTCTTGTGTCGTAAATATTGTCGAGGTCCGTTAATCAGGACTTGCATCCCTGTGGCCGCGGATTTTACGCGCAGCCAACGTATCACAGTTAGACATGTGTTAATCTTGTAGTAAGCCACGAGGTACACTGATGTCTTCCGCGCGACCACTATAGACGAAAGAAGTTGCCGACATAATCGTTCAGAGTCCGGACGTTCTTGCAACTTCCTGTATATTCCATTTCCAAGCTGTAAAATGTTCCCGTTTGAATTCTTTTTCCAGATCGAGTGCTGCCCGTGCCAGCCCGCCTGAACAACTTAAACCAACATTGAGGAATAGTAAATCGTGTGCATGCCGCATGCCATTTGTTAAACGGTGTGTTCTGCATTAAAAGGTTACGAAGACGTCACCCCAAACCTGACTTCGACTACGTATCAGCTTATCTGCAGCATGATAGGTTTGCATGTCATAAAAGTGTTCAAATATATACTTCTGATCTACTACGTCGCATAAACCCCTGGTAAAACCGCTAGATGTGGATGTTAAAGATGTACGCTACTGACCCCCGAGTGTCCCTACGCATATGTGCAAATTCGTCTAGCATGTCTCTATGTACAATAAGAATAGGGATTTTGATCCTCTAAACTTCATTAGGCGGCTGCGGTGAGCTGCTACATGACTTTTGGTGTAAAGCTTTTTCCTGGATGGCGTCATGATGGTCCGTTGTTTCTACCGAAAAGGACTTCATAAACAGCGAGATCTAATTATGCAGATTGATCAAGTCATAGCAACACTTAGAGGAGATCACATACCACCATAGCCAGACCTAGCAGAGGGGCCGAAACGATCCAGATGCTCTATGATATCATTAGTTGAGAATGAGTGGAGCTGGATGACCTAGAAGCCCACCTGAATGGCCAGAGCCACAGCACCCAAGACCTCATTTCTCAACGAGAGCGGCTCGATAAGACTCAGTAATCTCCAATTGATGGAAGATGATCCCTGGATTTGGTAACCGATAGGTAAGGCGTGAGATAATTGTCTATCAAAGACCATCCCAGCAACCGCCTTGAAGATGTTTAATTTAATGACGCACAAACGAGGTGGATGGACTTACTAGGCCAATGGTAGCTCCTGTAAATCTTACCAGGAAGAATGCACTAGTTCCCGTAGCGAGCTCCGAAGGATGCAATGCCTTCACAAAAACCTGATAAGGGGCGTGGAAGAGGAACCCGATTCCAATACCGGCGATAAGGGGGAAACAAATTTGCGCAAACTGCGAGGAGGCATCCTTGAGTGTTATCAGGAGACCTGTTACACAACCTCAGTAACCACCCTCAGTACATGTATATCTGAACTCACCGAAACCTAAGGTAGAGATCAGTAGTCCACCGACGATCATCCATTTTTGTCCGCTGGTGTTGTTTTTGCGCTTCTGGAAGATTGCAATAAACCATGCGGCTGGCACCGAAGCCAATGATGATCCGAGTGAATATGGCAGCATCTGAACACCAGCTTGCAATGGGGTCATACCATTTACAGCCTATGCGAATCATGAAGTCAGAATCAGATCCACCTACAAGGTACAGGACGACCTTACTTGGAAGTAGAGTGCAAGGTAAAATGTGCCTGAAGTGAATGCGAAGTTGTGAAGGAATGTGACAGTTAGAATGATCACTAAATGATTCATTTGAGATGTCGAAAAGCCTTCCACGCGAAGCAAGCTTCTTACCAACAGTGAGACTTTTGAATACGGCAGGCGGGAACAATGCCTCGCGCGTGGTGTACACTTCATAGAAGCCACCACAGGCTAGTATCACAGGGCCAAGAGTGACCAGCAGCAGCGTGGATGGCGATTTCCCTGTGTGATGGTGAGTAAAATGTTTGCGTTGAACATCAACAGGACCTACATCCATTACTCATAGCCGTGCTGAAACCAATAACCAAACAGCAGGTACCCAGCATGAAGAGAAGACTGCATAATGTGATATGAGCATGGCACAAGAAAGCAAAAAGCATGTCGTACAGTCCGAAAAAATCAAACTTTTCAGTGAAGTTTTTCCATGACGCGTGCTTAGCGTGTCCGAGCGTAACATCTCGCAGTGACACTGAAAGCAGCAAAAATGCGAAAGCGCATACAGGCAAATTCATGTAGACTAGTAACCCGGAATTTGAGATTGGAGCATAGAAAGGGGATGAATAACATACAAGCCCATCTCCAGTTGATTGTCGTGGAGAAGCCAGCTGCGGAGGTGAAATGAGATTTAGATCTAAGATTTCTTACAGCACTTACTGCTGAATAATCCCCCGAGTATTGGGCCCGCGACCGCAGAACAGCTCCAAGTAATACTAAGAGCCTGAGACCACTTTGCTCTATTTTGTGGTTCGACGATTTCTGATGTGATAACCCAGACGGAACTGACAATACCACCGCCACCGAGACCGGCTAATCCGCGGAAAACTATCAGGGACATAATACTCTGGAGATAAAGATTAGAAGATCAAATACATAATGATACAAAGTCAAACAACCTTTGCAGCCCCGCACAGCAAGGATCCGAGGGCGAAAATCATCATGCTGACATACAAAACGTTCTAGTAATATAGCGGTGTAAATCCACCCAGCTTACTTCAAGTTTGAAAAAGAACACACCTTTCGCCCTACCAAATCGGATAGTCTTCCGTACAGGGGTTGACCAGCCGTTTGTGTCAGCATATACGCAACCCCAACCCAAGTATATTGACTCTGGGAGGCCCCGAGATCGCTAACGATTGTCGGTAGAGATGTTGATACAATAGTCTGTATGTTTGCTTAATGGCCAGCACTCGAATTTAAAATGGGGATACGCACAGAATCTGTCGTAGCAAGAAAAAGGGTCATTGCAGCCCTGAGGTTCGATCGCATACTGATGAGCTAACAGCAATTCAAGCAGCATGAAACATTACCCGATATGTACGAAAAGCAGTCGGGCGACCGAATGTTTCGGGGCTTTCTGGATCTCGTCACGAGAATCAAGAGAGGCACAATCGCTGGCATGTGCTTTGTCCGATGACGCAGACGTATCATCCGAGCAAGACGAGCATGAAGGGAGATGAGTAGGCATAGGATGAGCTGCGTTGTCTAAAGACATATGAAACTTGCAACAAGAGAGAGCACAGTAAGAAAGGCTGCTCGAGGTTTAACGTTCTCCTCGTCTTCGCTGCCATTTTATACAAGGACCCTTTGGTTTGGTGGTGGCTTCGATGAGATCTGGCATAACCAGACTTCGACAAAAAGAGCTTCTTTGGCCTTGGAACTATCCTCTTGTGACCCTTTGACTTGCGGTCCGCAAACAGAGCGGTCAATATGCGCTGGCATTAGGCTTTACCGATGATGATATTAAAATTGACCGCATTGTGAAGCCTTTGTAGTAAGAGTCCAGCCCGCAACAAAGAAGAGAAGAGGTCTTTGACAGCATGCATTACTGCAGTCGATAGGGTTGAATTTGGCAAAAGATGAACATTGCCCGGTGCGGGGGGGTCAGTCAAGCACGAGTCGCTTCGTTGCGCATGTCTTGATGGCATCTAGACTTCGGACACAGAACCCAAGAAGATCAACCTGTGAGATCCCCGCGCACTAGGTTAATTCTCTTCAGTTTCGAAGTTCCAGCAAGGGACAGCAGAGACGGATCGAGAAGTTACTATTAAGTACTTACATTAACTGAAACTCAATTAATGTTGAACGTTGAATGATGGCACCGCGGCACCTGCCCACTACAGCCACAAACACGTTTAGACAGAATTACTATTAGGTACATGTTACGGCCTCCATGCAGTTTCAGGGCAAACGCTAAGTTGCTCTCTTCACAGGGCTTGCTCCACGCAAACATCGTATGGTGGTCGCAGGGAAAATATCCCATTAAAGTGTATAGTTCACTATGCTTCTATGGATCTTCTCTAAGCCGTAGCCCTCCTCCTGTGCTCATCCTCCGCGTTCTCCGATGGCTCACTGCTTTTTGCCAGATTCCCGGCGTCCAGTTCGTCTGCTGATTGAATTGAGAAGCGACAAGTAGTAGATAACGAAACGTCGCCAGGACGGACCAAAATATAGATAAATCAAGACCCAGTAAGCCCTCGTATCCTTTTCCATGTGCGAGACACCCAGCCACCCACGGAAGCCGGTGACGGATGAGAAAATGAAGTCGTACCATTGTTATCACCCATTGAACTGGTATCCTTCGCATCTCGTTTGCTTGTCTGATCGCTACCCGAGGCGCCGGCAGACGGAGCTGAGTCCTGTCTTGGACTGTTACTCCGACCCTCAACGTCGTCCGCATATTGCTCCAAAATCTCCCGTTGTCGTTTCGTTAAAGATCTATGGAAAGTGGGTTACGTAGGGGCTAACGAACATCAATTTCGCTCACCTTGGAAGTTGCACGGAGAAAGAAATAAAAAGATCCCCCTTGTCACCACCGAAAACTGACGGGACACCATGGCTTCTTAGGACCATCTCTTCGCCATGTTGAGTACCATTGGGTACACGAACGTCCACATTCCCGTCAAGTGTCGGCACACGAACACGGCCACCCAAGAGTGCAGTATGTAAAGGTATTCGCGCTTCATGGTGAAGGTTTGCGCCTTGCCTACGAAAAACTTTGGACGGAGCGACATTGACCCTGACGAGCAAATCCCCATGACCGCCCTTGCCTGATAATGGCGCATCACCTGCATTAGGGATGCGGATGGTCATTCCGTCTTCCACCCCTGTGCAATATATTAGTTACCAGAACGAAAAGGATGTCCAACTCCTGACCTGGTGGGATATCTACCTTGATACTTTTCTTCGTTCGCACATAACCCTGACCACTGCAATCTACACATTGACTTCCGCGGGGAATGGTAGAACCAGAGCCAAGGCATGTTCCACAAGTACTTGCCATCTGGAACCCACTATCTATCACAAAAGTCTTTGTACCAGTACCGTTGCATGACCCGCAAGGTACTCGCTTGGCACCATGTCTCAGGCCTGTACCAGCACATGTTGAACATGTTGACAAAGCGTTGACATTTACACTTAGAGTTGTTCCTTTGCAGGCATCCAAAAACGAGACGTTGATGCGTGCCTCAATGTCCGCTCCTCTTGTACTTTGGCTGAATCCGGAGCGAGCTCGACCCCCGAAGGCACCGCCAAACAACTGCGAGAATAGATCGCCTTGACCTGAACTTCCGCCAAATGCCTCGCTGAAGTCTCCAAAACCACCAAACCCGCTTGCACTTCCTGAAAATGGATTTCGAGCAAAGGCATTAGGGTCAAAGCCTGGTTGTTGTGACGCAGCACCATATTGGTCGTATGCAGCTTTCTTTTTCTCGTCTTTCAAAATCTTGCATTACAATGTAAGACACCAGTACGTATAGATCAATGCAAAGGTGGTAAATGACGTACGTCGTATGCTTCTTGTATCTCCACGAACTTTTCCTGCGCTCCTTTATCAGGATTTGTGTCCGGATGATATTTTCGGGCGAGCTGTAACGAGTTTAGTGATTAGGGGTGAAAAATATCAATTGAATAGTTCTGATGCGCACAGCAAAGTACGTTTTCTTGATTTCCGCCGGAGATGCATCTTTCTTAACACCTAAAACCTGATAAGGGTCCTTGGGAGGAGCAGCCAGCGATGCAGACGCATGAAAGGCGCGCTGAGTGATAACAGTCAGTATGAAGTGGCAATTGTACATCAAACCTTGTAGCAAAATTGTGACAAACCTTCTGGCCTCGTGCACTGTGGCCATCGCGGCCAGCTCGGTAAGTTGAGAACGTCCGGGTGTTCGGCCTAGTTTGTTGTCGAGCACAACCGTAAAGAGAAATGAACGATGAAGCTCCAAGCGATCGCAAGTAAGGGATCATGTACAATTGTGCCTTTTGACTCAAATAGCAGCGAAGCAACACAGAAGTAAGTTAGAGAAAACACAATAATGTGTTTGCGCCCAATAGGAACGTGACGAATTTTGAATGTACGGCTATTTGCCCTGCTGACTCAGCTCACTCAAGCCTGTAGCCTTCCTGCGTACTGAGTGAGGACATTAATGTGATGAAGCTTCACTATACGACGACGGTTTTACTTCTGAGCCAAACTTTGTATACAGTAGTTTAAGGTTTTCTAGTCTTTCTCCGGTCTATCCAAGCAATCGACAATCAAAATTTACGTGTCGAATGAAAGACCAACACGATTGAGGGTCAGAATTTATGATGCCAGCACGTTGAGAGAAGCACGGCAAGGCCAAGCGTACCGAATCGTATGTGTACACGAGTAGCTAGGTAATAGCTATTCCTGCTTAGAACTCAAGTAGCTTGTCTGATTCACGATTTATAGGCCTACCGATGTCAGATGGCCTCAACCTGCTAGTCAAATTCCAGAAGCATACGTAAATCGCCTGCAAGGAGGGACATTTCCAACCGTGCTAGTCATGGTCCCTTTTCCAAATCTACCGTTCAAGCTTAGACCGTCCAACGATCTGGGCTCCCCTAGACATGTTTAGAATCAGTATTTGACTGGAAGCAAGGATACGGATGCTACGGACCGTGGTTAAGGCAGGTGGTTTTGATCAAGCGAAATCGGGTAACGCGTTTGTCACTGGGCTGTTCGGGAGCGCCACCAATTTTTTCCGTAGGATACTAAGATCTCATCGCCCTTTTGTATCGGATCTTTGGAACTCCAAATGCTCATCCGTAGTTCGCCTTGCGGCGTACGGCCCTCCACAAAAACAGCATTGGGTTTGCTTCCAATACCGCGGTAATCATTGACAAACCTAGCCTCATTGCCCATGACACTGGCATCTACCCCAACATTATCCCCATCCTCTGACCGAAAAAGTGAAAGATCGTAGTCGGAGCCAGCTCTATCCTGGCAATGCACTTCTCCAATATAGTCAATGATATGTGACCTAGGAAGTATCTTTCGAACAGCAAAAAGGCCGTTCTGTCCTCGTGCAGGGTGAGAAGGTTCTGTGATGTACCTTATGCGAACTAGAGATGTCGAAGGAAATGAAATTGGGGTTTTCTGGGGGGCGGGATTAGTGCCACTGATCAGAAAAGAGCGCACGGGACCCGGCACAGAAGGATGATAACGAGGGGCGTTAATATACTGGATATGAGAGGGCCATAATGGAGGCTGGCGCCGAGAGCTGGAAGACATGAATATTCTTGTTGGCGCAGGGTGTCGAATATTAAGTACTTCAAGCTTCGGGTCTTGCACTATCAGGTCTTCCGGCCGCAGGTAGACGAAATAGAGGGATAAGTCTCGTTCCTTATATCATAGGTCAACGTCTAGGGCAAACAACACCGTGGGTAAACACGAGAGACTTGAGTTGCACCAAACACCGGTGCACTAGCTTTCGTGAAGGGCTTTCAATCATCCATTGAACTGTTGATTCTATTCTCATTCCATGGTGCGACCTCCAACAAAATCTGTAGCACGCATCTATCGAGATGTCAACGCCAATTTTGGCCCTGCATGGCATGAATATGGTCAAAGACTTCAAGTCACTTGGCCTTGGTAATATACTGACGATCTCCGCTTCAGATAACCTTCAAGTGCAGTGGGGAACGCAGGATCACTATGAGATAGTGCGCAAAGTTGGCAGAGGAAAATATTCAGAAGTAAGATCGTCGTCTTTAGATCGATATGGATAGCCTGTTTGATCACCCCATACAGGTTTTTGAAGGTGTCAATGTAGTTAATGATGAGAAGTGCATCATCAAAGTACTCAAGCCCGTGAAAAAGAAGAAAATTAAGAGAGAGATCAAGATCTTGCAAAACCTTGCAGGTGGTCCAAACGTCGTGGCCCTCCTTGATGTCGTCCGAGATCCTGCTTCGAAGATCCCCAGCCTAATAACGGAATACGTTGACAACGTCGATTTCAAGGTTTTATATCCTCGTTTCACTGATTACGATGTCCGCTTTTACATGTTCGAGCTTCTCAAGGTATGTGTAAATTGAGCTCTGGCAAAATTTTCTACCATAGTCTTTTAGGCATTGGACTTCTGCCACTCAAGAGGAATAATGCACAGGGATGTCAAGCCTCACAATGTCATGATTGACCATGAACAGCGCAAAGTATGCATCCTAGTCAACCCGCGTAATGGACTGAGCTGGACTTCATAGTGTAGCTGCGGCTAATAGACTGGGGCTTGGCCGAATTCTACCACCCGAAGGTTGAATACAATGTCCGTGTGGCGTCGCGTTACTTTAAAGGACCGGAGCTGTTGGTAGACTTTCAAGAATATGACTATAGCTTGGATATGTGGAGTTATGGTTGCATGTTTGCGTCTATGGTATGATCTTCAGTCTCCAAGGGATCATATTCGAATTGACAAAATCTACCACAAGATTTTCCGCAAAGAACCGTTTTTTCCATGGTCACGACAACTATGACCAGCTGGTCAAAATAGCAAAAGTCCTTGGCACAGACGAGCTCTATGCATATATCGACAAGTATGGCATACGACTGGATCCCCAGTACGACGAACTCCTCGGAAGGTGAGTCTTTCAAATGCAATCACTGATCATGCAGTAACTCGCCGTTAGGTACCCTCGGAAGCCCTGGACGCGATTCATCACATCCGAAAACCAGCGTTATATATCGAATGAAGCGATCGACTTCTTGGATAGGCTACTGCGTTATGACCACCAAGATAGATTGACTGCTCGCGAAGCGCAAGCACACCCTTACTTTGGTCTGTGAAACTTTTTCTCGGTCACTTTTTGATATTTACCTACCTCACTTACAGAACCCGTCCGCAACCCCGTGTCTGGCACTTCTGCTGATGGTGAAAGCGAGGACTCGGGAGCATCATCGGCCTGATCTATAATTCACTTTCTCTTCATCTCTGATTGCGAAAGTTTTGTACTACTTCCTTTGCGAATGATCATGTCAAAACAATCTTCCCAACCCGATAAGCGCGTCCTCTGGTGCAAACAAACTGTGTGTCTTCAAGAAATACAGCTTAGCTGAAATCAAGCCATTACCAACATGATCGATGCTATGTCTTGATATGTGACAGGTTCGCCCCGCTTTCTCGATCACTCACGAGTATGATCACCGATCCTCTGCAGGCCCTTCACAGTGCCCATCATGCCTTAGTACCATGATCGACGATCGCGGCTTTGATGCATTCTGTCCCATTTTATCAGTATATGTTGTACTTCATCTGTTGCAGGCCACATTAAACAATGTTCTGTTGTGGAGCCACACGTGCGTAGCGGAACAAGGGTCAGTAACCGGTCAGTCATCGGGAATGGAGATCTATGAGTGAACTAGACAAGTCCGCATTCCGATGTACGTCAAAAAAACGAATGTAGTTTTAATCTCAAGAATCACTTTAGGTTAAGATTTACAATCGATATGCCAGCTTCCAGTACAGCCGCGGGATCAGTGACTGTCGCTAATCTGAGTGCTATTGCTCGTGCATATGCTTCAAAGCTTCCTATTGTTCGGTGGCGTGATGATGCATCTCAAGCATAAGGTAAAGTCGACCCGACCCAGGCTTTGTCTGGTTCGAGCCCCTCTGACCGAGTTTAACTAATGACCGTATTCACTTAGCGCATGAGTACACTGCCGCAGGTTTTACATAACCTCCTATGCTCTGGACCTGGTTACGTGGCCGGATAAAGTTACCCTCGCAGTATCTTATGAGGGTGATATATTCAGAAGCATCTCTCCAAATGCTGACTGCCCGTTAAGGTTGAGTATTGGACAAATCCCGTCCCTAGCAGTGCAAGCCCCTAGCGGTGCAAGCAATAATGGCTAGGTGCGAAGTACATTTACAAGGTGCTTGTTACAGAAATGGCATTTGACATGATTGATCTGCAACTCAGGGGAGAGGTACTACATCAACCAATCATTAATCTTTTGTGTACTAATATCGCCGCCGCCGCCGCTGTCACTTCAGTTTCTAGCGTTGTTTTCGCTACTACCGCGTTTGGTACCTACAGCGTAGTGACTGCTTGATAAAGTTAGCGTACACCGAGGACGTTCAGGAGAACGCAGCATGCGCTATACTTGCGAGGCCAGGGAAGTGTCAATATTCCTCTAGCGGTCATCTCTGCACTGCTTATGGACGGATGATAAGAATCCAGAAGGTAGGCATGCGTACTGCACGTGTAAAACTTTGTACAATGCTTCTTGCACTGCAGAGAGTCTTTCGGCACCTAGGCTAACAATGGCCCATGCACAGTGTTAACGACTCCCGCAGCTCGATGAGATCACGATCATCGGCCACGTTGTTTGCCATGCTCCGTGTAACGTTTGTTTACCGTGCCTCGGATGTACTGTAAATGTTTAACTCGCTATGATATTCTCTTCAGTTGGGACACGGACTAATATTAAGTGCACGGGAAGGAGTCGACTATGGGGGCTATCTATGATATGGCCAGATGCTGCCCGTGATCAAGAAGGACTTCCTTACTTCTAATTAGTTCTACCTGAGGGAGACTGTGTACTGCCAACGGGCAAGCGTTGTCACTTACTTGGTAAGTATTTAAATTTCAGGGCAAGGCGTCTCGTTCTCTGGGACACCGCATTCATAAAAGAAACATTTGAGAATTTGAAACGCAATATATGTAATCTAGCGTGCCAGAAGTAAGTCCCAGGAGTTGGCTTAAAATGACAATGTACACCAGTTTAATTACACGACTGTGACATTGAATTGTAATGAAAGTAGATAAATGTTGTGTAACCAATTGGCGCATGACCTTTCAAGCGGTTATGATAAGGTTAAGCAGATCCGAAACTAGATACTTCACGAGGATAGCAGTCATTACATGTGGGTCCAAAAGAACCAGCGGCTCACGCCCACTAGCCAGACTGAGTAACAGCCAGTGCTATTCTGCAATGTTCGCAAAAAATTGTAATCCGAAGACCATGATGGGAAGGGTAGTTCCTTTCCTGGCATTTTGGTGTGAATCATGTCGTGCTCCTGCCTGATGTCCATGCTACTAGATGCGCATAGTAACAGAATATTGTGCAGGGTCATAATTATGATTCTGAGGCCGTTGGGTGGAAGTAGGGCGATTACGAGGAATTCGATGGAAAGTCCCTGCTCGTGAGTTCACGGCAGGGGCAACGGGGACACTGGCAAGCAGAGGACCCTGTCCGTCATTTCTCATACTGGTACCGTCCTGGAAAGAGGATCCGGACGAGGCTGTGGCTTGACTGACAGCACTCGATGTTGGTGCTCTGGGTGTTTTCTTTCTCTCTTTCAGTTCCTTCGGTTCTTTTGGCGGAGGCGGTGGGCCTGGATCGTAATAAGGGTTGTGGGGAATCCACTGAGAAATCCCAAGGTGATCTAGCACGAAGCCATTCACGACACTGAGGGAATAGTAATATGTGTCTGCATTGGGCATCTCTCGAGCCAAGGCGATCAATCGAGTATAGATAGCATACCCAGCACGCGCGTCGTTGGCTGCATCTGCATATTCCAGGGGAAAAAATGAGGAAGTACGACGTTCGACCGCGTCAGTACTCACAGTCTTGCTGCGTCGAAGAAAGACGGAGCTCCCAATTGCTGCGTTGTACCTTTCCCTTCGCCAAAGAGAAACCCACGTAGGTCTCAAGAAGGCGAGATAGCCCAAGTGGGTTGGTGTACTTTCCCTTCCATCGGGCGTTATCGACCGAACGAGCAAGAAGAGCTAGCTCTACGCAGTTGCGTGTTGAAACGCCCCAATCCCGATACAACTTTTGGCAATCGCCTAGACACATCATCATAAGATAGGCTGTGGGTTCCCAGACCCCCAATTGACGCACGTTGGATGCTAACGCCAGCCTTTACTCGCAATGGATCCCAAAGCACTTCCTTCAATTTCAATGGGAATTCTACGAATAGAGGTATTCTGAATTGAGCCATAGGAGCTCACTATTCAAGTCTTGCTCATACCTGACATGGCGCTTATTTGTAGGAGTAATATGGTGTCGAAACCAGCGAGCTGAACGAGCGCTACGGGGTTCTCGCTCCCACCCTTCCTGTAGTTGGGGCGCCATTCTAGGTCAAAACCAAGAGGTCCTATGGCCAACCGAGACAACTCGGAATTTGCTTCCAGGTGATTTGTGATGTATCGAATCCGGGTAGGAGCAGGGCTTTGATCGCGCCAGGAGTAGTGCGGAAGTTCTGGACGTAAGACTGCGGTTTTGACAGAGCCTTCCGCAGTGCCAGACATTATAGCCTATAATATATTATGAGGTGTTGCAGGAATGAAGCTCGATGCAGGTGGGTACGAAAGCGCTAAGCGGTTTCCTTTGATAAGACTCTTATTAGTGCCGAGATTACCAAATCTAATTGTACGTATGTTCCTGTGTTTGGAGTTATGAAAAACACTGAGTCTATCAAAGTTCCGAGGGGCGGACCTTGGCAATAAGATGTGGTTTTTCTACTTGCTACATACCCTCCCCTGTTACTGTCACGTTTGTTTGGATTGTGACATACCGTTACACCGTGTGACAAATGCATCACGTTGTGACTCGCTGCGGGTACTGCGTGCGATACCTGGTTGATTTACTGTTTCCCTCTATCAGTATCAGATAGGATTTGCCACAGAGGCACAGATACACGTGCAATGCTGTAATTCCCGTCGCCAGTTCTCACGGATGCAGTCCAAGTTGTTTTAACATCCCGGTGCGCTCGGCACCTCAGACCCAACACATTATATCTCACCAACTCCCCCTGCGAAAGGAATGGGTGTCCAACGTGCGTGCGCATAGTTATTTTGATTTTCACTCGCTGATCAATATTTTTGATTCAAAGTCAAAAGTAACAAGAGTCGCACTCCAAAGATAACTCGGTAGTTCTTGGCATCGTCTGGTCCAATGGCGTTATCTTGGTCATTAGTTCCGGCCATTCTTTTTTCTATCATCGGACGTGTCATTTCACTGCCATTTGTTGGTACTAGTTGCTGCCAATCATAATAATGGGTCCCACAAGGGGCAGGGAAAGGTGAGAGATTACGAGACCTTAATCCTGACAAACAGTAATGCTAACCATACAGCGCAATGAAAACAATAAGTAATAAAACAGTAATTACCACTACACCTCCAACAGAACCGGAGGACGTGTGTTGAGTGCCCTCTGAATGATTTTGGTGGTCCTCTGGAGCATCTCTGCTAGGACCGGTGGAGAGCAATGACCCTATCGCCATTGATGCTCTGGATCGCGGCGAGTACTCCTCGGAATCACTCCGAGACGAATATGGTGAAGGTGGTAAATCGCGAGAGGATGTATGAGATGTGCGTAATTCATAATGTGATGAAGGGGAGTAAGAAGAGCGTTGGCGTTTTCGAGGTGGCTGAGAGGGTTGAGGTGGTTCCCTAACCACAGGTAATGGTTGAGGGGAGACACGTTCATTGGCTATGTCACTTGGATATATTCCATGTTTTGAGTAGGGTGCCGAGGATGGTAAGGGGGGCGGAGGGCTTGCATGCCGGACATCTGCTGCGGACATTTCAAGGAGGGTTCTGTGCAAGGATGCGACAGATGCAAGTCGCTGTAAAGGGGTTAACAACAGACAGCTAAAAATACGAGGAGCCTTACCTGGTCTTCAGCACTCTTTGCATTCAACATGGCAATAAGCATATCTCTGTCACCATCCCCTTTCGATTTGTATGCCCCGAGTATTTCTCTGAGACTAGGAGGTGGTGCCTGAATTACTGTGAGTATCTACCGGAGGATTATACTGGACAGTAAACTGACCTGCTCTAGTATTTGTGAGCTGGACATGACAAGTCTCCTATAGTCTGCCTCAATTGAATGGTAGGACAAACGGGAGTAGTCTTGTGTTGGGTAAGGAGGGCCAGAATTCATTTGACGAAGGTGGGTTGTTAAGCGTCTTGCAGCAAGTGGGTTAGAACGGCGCCAACCGCAGACTTTTTGTAGGTGAGCCAAGTCCAAAATCTATCTTTGAACCAGACAGCTCTGGTATATTTAGAATGCCAAGCCAAAGTGAGGCTCGGATACCCGAAGAGTTCTAAATTTGAACGCGAATCTGACGACGTGTTGCAACATGCAGACAACACTTGCTTCGTTTCCTATTTTTTTTCCGTCCACAGGATTCAAAATCCAAGCGCTGAAGGATGGAAGGATTCGACGCTCCACGGCTGTAGATACGCGGTGACGAAATAAACGGAGGTACTAATTTTGACAATTGTGGCAGTTATACTCAAGAGTCTTGGCAATATCTATTTATATCAATCTAATTCCGTATATCGCAGGACCTTGCAGGACCCCTGATTATGCCTCCAGGAGGCAACCGGAAGGTCTGTGTCCCTTGCCAAAGGGGATAAATTTGTCTAGACTCTAAAAAAACACGTTGTTCACATCCCCACATGTACAGTAGCTGGGAGCAAACTAACATTTATATATAAATCTGTAAATTGAATCAACCCATGGTCAGATTTATCCGCTTGCGAAAAAAAAAAAAAACTTTGCTGCTTCTGTCAGCCAGCGCGGCACCCTTAGCCTGCCCTGATTGACTCAGGAAAGGGAATGGCTATGTATGGTTGTCAACAAGGCGATCAAATTCACGTGATCATCACGTGCGGTTCACGAGTACAAGTCGTCAAGCTTGCGCATTCAGAGTCCTTTGATTTTACCAATGCCACAACAACCTGCAGATAGCGACGATGAATTTCCAGATGATATCGGACAGCTGGACTTGAGCAACGTCCCAGGTCTTCAGGAAATTCCGGTCGCAGCTTCGATCAGACCTTTGGATCATCCGAGTCTTCCTCCCGCCGTGATCGTACCAACGCCGCCATCGCAATCATCTACGTCAACCCTGCCTTCCGAGTATGACTGCGACGATGAGATAGATGAGTCAACCATCGCCGCTTTGGATGCTCTCGAAGCACAGTTCGCGCATGGTCAACCTCGACTCGGGGGTCAGTCAACCGTCAACTAATACTTAGTGTGACCCCTATGTTCAATTCGACGAATACAGCTTCTCCTTTGACTGCTCAGCCGTTGATTGGTAGTGAGTTCCGCATATTTTTTAGTCTTTGCATGTTGAGAGATGATCTTGACTCAACAGCTCGCGCTGGTACGTTTCGTTGAAAGCTGACGGCAGTTTAAGCTCTTATGTATCCATTGTACCATCTACATGATATCTGAAACCCACTACCATTCATATTGTAAGTATCAAATTTGACAGTTCAACCTGAGCCAACTCAGCTCGTGCGCATGTACAGCTACTCCCGGTCTAGATGACCGCAAGCGCGGACCGCCGTCACCACAAACATCGCCCACCAGTAAAAAAGGCAAGATAGGTGCCGAAGACAGCCTTGACGCAACAAACAACATAATCGAGGGATTCGAAACCGAGATTATGTGTCCAATGTGCGTATTGATACCTGGTCTAACCGCCTGCGAAATGACGTTCCAAAAACATGCAGATGCTTTGATATCATGTGAGTGTTTCCATCCTGCATTGCATTATCTACTAATAAAGCTCTCGTTGTTCTTTAGGGTCGCAGCACACCTATGCAACCCTTGCGGGCACAGCTGCTGCGGAGAATGCGCTCAAGCGTGGATATCCCAGAATGTAAGATATTCCATTTCGGGATAAGTTCGGGTTTTATGAGCCCTGTTGCAGAAAGCGTCTCCGGCATGTGCAGTATGCCGTGCTGCGTTGTTTCCGACCAAACCACTTCTTCCTAATTATTCCCTTGACGCCGTAGTCCAGCAATACATCCGTGTTATTGCCGTCAGCGGACGATCAGAATGGCAGGAGAAGGGAGACAGGTTAGCAGAGTGGAGGAAGCGTCACGAGTAAGCTCCTAAGTCTGTCCGGTCAATCGCATTCATTGACGTACTCTTGTTGCAGCAAATGGAGGAGAATTTCCCAAGCGAATGCACTAGTGGTAAAAGCAAAGGAAAATACTCGTCATAGAAGGCGTTATCAAGGCGCTATCGTTTCTTACATGCCACCGGTTTATGAACCTCTCGGATCGTATTATGATGACGAAGATGACGAAGATGAAGACCCAACCTATGAAGACGATGAGATTGTGGAGATTTTACCGCGCCGAAGAGTACTGAGACGGTAACCAACGTTCGTTCCATAGCCTATATTCTCCCATTCAATATCCCCTATCGTAATTGTTACTTGTAGTATCGTAGTCGTAGTTCACGTCGCCAGCCATTCGCCATATATCAGTCAAGCCTGCTACACTTGTTTCGCTGTTTGATGTACATGCACCACGGTGCGTGCTATACGCCACAGCTTAAGTGCGAGACAAATTGTGAAGTACCTTGATCAAATGCCTTATCTTACACGTCACATCGATGCCCAACACGTAATTTGACATTGATCACATCAGAATGGCACGCTTAGTGCAGCTCGGTGTTAAGTCTCTCATAATTCACAAAGGCCGCCGTATTTAGAGCTCCCAGGGTGGTGTCACGCATGAGGCTTTCCCCTAGAATTTGGACAAATTCCGAGCAGTTCCAAGGAGCGGGTTTTCAAAACGGCTTGCTAATCAAGTAAGTATATGGGTAATTGACTTTCAAGTGACCGGAACCGAATTCACAGTACCAGTGAGATAGGCTCCAGGCTGTCAACTTAATGGTGATCACAATTATCGTGGGCTGGGAGGATAATAACCGCGCTAGCTGCGCACAAAGCCGTTTTCTCTGTACATTCAATTATCATCAGGTTAGTGCCGATGTCTGATGCTCAAATAATCGCAACAGTGAAGGTGAGTTTCAAGCCAAAAACCACTTCGAGGCTCTGGATAAGATTCATGCTGCCAACATGTCACATAGGTGGGTGACTCAGCATTCACCATCGATATCATGTGGCTAACTTAGGTTCAGTTGCTGGAGCTGCGCTGCTGGTGGGTGTTCATCGGGCGTGTTCATCAGGCGTATACTATATGCATAGTAGTCATTTCGTTTCGCCCACAAGGCATTCAATTATTGTATCAATTCGAAGCCGAGGTGATAATTCAGATTCAGATTCATTAAATGCCTTTTCAGCTGATTTCGATGTACTACTACATAGGTCTCATTGACTCGGGGAAGATCGTGGAGATGGCATATGTGCGATGCTTGTTCGTGATGGCTCGTTATCTCCCATTCCACCGACGTCCCAAACGACATATACTATCAGTCCATATGTAGACTCATCCCCTGCAAGTACACCCAGACTGAGAGCGCTTGGTTTAGTGGAGCTGAACCCTCAGTACTCAGCGTATACCGTTATATCAAGCGGCAATCATGTGAGGCTAGCCTTTACTGTTCTCAGGTAATTTACTCACTGGCACTGCCATGACGTTTATTGCATTTTGCAGGGCTCGATACAATCGCTGCGGAAAGTAGTTTATATCGAACCATTCCTGGCACTGCTTTTGATGATGATACAAGGTCTAGTACTTTTAATACGACTGTGGGTTCTATTGTGGCGCGTTCTGGCGTGTCTCATCGGGCTTGCTGCACTATATTCTAACGTTCTCTTGAATTCCCATTTTCATGAGTAGCCTATTGTCCAGGCGTGCACAGCCAGTAGTGGCGTTGTTGGTGCCACAGTCTTGCGATTAATGAAATGTTCATTCTGTCAATCGGTTCGTCCGCCGCGTATATTCCCTGATCGGTTGGTCTCATTGTCGCGCCACCCCCCTATCAGCCACGGGATGCTATCAAGCAAGTAGCGTTTCGCCTCACGTGTGGGATTATGTTATTCTGGCGGTGTATGAGGTGGCTGAGCGCTCATAATGATTCCGAAGTTCGAACGTGTGTAGACATTGCATGCTCATTGCACGGTCCGCGGTCGGGATTCATCTATGAAGCCATCTTGCTTCTGACCGGTTACCAAGCATTCCGAGTCCATCACAAACCAATCACGCACAGACCATTGGTGGTATCTTGCTATCTATGTAATGTGTATATTATTAGGTAAGATCATTTCGCACATATATCTGACATTGTTGATCGCGGAAACAATGTAGTTATGTCCTTGTTGAACGTCGTGGTACTTGGTGCTCTTGTGGAATAAGGGTGCTTACCCGAGATTTCACATTTCTGACTGGATTATTTGTTTTAGATCTGGGAGTATCCTGAAATAATTGATACCTGAGCCGCTGGCCGCGGCCTGGTCATGAGATCTTGCCATAATTCACAATGCAATGCGAAGACTCCAGGCTATTGCACATAGCATTTTATCTTCATGGCTACTATCCAACCTAAGGAACGTCATAGACCATCGGAATGTCGTCATGTTGACCCGGAGCTCCCGGTCAGCATCGGTGCCTGAGTCGATACCAGTATTACTAATAGTGGTGTTTGACACTTGAGTTTCAACTTTGTGTGAAGTACGTATTTATGGGCGAACTTAGTGTGGTTGGCATACCAAAACCGATATAAACTTATGGACCGCCCAAGCTCATATTAATATTGGAACAGTCAAACTAAGTAATTCTCCTGGGTATCAAATCTCATCGTCGTAATCATCTCCGCTCCGAACGTCTCTTTGAACAAGTCTCGATTTCGCACTGGTAGTAGAACTGAAGGTCGAGATTGACTGCGCAATGAGGTCGTCTAACATATCAGGTGGGATGTCGTACTCAGATCCTCGAACCACGATAGCATACACCGCTAGGATAGCTTTCAGTACTTGTTCATGAGTGCCAGGTGATAGATGAAACGCTACCGTCCTCGATCTTTTCCAGAGATTGTGAAGTTACAGCCTGTTTCTTGGACAACTCCCTCACATAAGGAGTAAAGCGCTCGAAATCTACTTATCCATGATCACACCTTTGCACGTTATTGTCAAACTGACTGACTTGCCTGCCTTGCATTGCCGGACGAATGCACATACTTCTCTGGCTCTGGTGCGACCGCCCTTCTGAGCTATTCCAGTTATTGCAAATCGCATGAGTTCGCCAGTGACATCGGACAAGCCTAGCAAGTAATCTTCCTTCGGAAGAGTAAAATACTAGGGTCATACCGTAAAATGCAAGATTCAGCCATCCGAGTATCATTCAGGTGTAGCATACGCACAGGTACGCCATTCTCATCAGAAAGGGAAAGCTGGACGTCCTCATATGACACCAGAGTGCCATGCTCGAGGTAGTGAGCAAAGCCCAGTGCTTCAATATACCTGAAGTCAAAGGCGTTCAACATATATGCCAACCAATTTGCCATTTTGGAGCCCACTCTTGGAGGCCGGGCGATACTGCTCTGTGGTAGTGCCAGAACCGCTCAGCCTGTACCTCGAGCCTTATTTGTGCATATAACGCTTGCACTTCCCGAAGCTTTTCACGACCGCGACGGACTACTCGTAGAGAGGGATCAGAGTCATTATTGGATTCTTCTGTCATTGCTCGGTGGAGTAGGAATATAACTTTCTTTGAAAGGTTTGTCGCATCCCTGCTGATCTATTGGAGGGGTCAGAATGTTCAGTGACACAGTTGATTCTTTCGAGAGCCTGGAACCTTGATAAGTCGTTCTCTCCGGTCATGATGTTCGTCTATTTCTTGTCGGAACTCATCAAATGCTTCAACGACACTTTCTCGATGGGTTCCCATTTGGAAAGCGTGCCGATAAGGTGGGGAGGACGGTCGACCTTGAACATCAAGTTTAGTACTCGTACTGTAAAATGTCACGTGCAATTGGGACTGACCATGCCCGGTGCCGCATGGGTAATTCGGTTAAGAGCCTTTGTTCGAACTTTGAACGTTCATTACTCAGCCCACCCGTCTCCTCCGTACTTGATCATGGCTTTTGCACCAAAGCCTGGGTGTCCTATGTGTGGGATCGTGGCCACTGCAGCGGTTCATCCCCCCGGCCAATCCCGTTCACCCAATTGTCCAGACGCGCCAGCAGAGCCAGAAATACTCTGGAGAGACGAAAATTTTACTGCATACCGGGAGAAAGTTCATCCAGTGTCTTCTAGTGGTCATATAATCATAGCATTCAAGTCAGTCTTCTATCTACCATATCAGATTCCTCAAGCACTTTCCCCTGATCCAATGTCACAGTCTTCATGTTCCATCGATATACACCCTGGTACGTAAAACTTCAGGCCTCCCCGCGGCGAAGAATCTTATCTGGCTTTTGGCAGTCTTCCAGTGACTTGCCCCTTCTTGTCAATGTTAGGAACCTTGGCAGGAGGCTTTTGAGCTCGTCATCACCGCGGCTCTCCGTTTTATCATCTGGTAATAGCTCCGCACCCTCGGCACCTCTACAACATACCGAATCCCAGTTTCGGATCGGCTTCATTACACCACCTTTCAAGGATAACAAAATTCCTATTACGGACCATCTTCATGCACACGCCTATCTGGCCCCTGCCGATCTGCTAGGGTGGTGGAGAGGTGTTGGATACGGTCCTCTCGCTTGGTATGCTATTGATGATTTGATTGCTGAGATTCGGTTGGATTTCTTTTTACGTAGTGTGCCTCTTTCAAACTGATTATTTGCATCGTCAGGGAGTCGGTCTCTAACAATCGCGTGAAATCTGGTTACGATAATCGGATAAATGCCCCGATAGACGCGGTTCCCGAGGCGGGCGCGCGGACTGGTGCAGCCAATGGCGACGAATATACCGCTTCGAGTCTAGCCATCCCTGACATTGAAGATGGCCTTGCAACCCCAAGCTCTTCTAATACCTCCTTTACCTCCAGTTCCAGTGGTCATATACCCCATTTACACGTATGACAAACGACATCAATTTCCATCCTGAAGTACCGGATATATTTCACGTATATAGCAGGTCCTCGGACTGTAGTCACATCACGGACGACTGAACTGATTTGTTTATGAAGTATTGGAATTGCTTTCTCTAGCCTACTTCTATACGATTCAATGAGTAAATATTCAACATCGATGAGATTTGCTGTCATGATCTGCAAAATAGATTTCGAATTTCAAAGATTAAGCGTCTGACAATGCATCATGATTAGCGGGAATGGACCAACTATAATCTGCACTTACAATACGATGATCCGGTCAGCAATGTCGACAGAGCTGCTAGCTGATCATCAGTAAAGCGCCGGGAGTCTTCGTGCCAAGTGTCTTGATGCGTTTTTCTAAAATTGCTCGCACACCTGTGGATAGTTGTCGAAATCGGAATCTGCAGCGCAGAAGATCAGAATATATAGTCAAGCAAATGAAGATTTGCTCACAGGATCATATGTATGTTCCAGCATAACTGTCGTCAAGAGCCCTGGCATCCATTTCTCGATGGTGTACGGGAAACTGTCAATAAGGGCACATATGCCAATGATAGCGGCGTGCCGCTGACGGACGGCAGCATTATAAACCGGCGATATGCGATCAGGGAGCTGAATCTTTCCCGCCAATTTGACGAATCGGTCCTAGACCAAAGGGTGAATGAAATCAAAAGACGATGTAACTGCTGACCAACCTTCAAAGTCACAACGCTGCGCCTCGGAGACAGTCGAAGTATTCCCGACAAGGTGCTGAACGAGAGTTACGCGTGTTTTGAAGACAGATTCAAAGACTCACGTCCCAACCATCTCCCGCACCTCCACGACCTCGTCGTCCAAACAATGACACAATACCTACAATTAATTAGTGCAGATGCGACATAAATCAATAGAACTACTTACGTCTAGAATTTCATTGACTTCGCTTTCACTAATCAGAGGAAGTTGTCGGAAGTACAGAACTAGGTAATGTGATGTCGTCAAGCACTAGACCAAAGTAGCAGTGACTCACCCTGTAGAATTGGTAGGGCCTTTAAGCGAACCTTCCATGACTACAAGAGTGAGTCTGGCACAGTTATGGACGCTGGTAAATGTCTTACTGGTGAAGTCTGGATGGCGGAGAATATGGCATTCAATAAGGGGCCGATCATCGATCGCGGAGGAGTGACTCCGCACATGCGAACAAGAAGTGCGTTAGCGTGCCTTACTAGCTCCTCGTTATCATGCACTAAAGGGAGGTTTTCAACATCGACTGACATTCATCATCAACAACCGTACCTTCAGTGAAACGGAACAGTTCAGGCTGAAAGAACCATATATCATGACTTCCTCGGCAGCTGGTAATAGACCACGCACCATAAGAGGCAAAATATAGTCGAATGCAGATATGGCATCAGTATTGTGGACTGACAGGAACAACCATCGGCAAACGACGATCCCAACTCTGCGGGTATTCAGCAGTCACTTTGAAAAAATGAATAACATCCGTTACCTGTCATATGTTGACTGATGGGCTCTCACGCCTGGTAGCCGCTGTTCTCTCCACACTTTGAAGTTGTCCACGAGTTCGAGGACTCTGCTTGTGTGATAGGTACCACATATGCCCATGATGTCTGCATCATCAGTCACTTCTCGACATTCCCGTACGAAAGCTTCGACATCGAGAGACGTGGGTTTGGGTTGCCACTATCCTTCAAAGTCAGCAACCTATATATATGCATAGTGGGATGTAGAAATCGCCAACCTTGATACCATTGCAGAATGCCATCATATCAGCAACATGGGATCTTACCTATCAATATCCATCAGTATCGTCACTGAATCACAAATCAGAACTGACATCATCGTGTTCACTGTGTGCCTCGCGCCAAAATCGTTCCATAGTGCTGTCCGACCAAGATGTGAATTTCCATCCTAATTCAGTGTAAAATGCCCGAAATAATGCCAGAACTTTGATAGATTCCAGGGATGATGGTCCATTGTAGTCCATGATCTTGAACTGTTCAACGATGTGCTCAACGAGTGGTTGGAGTCGCCGCGGGTCTTTGTGATGGAACATGTACTGAAAGTCGTTTAGATAGATGCGCAAAGCTATAAGCTCTTGGTCACACACCTCGACAAACGAAGTCCAGATGGGTACAGTCTCTGTCTTCATGCTCTGACCTAACGTCTTCTTAATGTAGGGTGTGAACCATTGCCAGATTCGATCTTGGGTCTCTTGTGGCCAATGTTTAGAACCTGCAACAGTCAGCATACAAAATTTTACATCAGTAAGTTGCTCACCGTTTAGAACACCAGCCAAAAGTTCTGCCGCGGCCCTTTGCTTGTTCTTATCCTGGTCGGCTAGTAACGTCTCTAGTTTGGGCTTCAACAGGTCCCAGGGTTCGTCACCCAATACTTGGACTATCTCGAAATTACACAGGCTAATTGCGAATCAAGATTCGACTTACATATTGATTTGACACATGATATGTGATCTTGTACCACAGTGCTCTCGTGATTCTCTTCGGCGAAGTGCCCGGAAAGTTTCTTCCAGAAGTCTGCATCGACTGCTATTTCACGTAGGCAAGACAAAGCCTCTGCGTTTGATGGCTCCCATTTGAAGGTGCTTTTCAACCCATGAGGTGGTTTGTATGCTGCCAGTGTACCGCTCCAGGCGAGCCAGCCTTGATGTAGTGTATCACAATATATACTTCGATGGGTGTGAGTACTTCATAGCGTGACTCTAGAAGGACCCACCTGTTGAGATCAAGAGTTTCCGAAGATCTAATAGGGACCCGTGACCTGAAATTGATGAGGATCTCAGCGGTCGATGAATATGACCCTTCAATGGGAATATGGCAGCGTAGTGGATTGATTTGTGAGAATAGAGCCAAAGCCGCTGGACTTTGACAGTACGATCGAAGCTTGATGTATCTGAGTGCTTTCATGATACCTCTGTGCGCATACTGATACGTAGACAAGTTAGTTCGTGATTAATTCGATGTCAGTCATGATCTCACGTAGCGCTAATATTCACAAAAATGTCAACGTCCTTACATGGACCTAGTAAACCACAGGAACGCACCATGGTAGGATCGCTATCGCATACTTTCTCCAAGAAAAGACGAAGGTGACTAGGCGAAGTTGGAGTATCTCGGCGCAGCAGAGTGCGGAGGACCCTAACTGCCACTATCGCATAGCGCCAATGTGTTGTGGCGTCATCGGCAATTTCGAGAACTGCTTGAGTCTGTTCAAGCCTCAGTGGTGAGACATATCGATAAGGATAGTATGTTGCCTACCGTTCGATTATATTCTTCGTTCATTAAACGCACACGCTCGATGCGCTTCTCACGGGCCTGGAGAGTGATGGAATCCTCTGATTTGTTAAATGACAAGCGGCTCTTCAGAGCAAGTAAGGCTTCATCAAGGGCGGTATTCTCGACGTCATAGATAAGATAGCAAGGCTCCGAGAAGTTGGCCAGGCCTCAAAGTAGCTTAGAAAAGAGAACAAGAGGAGAAAGTGGTGCTTACATGTATCTGTTACTGTAGATACACAATTTTGGATAGAAGGCTGAAAGAAAGCTGTCACCCAGTTTGAAGAAGTTCAAGGGGAAAAGTACCTTCTCATTATGATGGCATCCAAGGAGCTGCTGGACGATTTCTGGCACTAACGTCGGTTCTGAAGAAGAATGGGTCTAGCTACTTCAAAAAAAGACATCCATATTGCTCACCCGAGATCGCAAATCGCCCTGAGAGGAGACGATTAGATGAAATCTACCGCTGTCAAGAAGCACGGCTCACCAAACGACGATATGTTCAACGTCCACAGCGCTCCTTTCATGCGATCGTCATCAGTACCAGGCTGTAGGGCTGTATACAATGCCGGAAGAGCTCGAAGACGAAGACCATCGTACACCTACATATGTGACGATTATACGCCCGTGGCACCCGTAATATATATAGACACCTACTGAAGTCAGGGATTCTAGAAGAGACTGGCTTGATCTTAAACGAAAGGTTGAATCTTTATCAAGGGAAATGGACTGGAGTCACTCACTGCCGCACTGTAAGTACGTGGGATTATCAGAAGTATTCATGAAACATGAAACCAAGAATGATTAATTACCTGAAGGATAATGCCACATCGACCATTCAACGACATCGTCCAGCAAGGAGTTCTCAAGCGGACCTCTAGCTCGCTCGATGGAGTTCCAGAATAGTCGAGAGGAATGATAAAATCTAGCACATGTAAAATTAGGAAAATCGAAACAGAAAGAAATGTGGATAGTGGTTTACCGAGCTCTTCGGACAAACACTGCGCGCGGCCAAACCTTCTGTCCTGCATATTGACGAGCTACACCGATCTCTGAGTTGTATTGTTCGCAGTTTACATAGTAGCTGTGTGGAATGCTCAGCAACGTCCATACAAGCAAAGTCACACTACAGACCTGTCCTTGCTGTCGCCATACTCGAGCAAATAGGTGCGGATTGAACCGATCTTTAGAAGTGTGAAAAATAAGTCATGAGATACCATAAGAGTACGTACAAGCATCTGTACAGCATCAACTGTGTTCTCCTCGCCCTGTCTTTGCAAAGACAAGGATGCTGCGTGCAAAAACTCCCCAAATCGACGCCGGAGTTTAGTAATGTACTTATACCGTGCGTCTTGCGGGTCTGTGAGGCAAAACCCAGAAGCCAGAGGCTCGATTGATGCAATCATTTCAGGAATTTCATTACTGCAGACAGGTTAGACAAACACCACATGCCACGGGTGCCAACATGACGTACATAATGTCACTTGAGGCAAGCATGGATTGCAACACGTCTGGTGATATAAACTCCTTAAAGAGCGTTGGAATTCCGCTGAAGGCTTCTCGGACAAAACTGAGATAACTACTCGAAGGTATCAATCTACCGTTGATTGATCAGTCTCTGCAAACGCACCGACAAAAGTCGTTCCTCCAAACGGCGTCTCGGGACGCTTTGGTGCTTTTCAGTATAAAGTCAGAAGATACTGCATAAACTTACAGGTTTCAAGCAACAAGTCAAGGCGAGTCATCGCAGGTTCGACCAACTCACGGAATAGGTGAAGCGAAAAGTCAATTTCTTCGGCACTTGGGATATGCCATGTGATCTACAGTGCTGAGCATTTGAGACTCTTCCAATTGCCAAATGTTACGCACCTTGACCTCATCGGGCTCAAATAACTTGCCCCAGTATAAGTGATGGTTTCGTTGAAATTCTGCAGGTACTCAGTCAACGCATCTTAAAGCACAAACTGCGAACCTTCATCGTTCCACTGTTCGGGGTTGACGAACTTGTTTTCGATCGGGTAAGTATGAGTGAGTGTAATTAATGCGCTGGAGAGTAACTTTCCGCTCCAAGTGTACCCCTGTTTCGAGAAAGTTTTGTCGCGTAGCAGAGTTAATAACGACAAGAGTTCGCCCTTGTACTCGAGAAGCTAGAATGACATCAACTCACGCCCGAGTGACTAGTCTAGGATCACTAACTGCTGAACCATCACTGTTCAGGTGTTTGTTAGCGCATGCAAGGTACTTGGGGAGAGAACACACTTATAGACACAACCTCGGAGAATAGCGAGATCTATAATGTAACAAGGATATTAACGCTCAACACTGCCACAGTTGTGATGAAATCCTACTCCAGTGCAGAGTCGCATCCGACGGAAGCGGCAATGATGGAGATGTCGTCCTCACTGAGCTAGCACCATGTTCTATTTCTGTGCGGATGTTTGCGGCACAGAAGGGCAAGAACTTGGCCAGAGTCTTTTGGGGGTGGGCATTCGCAATGCATTCGACTAACTGGTGTATCGCACGGACAGCATTAGAACGAACATTTGTGCTTGCGTAATCGAAAATCATGTTGAGCACGAGGTCGAAAAGTGGATCAGATAAATGAACACAGATTTGACTGCATGCACCAGTCACAGCGTCCACCACTTGTACTGAAGAGAAACTGGTCAGTTAATAGAAACATTCATGTAAAATTAAGATACCTTCTGTAGTCCCTCCGGCTGATCCATTCGGTCCTTCTTCCGGGAGATTCTCAAGTAGCTGGATAACACGACGTATGAAGCTGGCTACCCAGCTCGCAAAACTACCAGTGCTGTCTCTGAGAAGCGCATCCTCAGCTTCGTTAGACAACTTCAGTTCCATAGTGTCCTCCAAGCCATCATCTAGAGTGATTTGACCAGGGGAAATGTCCACGTCAGAAGCCTCTGAACCCTCGGAGGATGATGTCACATCCCCAAACATGATATACTGTGACACTTCCGACAGAAATGCCGTCGTACAAAGCTTATAAATAAGGCATTAGATAGGGGAAGCACTTGGAGGGTTTAAATACCGTTTTAGTTGGGTCATTCTGTATTTGACGAGAGTGAGAGGGTGGCATTCAAATGAGACTAGCTACTTACGAGGTCGATACCAGGTACAAGCAAATGCAGAATGGTGATCAAATGTTTAGCACCTGGATAATAAATTTCTCGAGAAACGATTGCAGGAACAATAGAGCTCAGTGCCTTGATCACGGACAAAGTACGCTGGGTCTAAGGAACTGTGAGGAAGGAACAGTCGACGACAGGAGCATCGGTACCTCAACGAGAGCCTCTAGCGAAGGGATAGCTCGTTCCAGAATTGGCTGGAATACCAGGTCAGGCTCCATGCATGACATGGACTTCAGAGCGCTCTGGACATTTGAAACAGTGGAACTATCCTGGGAGAAGATGGCAAGCAACACAACTGTCCGGAGGCACTTCACCAGTTCTCTTTTCATCTCTCGGGTGAGCCGTCGAGTCTGATGAAGAACCTAAATTTCTTCACTGATTAAAGAGATACAGATTGCGTACCAAAGGTATTTTGCAGTCGGATAGTTGTTCTTCGTGCCAGCCTTGCAACTTATATGTTAACATTGCGCTCATGAGCACTTAAACCTGAAAGGAAGCTCACGTTTGTTAAACTCGTACACGATGTACTTGACGAAGGCAGTGAGCTATATGACATGGTTAGCAATTACAGTGTCAACCAATAACTCAGCGAAAATTCAAGCCCGATGCGAATGAACGACGAACATCGGATGTCCAACTTCCAGAGTTGGTGGGGTGGAAGAAATGTTCCGTAGATGCAATGAGACGTGCAAGTGAATCCAGAGCTTTAGAACCACCTAAATATAACTTCGGTGGCTCCCAGTTGCGGAGTGGCACTGTAATATATTCGCCTACAGAACCGCTAACTTGAGGCGTGCTAACGCCTGAAGTCATTGGTGTATACCATGGCGTAGACGCAGTAGAAGGAGGTGCAGGAGCACCATCAGGGGCCATAGAGTACACGATAAGTTTAGCGAGAGATGCTAAATGAGATATCAGCGAAGCTGTTTTTGCGAGGGGAACCTGCTTACGGATACGCCAGTTTGCTTTGGGCAGCCTTCCAATTTCAAAACTTGAAGAAGAGTCGGCCATAGGTCCCGTGGTGAGTGACCCAGCATCCTTCAATGGAATTGCTACAAAAGGCACCGATAGTCAGTCAGCCTTGATTGAAGACGTAAATTATCAATGGCTGCCCACCCATCGAGGCAAGGCATTTACACATAATAAAATGCCACTCGTGCTCAGCGAATATTCCGACTTCCTTATAGAGGCCAGACCACGTCTGTCCTGCATGGTAATCATCTTGTTTCCACTTCGGTCTGCCCTCATCCTCAGACTTTTCATCATCGAGAATATCATAAATGCGAGCAGGATCGCTGATGGTTGGGTCCACGTGCATCTCTGCGAGGCGTGACAGGAATTGCAACATCCTGTCATCGTACATGTAGGAGTTGATAGACTCCCACAAACGACATAACATAGGGAGATACGATTGAGGATGTGTCAATGGTAAGAAGGTTAGAAGATAGTACTGTGACGAAAGAACGCTCTGCAGGCAATCTAAGGAACGTGTAGCTGTTTTTGCTGGAAAGAACTCACGTCTAGGTCGGTCCCATTAAACCCTGGCAGGAAAGTGCTCAGCATCTCTTCAATGGCCGCGGGATGGAAGAACCTCCTCGATATATCAGCAATGTAGCCCATACACCACGCGAGTTGGCTACATTGACCGTTAGATGGTGCCATTATCGAAGAGTAAGCGTGACCTGCCTGTACTCGAACTGACGTCGAGTTAAAAACAAGTCTTCCCGAAGGATATTATAGATAGGCTTCCACGGAAGTCTCATGTCGTCAATGCTCAGTTTCTTTTTCGAACGGGTTAAATTTGACAACCCATCCGCGCAGACGGCCATGACTTGCGTGGGCATACCAGGGGTCGTTGCAATATGAAAATATAGCTTCGCAAGGCGAATACGCTTCTCCTTTGGAAATGGGTACTTGAGCATATTCCAACTGCAATGCCCGTAAGAAATTTTGCATTCCTGTGTGAATTACTGGCGCTCACTAAGTGATCATGCTGTCCCACTGGACAAGACCCGGTTCGAAGTCCTTTGCCTCTACGCATTGCGTTATACGCCTTAGGATAAAATCCAACATGTCCTGCATCCGTGCATTTGATTCAATTGCATATGGGATGGATTTCGCATAAAGCTTGAGCTTCTGCATATACCGGTCGCTCGCTTGGTTGATGTCGTCTGGAATTTGTGTCTGGCGCATCTCAGGACCTGGATCATCCAAGGTCAGGCGGGAGACGTCCGGAATGATAGTCATGGTGTTCTGTTAATAATGCCACTGGAAGTAAACTGCAAGAGAAATAGTTGCCCGTTCAGAGAATGGAAAAGTAAGCTTTAGTCAGGGTTTGATCCCTCCCAATGGTCTATTACCACACCCTCTGACGCCACATTTGCCAGTGACTGGTTTTACGTGCGACATATGGTAGCGGTAATAGATGGGTGTCATTACTGATGAGGACACGTCCCTGGTACTAAAATGTACAATATGTTTAATGTGACCGCTCGTCGTTGCATCGTGCAGCATTAGTCCATAGCGACGCTAAAGGCTGTATCCTGCAATTCCTTGACAGCTTTTTCCCGCACCATCTCCCAAATGATATTCCGCTGTGCTCGAGTATCCCCAAGATTTTCCCTGATCTCCTGAAGACGCTCGACATACTCCCTCCCATCGTCTTGTAGCTCCCGCAAAGTTGCTAGAGACTTTTCTAGACTGTCCTGCTGCATCTCCGGGGAAGCAAATTGTGACGGATCAATCACAGGTGGACCATTGTCAGCATACGAAACCAGGAAAAGCTTGTGAGCTGTTGGGGTAAGATCTGGAGCGCGGGCCATTCTACGTTCCTGTTCGTCTTCTTCGTCTTCAATGTCTTCCTGTTCTTCCTGTTTCGGGATCACACGCTCCTCGTCCAGTCGTTTGTCTGGGTCTTCGCTGATGACCTGCCAGAGCCTCCCCAGAGCACGTCTCATGACCGCTTCTCCTTCAATAAGACTGTTGGTGGCGTATTCCAGTTCGTCCAACAAACTTGACCGAAACGAATGCGTCACAGATTTATCCATGACGAATGAGGCGAAACTGAAATGCTGACCGATAGGTGGTGGATAAGGAGCGAGAAGTGGTGGTGAAGGCGACCGCATATGGGGAAGGCAAGGCGGGGAGGGTGATCTTCTTTCGGGTAACAGACATTTAATGCGTTTACGGGCGCGATCCTCAGCCTGGTTGAAGGTTAAAAGTGTCTAGAGTAAATAACTTAGCTCACCTCCCAGTCGTCCATACCAGGACCCCATGCAGCCATTTTTCCTTTGCGAACCCATCTACTGCCTTTTCTCATCTTGTTTCCCCAGTTGCCGTCCACTATGCTGACCGCCAAGTCGTCGTCATCTGAACTTAAGCCTTGTGAGGGGTAATACCACGCGTTGTGATCATTGAGGACCAGCAGACTAAACAAGTCGTAAAATCTCTGAAATACACGCGTAATCGGGGCTAACCTCATTTCTTCATGGGCTCTTTTTGGTGCGCTTTGCATAGTATCTGTTGAACGTCGAAGATTTGATAAACCAATAATAAACTGTAGAAATCTGCAACCAAGACCGATATCGCTGAGACCGGCAATTTCCGGTCTCTGTCGAGTGCTTCGCCGCAACTTGAAGTGGGCACTTGCATGAAGGATACTTATACATTGACTCGTCGGGCAACGCAGCTGATGAGGTAGGAAGTCTTTATCAAGGTGCTGCTCAGAAATTCATGTTCTTTACTGAGTACAGCTAACGTATTTCTGCTATCCCAGCGTCTGGACTCTGTATGATGCCGCGAACAGAGTTAACTTGCGGAATCATATCGCAATCTGTCATCATGATACTATGAATAGAGGCAGCTTGCGTGATGATATCGCGATCCGACAGGATCCGACGCGATCATCTTAGATTTTTGCCGAAGTATTAATTAAAGCGCCCAAAGGCAGTCCAAGGCGAACAATCAATCACAATACAGACTCCGAATTACAAGCAGGAGACCCATTGGGTGAACTATGCATGTGACGGGCACAGACTAACCTTTCACGCCCTACATGTCATCTGCCAAACAGGCTACAATGTTCGGCGATAATGGAATGAGCTTATCTTCTGCTCGAATGTGATTCTATCAGACGTTGATCTACCCTGATGCTTAGCAATTGAGATCGGGACTGTGACAAAAAAGTGTAGATTCAGGTGCTTACCAGTGTAGAGGTCCACTTGAATTTCAGAACAGATTTAGAATCTGGCAAGACTGGTATAAAGATACAAACTAGGGCCCACGCTAGTAGTATGTGCCTGAGGCAAGGGACCATGACAAAGGTTGACACCTACCCACAAACCAAGATCCGTGTATATGATGCCGCATGTTCAATAGTCACGCGGTCTCCTCATAGTCCTGCTAGATAGATTCTAGAACGTTGTCAGTCTTGGCAGTATCGATAACGGGATCGATGAGTTTGTCCGAAAGTGTACTGGATGATGAAAACTGACTGTATTTTTCAGTCGGACTTCCGTGGAGGCGGTGCATGCTATGATCAACAGGCCATGAAGCCCGTCTGCCTTGACTTCAAGTTCATACGTGAAGTATGGTCCCTGGTCTTGAGGACGGTTTCTGACTTCTGTAACAGGGAATGCAATACAGTGCAAATGTAGCACGCTCTCCGGAAAACGAGGAGGGCTATATTGCAACAGCTTTTCCAGCAGAAGTCAGTTGTACCTGAAGTTAGTAATATTCGCGCGAACGGTTGCACTTGGGAATTATCGCCGGCGAGTCCGCAGGCGTACGCCGTGGTTACAAAAAATGTAGATGCACATACATACACAAATCGCTGGCCTACCAACATAGCGAGATGATGTCCCTTGCTTGCATCTTGTAATGGATAGCAAATATACCTGGGATTCTATGACGACTCTGCTTGCGACTCTGAGACTATTCTCGTAGGTTGCGGTCCTAGCGCAGTGCCTTCCTTTCTTGCGACGCTTGCTTGCTCAAAGCTTTGCATTCCCTCTAGCCCCCACCGACCCATCATCGCCTTGTCCTGCAGCAAGGTTAGTTCTTTTCAGCTACATGCAAATCTGTAAATTTACCTCGTCCCACGGAGAACCTTCGTCAATCATCAGCTAGCTGTTTGCACGTGGAGAAAAGATACATACATGGAGTAGTCAACATTTGTTCTCCCGTGAATACGGCGTTAGCACCAGCCATGAAACACATGGCCTGCTCAGATTCACTGAGCGTGTTTCTCCCCGCTGCAAGTCTGATTATTGTTCCTGGGAGGACAACACGCGCGGTGGCGATCGTCCGCAGTAAAGTATGGTGAGCGACCCGCTTTAAAATATGTCAGCTGAAACATAGACATAAATGAAAGAAGCGCACTTCATTTCCTTCGAGTGGAGTGCCTGGTATGGGTACGAGTGCATTTACAGGGAAGGATTCAGGGTGTTCCGGCATACTTGTAGAAAAAATCAAAATGTTATGAGTGACAGTTGAGCGGTCGAGCACAAACATACTTGGCAACTTCCTGAATCAAGCCGACGCGATCCGCATCTGACTCTCCGAGACCCAATATACCGCCAGAGCAGACACTTATTCCAGCATCTCGAACTGCACTAATAGTGCCAAGGCGCTCGTCGTACGACCGCGTCGTGATGACCTGAGAAAGATGCAGGCAACAACTCCAAAATATAACATGTGTCAAACCTGCGGGTAAAATTCACGCGACGTATCAAGATTATGATTGTACGCAGTGAGGCCGCTAGTCCAAATAAATATGAAATGAGTTGAACCTGAGAGATAGAAAATACATACGCCTCTTTCAATTGTTTTGCTTGCTCTGGAGAGAGCATGCCAAGAGTCGTGCAGACTTCCATCCCCATACCCCGGACCTCTCGGACCATTTGAAGAATTCTTTCAAACCCTCTCTTGCGTCCTGCGAGGTCTCTCCATGCTGCACCCATGCAAAACCTTGTGCTTCCATTCTCTTTGGCTTTTCGTGCTGCCTCGATGACAGGTTCGATATCAAGCAAACGTGAGGCCTTCGTCGGAGTGGAATATCTGGACGACTGAGAACAGTACGAGCCTGAGTAACCGTGTCAGATAAAATATCATTACTCGGCATGATAGGCTCCCTACAGTCCTCAGAGCATCCACCAGCTATAGTACAACGTTTCAGACGATCATAGAGGAGATAGAGTGGGAACAAAGCGCACTCTTGATATTCATGAGTGTGCATAGCTGGATCTTGCTAGGGTCATGACTCTGACGATGAATGCTGCTTGCGCGGAAGACAAGGTCTAACAGAGGACTGTCGTAGATCTTTTGAATTTCTTGTCGCGTCCAGTCATGTCTTTGTGGTGCCGAGCGGGGTGTGTGGGTTACAGTTGCAAGCGATCTGCTGAATCTGGGAGCAGATAATCGAAGAAAGCCAGCACTGAAGTTCATGATTGGCCGAAGACAATTTGAGGGTAGGCTTGACTGGCTAGGAGGCCAATTTCTACGATGTATATGTAGATCTATAATTGTGGTCCGATAGTACCAATCGCGGTCGGTCTAGATTTGTTATCGCCGAGACTCTGATGGCGGTGTATTACGTAATTGTTGGACTCCTCCATGTCTTACAGTAACGATCGGGAATATGGGGAACCAGCATTTATCTGCCAATAATCTACATACATATTTTCATGACACGGGATGATAATGATACGTCGACGTGTTTTAACAGTATAATACAAGCTTCTTCATGGAATAACGGATGAATGCGATTAATTAAGTACAATTGCAAGTGATGCGGTTTTTGTGTAAAGTATAAAATATCTGGACTAGGTATCAGCGAGAAACATCATGCATATGTGGAGCTGGTGCAAAATTGATTATTTGGAGATGGGAGCTGAGTATCGAGCACTGAAACCTGCTTGGTTTCAGATACCATCGCGGTGTGATGTCGAGCTCACCGGAAGAGTCATTAATATGCGGGACCGACGGGCTTCCAGCGGACAATTTTTGAACTTTTGGACAACCTCGTCATGTTTTGTTGCCCCCGACCGACTCTCTTCGTCTGATGATTAGGAGCATGAAGTAGTACGCCTAGTACCCTTCTTCTCCCGTGCAGCTGAAGGTCCAGGGGAAGCCAATGAGATGTCCCGCATGGCACTAGACAAACATGCATCCAAATTTTGCTCATCAACTGTCTTCCGTAGTGACGCTGTCCACTGCCGGCGCGTGTACGCCGCTAATTCACGAGAATAGAGTGATTTCCGTTGTTCCACGGATTGGGTCGACATGCTGAAAGCTTGATGGGAATAACGAAGACTAGGAGTGAGAATATGCAAAGCGGGCACTGGAGATCAACCTTATATACGAGCAATCCGTTTTGACTGATTCTGCATGATTATTATTTCGCCGTCGGAGCCCAGCATGACGTTTTTGGAGTTGCGCATTGATGTCAACCCGTACTTGATCGGAGAAAACTCCGCCGACGTGACGCCGCCATCCTGAGCTACGCCGTCGTTACCAAGGACATCGACAATATCCAAGGCCTGATCGAGCCATACAGAACTCTTCGAAATTCAAAATGCTACACAGCGCTTAGCACGATACAATTACAATAAAGCTATAGTACCGAGAATGTAACAACAGTAAATGAAAGTGCAAAGATAAAAGCCATGTCCGAAAATGCTACACACTCGATCTAAATCAAAGCTACGAAAACAAAACAATAAAAGCAATGCAAATGGTATGATAGACGTTAAAAGGTGTGGTATGGTAGAAGATTGTCCGGGTTGTCGTTCGTGTTTTTTGGGGGGCATGAATAGGCGTACAGGCAAATAGTGCGATCTCGTTGGAACTTCATCGGCGACAAGTGATCAAGGGAGGCAGGCTGATAGCCATTTATGCACGGCGCCAAGCAGGAGCAGACGGTCCGCTCTTGGTCTTGGAAGGTGCACCTAGCATCACACCACCGGTGAGAACAGTAGTCTTGCCACCATCGTAAGGGGTGACTTCAGTCTTGGAGGTGTCAATAAAGACACGAGCCTGCCTGGCCCTCTCGCGACGGGAGAGTCGGGATGACTGACTATCGCTGTTAGAGGACAAGGTAGAGGCTGTCATCGCAGAGAAACAGGAGTCCGAATCGGACGAGCGATAGCTGGAGCACGAATCGGTAGATATAACAGACAACGGTGATTCAGAACGTGGAGGAACAGGGAAACGGTCGACGACAGGGGTCATCCAAGTGGGCGCACTGACTTCGTCAGCGATCAAGGCGAAAAGTTCATCATCATCTGTGCGATCATTCTCCAAGAGCTGCTGGGCAAATGTCTTAGATTTGGATGGCAACCGGTTGAAATGCGTATGGGGTGCCGCGGAAGCGGCCTGAGCCATTAGCTCCTCTGACCAGATTGTAATGAGCTTAGTGCCCTTCCCGAACCGCACAGAGATGCATCCTGGATCGACAAAGAAGTCGAACTCACGTCCGCCCATTGCCGCAATCCAGTCGAACCACTGGACACTGGATGCAAGGCACGCGGCATATACGGCACGTGGGGGAAGGCAAGTAGGGGAGAGGGTGAGGCAACGCCGGCCGGAACCACGAAGGGGTTCCTTGGGAGCCCAAGAAGGGGCGAAGAGTGCAGTTAAGTTTGCCTCAAGCGCGAGCTGAAGTCTGATGATTGTCGCAGCGGGGTGCGTAAGAATAAGAGGACGAGTGAGGTAGGCGATGGCCTGAGCGAGAGTGACGGAAAGGCCTGATGTAGTAGTCATGATTGCAAATAAGAAAGCAATTGGAAAGATTGAATAGGTGGAAATAACAGAAATCGCCCTGCGATGGTAGATGCGGAAGTGAAGCGCGCTGAAAAGGTGCTTGAGAGTGTGATACAGTCTTCAAGCAGTACTGAGTTTTGATTCAGACGGAGAGATCGAATGTGAGCAAGAGACAGAAACGTCTGAAATGATATTAATTATGAACTCATGAAGTTGAAATAAAAAGCTGGCTCACCTAACAGACTGGATGAAGAGACCATAAAGCAGATTAGCTGAAAAGGAAAGGGAAGTCAAACAGATGTGTAACGAACCTGGCTGCAAGGATAGAAAGTTAGTAAATTGATGACTGGATTGTCAAAACCCGGATGGAGAGTATGGGAGGTTATGGGGCTGAGCTTTATACGCATGCCATGCCAAGAACAGGCGCCAGGCGTAAACAAAGGCATGCTGCTGGCGGAGCGGTCCTCCATAATGGTCGCGAAGCGAGAACAAAAGGACCACGAATAATTTCCTTTTTTGACAACAATAGTGGGAAAGCATTTAGCACACTTGATGCCGTAAATGTCTGCAGTAGAAACTTGCGACGACAAAAAACATGTTTGCACCTGACCTTTACGTCTGATGTTATTGTTTTCTCTTGGGAGGAAGCCCATCTTCGCATCATTTCCTTGGTCCTTATCAGAAACACCGTTGATGATCTTTGAATTGAAGCACAGGAAAAGTTGTTCCAAGCCTATCATAATAGAAGGTGTCTTTCATTTATATGACCTGACTAGGACTCCGGACTCCGAGACTGTCGTCTTGACAGTTGACGAGGTCGATTGGCCAACAGGACTGGCGCGGTCGACTGGCACGACAACTGCTCACTGAGAGTCAATACGACGTGGAGCGGACGGTTCCGCAAGCTTAGTCAGATTTGAAGTTCTTAACTCTACTACCTTATCATCATCGAGTTTTCTCTCATCCTCGATCGTCAGCGTATCGCTCCAACTATCACCTGTTAACAAAAACGTTGACCACGAAAACACCTAAAGCTCGTCAAAAATGGTATGCTGCATGTCCGGTTTATTTGTGCGAAATCTTCACAAAATCCGCCCAGCCTCTGGCTGTCGATCTATTGAACCCCTCTGTAGAACATGAGCGCAAGCAACACAAACTTAAGCGTCTCGTGCAATCGCCCAACTCTTATTTCATGGATGTAAAATGCCCAGGTGCGTCCCGTTCCGTCAGAGCTGATAACACTGATCTCACACTGTTTTTGCTAGGATGCTTTGCTATTACTACTGTATTCTCCCATGCACAATCAGTCGTGCTTTGCGGCTCGTGTGCGAGTGTCCTCTGTCAACCTACGGGTGGTAAGGCGAGACTGACTGAGGGTATGTTATTGAATTGCGAATTGTGATACTAGTAAAGCACTAACGTCACTTTTACAGGTAGTTCATTCCGTCGGAAGAACTAAATACTACTTCAAATTTTCACACTCGCGTTACACTTCGCGTCCCCTTTCCACCCTTGCTCAAAACATTTCCTCTTGCAAAATCTGACTTGTTGTTCATGTACTTTTTCATCGGAAGGCGTACATAATGCATACGAATCTTCTGATCCGTTCAGCCCCACAATTACATCAACAGTATGTCACGCGCCTAGAGGCGAATGATCGCTGTCATGGTTGTACACGTTCCAGTGGGGCCACTCGGCTACGTTGCCGTCTTAGCTCATCCCACTTTGACTTAAAGCAGATTGACATATATCCAACACAATCTTTCTGTTGAAGGAAACCTAATGTTAAGTGCTTGATGCATGTCCAGTACAACTGCTCAACATCCTAGAAAGTTATTACATTCCGCACATAACTTTTTTTCTTTTAAGCCCAGTCATAGCGGTTGGACAGTACACAGCAGACAGTTTACCTTCCACTTACTATATGCACGATGTTATGGCCACCACATGATGGATTGATCGTGTGAGTTAGTTTTCAGGGTACTTGTTACTTATCATTTTTTTTCGCATCCTTGTGACCTTCTAGGTCGATGGTTATGTATTACCGGGTGCCAGAGCGCGCATGAGGCGATTGATCCATATACATATACAAAGCGGTTCATTTGATGCGCGGGTTATATGAAGCCAATATTGCAGTCTAGTGAGTTCCATGTTACATAGTACTGTCGCGCCCATTTACCAATGCATGTTGGAGTGATATCCGACTTTCGGCAAAACTAAACCTTGTTAAGACAACCTGGATGAGCTATCACACTTCGTAAGCCGCGCCAAGTGCTCCAGGGCCGCGAAAACCACTGAAATTTCGGATGGCAGCTCAGGCCACGTTAGCTGCCGCGCCTGAAAATTCAATGATCAGCTAACGACAGGGTTTTCCCCTTTCGATGGCCGCATTGCACATAGGTCCGTCCCTTACAACGGTTAGCCCTTCATGAACTTACATGACAATTCAGTGAGTCATCTCCTATCTTTTCCCGTATCTACTCCACTCCAAGCGACAACGCTTACTTTTGCTGACTAAAGCAGAATTCAGGAACCAAATGCTATATGGTGGTATATCTAGCACGAACGCTTTCGTCATCTGTCCATCAAGTTCACCGCTCCCTTACAGCCACCCTCTAACAATATGCCTATAGTCTCAGACGATCCCGCTTGGTGGCCGACCATTGAAGCGGTCATTGTTTCCAGCTATTTTATAGGTTCGTGGAGAGTCTGTTGGTTGATGGCGGTGATATCCTAATCTAAGCTTTGTTGCGGTTTTGCAGTGGCCGCCTCTGTTGGAGTGTGGTACGATTGGGGTGAGCGAGACTGGTATTTAAGACCTGCTGAAATCCTTATAGTATTTCCAGCACTGACGTTGGCACAAGAGGTAAGTTGACGCCACTTCTGAAGCTGCCATCTCTCTGAGAATGACTTTGCTTTACAGATCGAACTGATCTGGGTGAGTAGAGTTCCATGTCAGAAGAACAACATTGATTCGCGACAGAGGCAACGTTGGTCCCTGATGACTGCTTTGTACCTGTGTGTATGTAGCTTGCATCATAGTCGTGATCGGTAACTCGCGCTTACTTGAAAATATTCTAGCTGCGTTATGTTGGACTGGTATATGCCGTGTATGTTTAGAAGGTTCAGCATCGTCATTGCGCTAATGTACCGTCTCCCACAATCAGGATCAGCATACTGGGCATGTCTCCTCGCATACATTATGTTTATTTCTTCTGATCGGCGGCATACAGCTCAAGTCCCGACGATCCCGTTGACAGATACAGTGAGTATTTTCCACCGATGCCTACCATTCCCTTATATTTAACTACACCCTTATATAGGAGTGAGTGAGTTTCTTGACCGGCTCGTTGCTCCAATATGATGATCACCACAGCTGTAAATTGATTTGGGATGTATGATCCTCCGAGGCTGGTCACTAACTAGATTTCTCAGGCCACGCTTTCTTTATCACATTAAATTGGATAACTTTTATTTCAACTGCAATGCTGGGCGGTGAGCTTCACAGCTGCGATACATTGATCAGTAATATTGACTTGACTGAAACAATGCAAGTCATCATGATCGTTCGGTTATATGCCATGTATCAGCGATCCAGAAAGGTGCTGATACCTCTCGTTGTCACCTTGCTGACTCTCAGCATCATCAATGGCACGCTTTCCGGAAGAGCGACTAAGAATAGTTCAGCGGGTGAGCATTCATTATGGATGAAAACTGATGTACCACGCTCATTGGCAAATACCAGTGGTGCTCATTCTCTCCGGCAGTTATGTGTGCTCCCCCAGTTTTAATGGAAATGGAGTACTTCTGGTTGACCTCGCTTGGATAATCGGTATTGCATGGGAAGTCCTCGCACTGTGTCTTGCAGTCTGGATTTCTGTCATACACATCCGTGAACTACGACGTTCATCACCAGGCGGGGTGTTGCTGGAGGACTGTTTCACGGTGCTGATAAAATCTCACGTGGTTTACTTTACGAGGTGAGTTCATAACGTTCATGTGGTTCTCTTTTTTCGCTGAAGTTCTGAACTTGCTAGCTTTGTTGCTGTGTCTTGTTTCCAGATCGGTTATTTATCTCCAACGCTCTCAATGGTATGTCTATCCGACACTCATCTCTGTACTAGTGCGAGCACGATTCATCATTTCTATAGAACCCAGATTCCTTGGAAACTCAAGTTTATCTTGGCATTTCTCAGATTTTGACGCTCGTACAGATGGTCGTGCTGGGACCACGCCTGATCCTTAGTGTTCGAGAATTTAACGCTACGCTCGTGGCCGACTCCGATGCAGGAACCGTCATGAGTTCAGTCGCTTTCCAGGAGCGCGTGCATATAACAACTGGCAGTGGTGTGTAGCCGGGAGGATGCTCAAGGTGAATGACACTTGTCGGATACTCGGCAGGGGCGGGACAATTTGCTTTTTGTTTTCAAGTTCGTCGTAGTAGTTATTTGGTGTCACGAAGTAGACTTGCAAGAGAAACAAGTCTGGACAAACGAAAAAAAAAGTATTGTATCACCATGGGCAGCAGTTACATTTTTGTCTCTGTCGTAAGATTTTATCCCCAAAGAATTGCATGTATGCTACGGTAGTGTGTCCGAGGGTTCAATATTCCTTGTCGAGAATCATCTGTCGTACGAGACACAGAAAGGATCTGCAGAATATTGAAGGCGTCGTCCGATGTGTAGGGTATATAACAAATGCCAATTGTATCTTCAAGCTAGTTTCAAACAGATAGCATGTACTCTACAGCTTTGCCTTGTTTTCGGTAGGACCTCGTACGTTAGCCCGCACCACGCCCTCTTGACAAGTGACCGCAACTAGGTTGCCTGCTCGCGAGTACAGCTTTATATAGCATCAGAAATTCTGGGGAGGCTGCGTAAATATAAACGCCACACACCCTGCCATGAACCACTGCTCTACCGGATGCAGCTCGAGGACAAATGACCTACATGATGAAAGATATGAACAAGAATGACTTTTCGATAAATGATAAGACACCTACCACGTAAAGTAAACCATCTTCACAGCAAAAGTTGTCGCTGACAGCAGTTGAGAACACAATGGGTCAAGTGATCTATAGGAAACATACTCATAATACCATATGGAATGATCTAGTGTAGACTGGGTGAAGTCTGTAAGCAGATTCGAATGCACAAAACAGCACCGTACTCACGGTCATTGCATGAGCGTCAGGGCCATTTGACATCCGCTTGAGTTTAAGAGCATCAGACGCAACAGTGATGCTAGACATGGCAGAACATAAGAATATCTCCAGTGAGTCGAACTTCGGCTGCTTACAAGTTGAGGTCTGATAGGTATGCAAGAATACACTGATGATGTGGATTAACGAAAATCAACTAGCCATGGGCAACATCCTACCTTTTGGTAAGGTGTTCCATAATGTGACGCTTGACCTGTTCGGGCTTGCATCCAATGCATGGATGTTTGAGTGCCATTCTCGGTGGTCAATCCCGCCCTTCTAACTGCAATTGGACCATTCTCCCTTTCCTAATGGCAAAGTGAGCTGTATTGCGGATTTAAGTCGTAGGGCAGACATTACAAGGGCATAAGACAAGAGCATGTCCCGAACTTTCGAAGGAAGGTCCTCCCTCGTAGCTCGGCGTCTGAACAGCACCTCCTCAAGCTCGCACTCCTCAAGTGGGGGCACTTCGGGCATGGGCCATTGTTGTGTAGGCTGCCATGGTTCTGGCTTGTGGTAGGAACACATTAGCTGAAATATTACCTTTCCATTCTGAACTGCTTTGACGCTTCGGGTAGTGTATGACCGCCCTTCCCGTAGCCGCTCGACGAAATATATGATAGGAATAGCAGGTGATGCGCTCAAAAGAAAGTAACACTGAATGCGAATGAGTATTGTCGCTCAAGAAGTTGCACACGCGGCTCACGTGCAAAGACTAGTGGGTAACAGCGTTCTATTAACTTTCAGCGCCGGATGTGAAAAAGTATGCCCTTACATGTAACCCGAACACGGGATCGACACAATTGGTGGCGGCGACTATTGCTTGTGAGATGACCTGCCCTCCGAAAACGCCTCGAGCCCTCGTGGGTTTGAATAAAGTCTTTGACTGAAAGAGATTTACTTCAATCTGCTCAAGCTCCAAAGAGGTGGAAATCTTGGAGCTTTCAGCTTGGTTTGGATCATCCATAGTAAGTGCCTGGGCTGCAGAACAACTATTTCGTGTGGCTTGGGAAGAAAGGCCTGGCTACTGCGGTCTTCGACGAGTCCCCTGCTGATACTTCCAATAGATCCGCCGTAACCGGTACTTCCGGATGAGCCAGCAATACTAGTATGAAGCTGAAAGCACGTGAATTTCACCGACCCACTAGACTGGATGGGCGTGGACAACGAGCTTAGTACTAATTAATAACCACCTGGTTGAGTTCACCATATGTGCACAGATCTACTATCATTCCTGGGAATCTGCAACTGGCATGTAATATGCACAATGTGCAAAACACCTCAATGCGCTGCTTGAATCACCTCAAAAAAATTTAGATGCATGTAGGCTACTTAGAGATGATGTACTGTCCAAGTAGAATAAAAATTTCTTGAGTGTTGCAGCTGTGAGAGACGGAATAGTGGTAATTTGCAACCTTGTATAATCATAAATGATCCAGATCCCATAGATCCTAGAGAGATATTCAAAAAATTACACCCGGGGTATATCAAGCACCTTGTCAGGGTGTCAGAACACAATTTCGATAGAGGTCATTCTCTTGTTTTAAGATGCTATAGACGGAGGATTGTGGACATGTATGAAAGCGTGACAACAGATAGGAGAGTGTGTAAGAAATTCAATCTCCTCTACGGCACACTCGGCTTGATACACGGCACTGTCCAGTCAGTCGCATTCACATTGCATTGTCTCGGTCTCGTATTCTCGCAATGCCTCCAAACCGCCGGTGTAACCTTCAGAAGAAAGCTGAAGAAGATGCAACTCGTGAGGCCAAATTCACAGCTGCTATCCAGGCTGTCAAAGACAAAAAGACCAAGAACCTCCGGACAGCAGCTGCACAGTTCAAAGTGCCATATGACACTCTTCGTCGACGGGCACTGAACCTGACCAAACCTCATTCGAAAGCCCACAAAAACCAACAGCTACTCACCGAAGGACAGGAAGAAACATTATGTCACTGGGCCCAGTACCTGGCAATGACGGGTCACCCTCTCTCCAAGCGCAGCCTTCGTGCAAAGGTGTCAGAGCTGAGCGAGAAGTTAAAGGCAAAGAAGAAGCTGACTGGTAAAGATAAGGGGCCTTCAAAAATGTGGATCAGCTATTTTCTTGCTCGCCATCCGGAAATCAAGCTGGGACGCCCTACTGGAATTGATCCGAAGCGCATGCAAATGTTCAATTACACAACTGTTAATCACCACTTCAAACTCCTTGACAACTTCTTGAAATCGGAGAACATTCCCTGGGAGAACGTGTATAACATGGATGAGAAGGGGATACAACTTGGGGGAGGGAGGAAATGTGATAACACGAAGTACCTGTTTTCACGGAACGCAAAAGCCAGGGTCAGGGCAAAGAGTGACCAACTTGAGCTGGTGACCGTGATCGAGTGCGTGTGTGCAGATGGCTCCAATCTGAAGCCCGGCTTTGTATTTTCTGGGTCACAAATATACCCGGAATACTATGAAGAAGATGGTATAATGTGAGTCTCTGCTCGATGATAGGTAGAACGAAACTCACTCAATTATAGAGTTGCAACATCCGAAAATGGTTGGACGAGTGACTTTATTGGCACTGAGTGGTTTGTGAAAAGCTTCGTGCCGCAAGCCAAAGCACGAAATTCATCCGGTCAACCGATCCTCCTAATATATGATGGACACCGCTCACACGAGACCATCAAACTTCGTCAAGCAGCAGAAGAACATGGCATTCACCTTTTTTGTCTCCCCCCGCACACGACACATCGTTTACAACCCCTTGATGTTGGCGTTTTTGGTCCCCTACAGAAACAATGGCAGAGACGCAGTGAGGTTGTGATGGAAGAGACTGGGGAGGGGATCAAAAAGCGCAACGTGATTCAAGAGTATATGAAGGCGAGAGATATTGCATTTAAAGAGGAGACGATCCTGCAGGCATGGAAAAAAAAGTGGAATTAGACCGATAAACCCAGGAATATTTACAGAAGAGGATTACGCACCAAGTTACGAGTCATCCACCCAGTTGCACCTCCCTGCCACCTTCCCTCAGGCTAATCACACATTCTCTGATCCCCTTTCCGACACTGATCCAACATACGAGCCACCACAAGAAACTTCATCCGACTCTGACGGTTCAGAATCGGGTTCAGACTCGTCAGAATCTGATAATGGCAGTGATCCGAGTCATACCCCTAGAATAATAGGACAAGGAAACTTACCCCCGCAGTGGTCAGGAGCCCAGTCCCTTGAGTCTTCATCAGTGCCGGAAGCAGGCCCCTCCAATTTTTCCGGTTCACTGTCATTAGTGCCAGAAACAGATCCCAGCACGACTCAGACGACTCATCCCGCAAACACACTTCGGCGCCACACTCGATCAGTGTCTGCAAGTACGAAACTGCCGCTCTCACGAAGTGCAACACCAGTCGAGCGACCGAAAATGATTGTGGAACGTCTCCAACAGGCCGAGGAGGAGATTGAATGGCTCCGTCGAGAAAATGAATTATTGATGTTCCAAAAAGATGCTGCGGAGACTCACTGCTATTTTTCAGCTCAGATGGCCGACCACTACAAAGCACGGTTGAACAAGAAGCTGGACGACAAAACTCGCAAGGGATCAAGCAAGAAACGAACGAAGCCCTATTCAAGGGTGCTGACATCAGAGGAAGGCCGTGCGGAGCTGAGGGAATTGGAGGCTGATCAGGCTGAGCGCGAGCGTCAGGAGGAAGCGAGTAAACAGAAGAAGGTTGCAGAGGAACAGGGAAAACGTGATCGGCGAGCAGAGCAGGAGCGTTCTCAAGCTGCATTTACAGGCGCAATCAAGACCAAAAAGCTGGAGGAATTACGAGACGTAGCCGCAGCCTTGCGATTGCCGGAGACTGGACTCAAGGCTGAATTGTTACAGCGAATTTTGCAGCACTTCAACGACCACCCGGGACTCAAGAAAAATCAACGCTATGATGGTTTATTTAATCCCCCCCGTTCTCGCAGGCGCCGTCTCGAAAATGACAATAGTGTGGCGCCTGAATTCCCGCAAGATATGATTCCCGCAAATTCGATTCAACAACCATCCAGGTATCAACCACAGCTGCCTGTCACTCATTCCTCAATGTCAGCCATGGATCTGCCCCCACCCGGCTACGCACCTCCATATTATTCAATGCACCATTCTGTACCTCGGTCTCCACCTGTTCTTCACCCTCCCTTCACACCGGTTGGTAGCGCTAGTATGTCTCAGGATTTTCGAGTTGGTGGAGTGCAGATGTATGACATTGGGGGCTCTGGTGATGCAGGCCGTCAGCTGTATGAGTCAAGACTCTATCAACAGTACCATTACAATCACAATAATTAGTATATAGACCACGATCCTCGATAATATTCATTTTCAATGCGATGCGCAACGACGAGCTTCAGAGTCTTCGGAGAGTGAAAGTTGACGGTGCCGCTGCTGTGCCGACGTGTGACACAGCGTGACCATGTTTTGCAGAATACCAGTCAGACCCTGAGTTTTCTCGGCCTTCATCCGACACTCCACCAAAAAATCAGAAAAATCAGAAAAAATCATATTCATATAGAGTAGCTACGAATATATAATGGTGCAAATCAGTAGAAGATAATATGATGCGGTTGAGGAGTTACAAAAGATTTATTGAAAATGTTGCAGAACCCCAGGAGTGATAGTAATGTACACGTGCACGAGACCAGGGGACCGGGACTTTTTCTCCCGGTTATTACAGCGGCCTATAGGTAACCGCGTGAAAAATCACGGAGAACTGTGTTTTGCAGGTCTTTTACCTATGATGGGAGGGATTGGTAAAGGATGCGCGTATGCGCAGCTTGTTCAAAAAATTGCAAGACGAGTGTATGATATTAATTATGGTTAGACACAATTATGAGTCCTAGTCCTGATCCAAGATCCCCTGAGCCAGGTACTGACAATGACGATTTCGAGCGCTTAAACAAATCAAAAGACCTCAACGTCGATAGTGAATCCACATTCATGGCAAATTTGCCGACCCATGCCATCCCCGAGGTCTTCCGTTACCCCGAAGGCATGTTTATGCTCCTGGTCTTTTCGTCGTTGCCACACACCTTCTCTAGTCCGTCTGCGCAGGTCTCGAAGTCCTTCCTCGAACTTCTTGTTCTTCTTTTTCTTCTTCTCCTCCGATCGACGCTCCCATTCAGTGTCTAGAGCCTCTGGTGAACCCCATTTCTTCCACGCAAAATCTTCGACTTGACATCGCAAGAAGAGCATCATATTCGCAAACGTTGATTTATGAGGATTAGCTTTGAGTAGATGGGGTAGCAGCTCTCGATCCCGAAGTTCGGCTGGACCTATCAGTATATGCACTACAACCAAGTCAAAAACTCACGGTCAGTTAAGAGATAATCCTGATCGTCTGTCAGAGGGGGCGAAAGTGGGGCAAAAGCGAAGACTTACTTCTTTGCATTCAGTCTTTGTCAACAAACTGTATTTCTCTGGGCATTCATCCTTGCATTTGTTACATACCAAGCATCCAATATCTTCTTGTATGTGTAATCGATGTCGATAGACTGGCATTCTCTGCACTTCGGATTCAGGCTCGGATCCAAGTACATCGCTGTGATACAACTATCATTAGGACCTCAAAAGAGAGGAAAAAGTAAGACGTACGCGGTTCCAAGTTCTGCTTGGCTCGTTGTCTTTCTCGTTCCCGCTCCTTCGCCCTTGAGTCTTCATCCACCTCCTTCCCATCCTCGACCAAAAATCCACCTTTCGAGTTGACCATTTTAGACAGGTCATACTCAAAGTACTTGCCGAGGCGTGAGTCACGCTTCAGTGGCTTAGGAGCTGTCGGTGAAGTGGACACAGCTGGAATCACTTCGAGAGGGCGTTTCTGGTTCGGGTTTGGTGTAGATGACGGGCCTGCCTCTTGTTCTCGTTGTCTCTGCCTTGCTTTTGCTAAGAACTACGTTAGCTGAAATATAGACTAAAACGTGGGCACCCTCGTCATCACTAGCATGTACCTTTGAGGCGGTTAAGCTCAATGCGCTTGATTTGCTCGGGTGTTAGAAGCGAGTTTTCGGCAGCTGAAGGTGCAGGAGGAGCGTTCCGTCCTTCCATCACTAAATTGTTCGAGACTCCGAGTGATCGCTAGTTCTAACAAGGTCGGAGACGGTGTTTCTTTTGCATATGACAAAGACCTCAGTCTTACGGATTAGGAAGTTGGGTATTTTTGCCACTCACAAATGAGTGGACGTCGATAAGATAGGCCTCGAGCAGTTTCGGTAAACGTCACGTGATATGCGTGACAAAAGCATGAATGTATATAGGATGTTCGTAGCGACAAGATATAAAAAAACAGAGACGGAAGAGTTGCAGTGTATGTACTTCTCGACGAGTCGTCCGTTACAGAATTACCATTTGTGCAAAATTGAAGGAGGAGATGCCAACACAAGCAAGATGCAAGGTATACATTCCCGGTAAAGTCACAGCAAGTCACATCTTGCTTGTGTTGGCATCTCCTCCTTCAATTTTGCACAAATGGTAATTCTGTAACGGACGACTCGTCGAGAAGTACATACACTACAACTCTTCCGTCTCTGTTTTTTTATATCTTGTCGCTACGAACATCCTATATACATTCATGCTTTTGTCACGCATATCACGTGACGTTTACCGAAACTGCTCGAGGCCTATCTTAGAACTGAACAGACTCGGAGCCGCTGAGTAACAACTAGCACGCATTGTCTGCGAGCTCATTCCCGGTGTTCGATTAATATATCGGTAGCATAACGACAGCAATAATAGCAAGCAAGATACAAAGTGGTCAGCCGAAGCAAGTCATCAACTTTCTACACTTGTTGCCACAGCGTCGTCAACAACCGCCACTGTACCGTTCTGTTTTGGCGACTTGTCGCCCGAGTGATGATCTGTCGTGCCATTTGTAACGACTGGTTCGATAGGTGTAGGCCCGCTTTCTGCAGTCGTTGGAGTATCAATTTCCATCGGCAAATGCCCGCTCAACACGGGGCGAACCATCGTGGTGTGTCCACTAGGACCAGCCCCATGGGTAGAGCCTGCAGCACCCGAACTCAAGATGCCCACACCGATACCAAACCTCCTTCCACTAGCAATGTCCGCCTCACTTGAGCGACTTCTCGGTTCGCTGTCACGATCCCGATGCTGTGTGTGATCTCTACGCCCCCCCTCTCCCTCATCATCCGAGTCAGATAGTTCTCCGTCCGCTTGGATGCGAGAGTCCAATAGCCGTCGGTGTCTCCTGATATCAGGAGGAATCAAGTCTTCGTCCTGATTAAGGTCATCCATGTCGTCGTCTATCGGCATTTTTGGGATATCTAATAGTTTAATGAACATTCCAACACCTACCCAATACCTTCGAAATCCATACCTGTCATATGAATACCGGGAGGCCCTCCCAAATGTCGCAGATTGTCGAGTACGATATTCTTGACACGTTCCAAGTTACTCCGGTGTATTCATATCCTCTGTATTTGATGACCTCACGTCTAATTCGTAGTCGGGTCCAAAATACTCGTAGTATTCATTAACGGGTATTTCTAGATCATGTCAGTACGAGGTGAGAGAACCGCACTGAAACGAGGCCAACCTGGTGCCAGTTCAACACCAGCTGCGAGACCGGTTTCATAAGCCCATGCCCGACTGACATTGCGCATTGTGTAACCCCCGCCTCCAAGCAGTAGCAGGGGCTTGTTGAAGGACTTGACAAATTTGACACAGTTGGCATGCCCTGGATAAAAGTTCAGAATAAGTCAAGGGTAACACTTTTGGTCATACCTCGCATAGAAAGGTTTAGGCAGCCGAGTTTATCACCCGACAAGGAGTCTGTTCCACACTGAAGGACAATGGCCGACGGGTCGTACGACGCCATGACCTCACGGATCACCTGTATTGACAACATGTAGACGCCAGTTGGAAAAGAAAACTTCACTCACAGGTTCGAACACCGATTTATAGTTTTCGTCCGAGATTCCGTCACGCAATGGAAAGTTCAGCGAGTAATACTTTCCTTTGCCTATTCCTATGTCCTGATAGGTGTCAGCAATATTCCAACAACAGGACAAGTGACACGCACCCGCAATTCTCCAGTTCCTGGAAAGTACTCGCCATATTTGTGGAAACTGACCGTCATGACCCGATCTGTAGTGTAGAACGCTTCTTCCACCCCGTCGCCGTGATGCACATCGACGTCAATGTAAAGGACTCTGGTATGATATCTGGTGGAGTTCGATCGTCAGGACCATGTCATAATTAAACTTTGCAATTAGAACGCGCTCACCGGAGCAACTCAAGAATGCCCAGCACGATGTCTACAGCATGTAATTAGCGTGGAAATAGCTGTTGCAGAAAGAATCTGTATGACCATTGACATAGCAAAAGCCGCTTGCTTCACTTTTCTTCGAGTGATGAAGACCACCGGCCCAGTTTACAGCTATATCACATTTGTCTCGACTGAGACGCGCAGCACCCTCTGCAGGACACATGAGCGTTGACTTGTCATACTCCGTGAAACAGTGTTACCCATGGAGCCTCCGGCTGAGATAGAACAGTAGTCGAACAGCCCATCGAAAACGGGACAATCATCACCAACGTTGTCTATGAAAGGAAGCCAGGATAGTTAAACGACACGAGAAGATACGAGGCGAAATCACTTGCATTTATGTTGTTCTTTTATGTACGAATTCATATTGCTGGGGGTGATGCGACTGAGGAACTCGACGTATTCGTCAGAGTGAAACTGTGTCATTTCGCGTTTTGTTGCAGGTTTAGCACGCTGCAAAAAAGTGAAATCTGGATCAAGGGAACGTCCATGCATTCGCAGGTACACTCACGAATATCTCCATTTTCTTGTACAGGCCATAGTTCATAACCAAGGAATGACACATTCGTATACGAGTTGGTTTCATCCTGTTCCGGGCAGATAATCATGTCACAACCCTCAACCTGACAGAGCCATAACTCACGGGTGCCCGGGACCATAGTGAAAACCCCCGATGTCCGAGTCGAAGAAGTAACACTGACGAGGAAGTAGGCATGATCTAATCGAAGGATTTTCGGCCGCAAAGAAAATGACTTACCACTCTCTTCTTCTGACTTTCGCCATCAAGGGGTATCATGTTTTGCGACATTGTTTGTAGAATAAGTAGAACAGTGAAGGACTGTCAGTATTTAACCGCTGAGCAGCCTTGAATTGGGTTAAAGATGACTTTCGTGAGTTGAGGGCACCCTGAGCACACGTGATCTGGTAACGGTTTTTGGATTCAACAATGCAGCATGAGGTACTATTACTAGTTGTGAGGTATGCTATACGACACACTCGAACTTCAGATTTTTGCCTTTCCCAGCAGTGCTTCACTACCCTTGTAGACGAGAGTGGATGGGGCGAAACCGAAATCATCGTTAAGTTTGATGTCCTGCGCAAGGACTTAATGAAACCCCATTGGCAGATGAAAACCCACTGACCAACTCTCCTGCTATGACCCGGACCTACGGATTTAAGTATATAAGCGCCTCGTTTGCATCATGAAACACTATGAACAGACCATGGACCAATGATGAACTGCATGTAATCCTGCAAACCAGAGCTGGATGAAAATCAGGGGTGAGAAGATCATCCATCGTCGTTCTCAATTCTTACTTACCTCTCGGCCAAATGTTGTCTCAAAGGTTTGCATGAAAGGCGTTACGGCGTTCAAGGTTAGTGGGAGGTCGAGGTTCGCCGTGGGTACTACCTCTTCAACGCGCGAGATAACTTGCTTGAGGGCCTCTCGAGCTTCTGAGAGATTGTTCTCCATTGGTGTATTACGGGTGCGGGTGTCATACGAAAAGATGTGTGGGGCGGGTCCTGACACGCATTCGATGAGGAGAATAAAATGATCCCGCGCATGCCGCAAATGTTTTCCTGCGGGCAGTCTCTCAGTAACATGCACGAGTTCGTATTGATCACATGAAGTGTAATGTCACCAATAGTTGACCCTGGAAGGAATTTAGATTGGGCAGTGAGCTGGTCGTCGGAAGTTAAGATATTCTCCACAAGATCAAGGGCCTGTCGAAGAACAGTAGTCGACACAAATTGAAGCTGAATGAGGGGAGAGAGGCTAGCAATATCACTACCGTTTGGATGAGACGAGTCTACTTCAGTGACCATGGTGGAAACTGACATGAGGGGATGCGGGTGCTCTCAGGCTACTGTTCAAACGAATTTTTATCTCTATCACATATGCATTTGCAATGAGGCTAGCCTCGAGGATAATTCATGACCGAGGCTATTAGATAGAAGATCAGTAGTACTAAGTAAGTGCCAATGGCAATGATAGTGCATGTTCCTTCTGCCAAATTTCGAACAACCCACGATTTAAAGATAGGTTATCCGAACTCAAGGCGAGGTCACGATATTTCCATCTGCCAGAGCTACTCCAAGCTAAGAAAAGCGGATCAGAGACTGGAAGATTCTTGTGACAAAAAGTCTACCGTCGTCGTCACTCTGGCTGAAGAACACAAACATGTGTTTCCATGCCTTTTCACTGACACTCCGCTGATATAAGCAAGCGCGCCCCCGCTTTTCCCGAAGCTGAGAATTATCACGTCTCAATCACATCTCTTCCTCAATGCTTGCCTCCTTCAGAACAACAGGCTCGTTGGCCCGAGTAAGTGACATTTAATTCATGTTTGTTTTTGTATCTGATTGCTGCATAGCGGGCAGCATCTGCCGGTCAAAGGCGTTTCCTTTCGATTCATGAATACCAGTCGGTGAATCTACTAAACTCGGTGAGATTGCTTAGAAATCATAAGCGTTTTCATAGCGTGACGATTATTGCTTTGATCCCTAGTATGGCATACCAACACCAAAGAGCATCGTTGCAAAGTCTCCTGAAGAGGCCTACAGCGTCGCTCAGAATTTTGGTGAGCTTTTGGAATCTTCATGACGTGTATCCCTCTCGCTAAGACTCGGATGCCCAGGCACAGACAAACTCGTGATTAAGGCACAAGTGCTTGCCGGTGGCCGGGGAAAAGGAAAATTCGACAATGGCTTCCAGGGTGGTGTGCATACCGTCGACAAGTATGTCACAACTGACATAGAAATGTCCCTACTCATCTGGTCAAAAGTCCACAGCAAGCACAGGAATATGCTGGCAAGATGATTGGTTCAAAACTCATCACGAAACAAACTGGTGCTGGTGGTAGAATCTGCAATGCTGTTTGTACATTCTTTACGAGCTGTTTCCCGTCTCTGACTACAGGACAGGTTATGCTTGCTGAGCGTCGTGATCCTTCCCACGAATACTATGTTGCTGTACTAAACGACCGTGTTACCCAAGGTGTTGTTCTTGTCGCGTCCAATCAGGGAGGCATGAACATCGAGGAAGTTGCTGCGACTAACCCTGGTGCTATCATTACGACTCCCATCGACTTCGAGAAGGGTTTGAGCAAGTCGACGGCCCTTGAACTTGCCAAAACTCTTGGGATCAAAGAAGGTGGTCAAGAGGAAGCGGCAAACATTTTCATCAACCTGTACAAGATATTCAAGGACAAGGATGCCACTCAAATCGAAATCAACCCCATGTCAGAGACTGTCGATGGCCATGTACTTTGGTGAGCGGAAATCTCACATCCTACGTTTCCCCCCTCAATTTGTATCAGCATGGATGCCAAATTCGGCTTCGATGACAATGCCGAGTTCCGCCATGAGGATATCTTCGCGCTTCGCGATATCTCGCAGGAGGAGCCATCAGAGGTTGAAGCTCAGAAGGCCGGTTTGAACTTCATTAAGCTCGATGGTAGCATTGGTTGTTTAGTCAACGGTGCTGGATTGGCCATGGCCACGATGGACGTTCTGGCCCTACATGGCGGCAATCCCGCCAACTTCTTGGATGTCGGGGGGTACGTAGAACATGATGAGTTGTGCTCTGTACCTGACTACTTATCCTCAGAGGTGCCACCCCCGAGACGGTCAAAAAAGCCTTCGAGATTCTTCTCTCTGACCCTAAGGTCAAGAGTATCTTCATCAACATCTTCGGTGGTATCATGCGCTGCGATTACATTGCCGAGGGCGTCATCAAAGCAACCAAAGAGCTCGGTCCTTACTATTCCATTAGTCGTCAGATTGAAGGGAACGATGGAAACGGAAGCGAAGGAGTAAGTTTTCTTTCTTGACTGTTGCGAAACCTGAGTCTGACTCTTAATCATGTAGGATGATCAAGGCGTCTGGTCTGAAAATAGTTGCATTGGACAGCCTTGATGAAGCTGCTGAGACTGCTGTGCAGCTGGCAGTTTAGAAGTAGAAGTCACTTAGATTACTCACTTGCTTATAAGTTATTGTGATGAGCTGCGGACCTCATACCCGTGGATTGCTAGCAGATGTGCATTGAGAGAGTAGGAAAATAACGAAACAACATATAATAACATGTCAGAGAAACATCAATATATCGTCAGGTAGCATTACACGTATCACCACGACGGTCGTCCATATGGTAGAGGTTGTGCAGGACTATACATAGTAGCGTGCGAAGGTTGAGGAGTAGAGTGTGTTTGCTGCATCGGTGACATCCCAGGCATACCATCAGGACGCCCTTGTCCGCGGCCGGCAACGGTCATGTACGGTTGTGGACCAGCCATCATAGGAGAGTGCATGCATTATCACAGGACTCCCAGCATACATTGAGTGATTCGAAGGAGTCGCTGGATGCAACACAGGACTCATCACTGACATATTGCGTGGGCGGGTTGGGCAGCTCCATTTATCTGTGGTGGTGATTGCGACCCGTGTGGCATAGGCGGAGGGCCCCATACATCGATGGAACCCCATTTGGTGAGGGGTATGCCATCAGCTGCGTAGGGTATGGCGAAGTTACCGGCCTCACTGCACCAGAGTGGCTTTGAGATGGGAGAGGCACCCATATTGGTTGGCCGCCACCAAACATGGGTGAATGCCCGTTGGGTCCGCGCGGAGCAGGACTTGGCGGTGGATACACAAGTGGTGTGGGACTAGGTGGGTGGGCCATCATCGGCGAGTAGGGAAAAGGGGGCCGGACGCTCATGCTTGATGGGTGGACAGGACTATATGTATAATTGGAAGGACGGCTGATGGGTCCGGCTGCAGATGACGGTAACGTACTACTGCTCCTCGTAGCGGAATTCGATGAAGTAGGTACTTGCTGGAATGCACGTGTGACATCATGGAGTGACATCTTGGATGGAACGTTTGCTGCTGAAGTAGGAGGGGGAGTTTCTCCATCTTCCAGACTTGACATCTTGCAATGTGAACGGTAGAGCAGTGAGATCATCCGCAATGCCCTCGAGGGAGTTTACTGCGTGTACTAGAGTCTTGTCAGAGGGCTGTGACCATACAGCTTTTAGATGCTCGGGATCCGGTGCTCTCGCCGGAGATTCCTTTGAAGATGAAAAGCTCAAAGGAGATTTTGTCCATGGTGTGCTGTATGATGCAGATCCAGGGGTGATGAGATTTCTGTCAACCTATACACCCTTGAGCCACGAAAGATGCATAAAAAATACAGCGGGAACACCGACCGATTCATCCGAGCTCTTAGAGTCCAGCTGCGTCGAAACAGCAAGTTTTGGGGAGCTCGTGTCTTTCCCAAGACCATTCACAACGCGACTGATTGTAACCGTCTCCATGGTATGAAAACTTTTGTCAGAAGAGTCTACAGCTGAGGAGAATAGAGCGCTTGGCGGATCACTTTCAAGTGGAGATGCCGGTATTTCGTCCAGCTCGCTGAAGACAGTGAAGGACATCGAGTGCTTCTTTAACTCTTGACTAGCTGTGTCGGATGGGATATCGCGATAAAATGCTACCGCAGAGCCTACCGGCATCTTTGGTTGAGCTCTAGGACGTTGCGTAACGGCTTCCGCTTTGTTGATGCATGGTAATACACTTTGGGCAGAGGGGGCAAGTTCTGGTGGGTTAGGAGGAGGCGAGCAACTGATCGTGTCAAGAGCGCCTGCGTTGGCGCTATCTAGGCTGACTTCTGGAATAGATGGGACAGACAGCAACCCTCCTCCAGGACGGAAGGTCATCGACCTTCGACCGCCCATATGACGAACCCGGCTTTGTTGATCCAACAGGAAGATTGACCTTGGGTCCTGATGGAATGGCGAAAGACGAATGATTATGCCGTGCTCGAGGAAGGAGTACGCGAAACCTGGGCTTGCTTCTGGGAGACGAATAGTTCTTGTGGAGCACATCATTCAAGGAGAAGTCTTTCTTGGTCATGCCATCGACCGGTGGATCCCAAGACATTATATCCCATCGAACCTGCGAACGCGCATTCTTCAAAAAATGAGCTTGCCGCTTAGGAATGGGATCCAAAGGACGTGATTGGCTGGGGAGGCGGACCACAACGGTCATTCGAGGCGAACGTGGTGGTTCACAGCCAGTGACATCGAAGACTTCGTGTTCTTCCCCCCAAATTCGACACGACGTGGCCTCAATGCAGGAGGAAGCCATTTAGGCCCACCTGAATAACCCCGACCATTAGCATTGCCCTGAGATGGAATGACATCTGGTTCGGGCGGTGCATCTGCTGTCTCCTTGATAGACTTGTTTTCGGATTCCGTCTCTTTCATGCCATCCAAAGCTCCCCTGATGCGAGACATCACATCATCGAGAGCAGACATTGGCGCTTCGTCGGTAGCCCGGTCGAGTTAGGCGTTGTGGAGATGTGGGTAACGTCGTGGTGGTTAGATGAATATGACGTTGAGCCATCCGCGATAGAAGAACTCTTCGAAGGCGATATATGCGCCACTGCCTCCCGTAGCGATTCCGGACTCGGAAGGCTCACCGGAGCATCCTGTAACGGTTTGTCCCCAGTCTCCTTTGCAACTTCTTGGTTCGTCGATGAGGATGAAGCTAAAGCTTCCGGACAACCTCAATGGGAGTTTTGCGACGCCACACGCCTGGAGATTTCGGGCGAGCAGGAAGTGTCTTGAGGCTCAGAATCTTCAAAGAAGTCACTTGCGACAGGCCGAGGAGGGCGGGGCGGTCTTTCATTGCCTTTGTATGGCACCTCAGATTGCGGGGCCGCTGGAGCACCAACTAATTTACCCATATCAGAAAAGTCCACCACCTCGAGATCCTCATCTGCAGAAAACGGCAATAAACTCTTCTACTCGGAGCAGCGGCGCAGGCACACGGAGCTGCACAGGTGCTTCTCGAGGCGTTGGCGGCGACGATGGAGGTGGAGCTTTGCTTCTCCAGGAATCCGTTTTTGAGGAAATCGTGCGATTGCTCTGCATTGAAGGGCACAATCGGCCTCGGAATCATCGGCGGTCTGACAGATGCTCTTAGAGATGGCGGTTGCCCTATCGGCTTGACAGGCGTTGGACGTTGTGCCGTGGCATCGACTTGCAGCGCTTGCTGGGAAGGAGATTTAGCTGCTTCCGCAACCTCCTGTATCAATTTCACGGCTTCCGCTTCCTATAGATGAAATGAGCCGTGTGGGATGTTAGTCACGTCACAGAAACCCACTTGAGCGTTCTTCTTCTCTTCGCTTGCCTTGGATTTCTCCTCTAATGCAGCTGCCTTCTGTCGGGCGCGTTCTTTCTCTTTCTCCCGCTCCTCTTCTTCCGCCTGTCGTCGCTGTTTTGCGCGCTCACTGAGATATGCATGGCCGTCTTGTGAACGTCTTCGATGCTCAGCGCAGGAGTTATGAATGGGGCAGGGGTTTCGGAGGTCACCGAGATAGTGGACCAATAAGGGTGACATGACCAACGACACTACCCCATGAAGTTGTAGTGGGCGAATCGAAATGTTGTTGAGAAGCAGACAGAGGTTGATGTGGATCTTTCGCAAAAAGCTCTTCCAGGCGGACCAGTTGAAATATGGGGTGGAAGCTGCCCGATTGGCATCGCGCTTCGACGGTAATGGTGGAGGGCCCATGTTCGAAACGACGATCTGCTATCAAGCATAATTTCATGCTTCTAATAGGAGAAACAGACGGGACGGTCCCAGTTTGGCGGCCCATTATTGGGGAGAGGTGTAAACCATCACGAGTCCTGCCGAAGGGAGCGTGGGGACCAGGACCGTTTCTCGATTGTGCGCGATGAGCGATCATAGCCACCCGCAGGTTTTGGAAGTAAATTGCACTGGGTTGTACTAGGCGACCGCATTGGTCCATCTCGTCCACTACGCATGTCAACTGGAGGTGGAATATGCTCTGTATGAGAGCCTTCCTAGACGTCGAAGCCCCAGGGAAATGACGGAGCTTGGGTGAGAACCGTATAGCTCGAGTCTGTTGAACGTTCATTGAAAAGAACTCTTGGACCTTCCGAAGGCGATGTAGCTAGGATGCGAAGACGCAGGGGACATTGACGGATGTCGAGGAGCAACGTGGTAGAATTCCTTGTGGACCGAAAGATGGAGAGGGGCCTTGATCGTGGCCATCTCCGGTCAAAGTCGTCGCAAAACGATCCTCTTTACTAACAGGTGCTCTGCCGCCATCGACAATCTCTGGGTGGGGTTCGACAGTATCCGTAGCTGGGTCCAGGGTGATGGTACACTTTGCGCACTAGCTTCAGCTGGTGATATCTTGTACTTGCCTTCCGTCGCCAAATTCAAATGACTCCGTCCAGAAAATGGTCATCATCTTCTTCCATCTGCGAAATGTCAGGAAAATGAATAGGAAGAGTGAAATGAAGCGGACCCGTCCCCAGTGGTGGGCGTTTGGATCAAGGTGAACACCTCGGAATGCATCAGCTTCTTCTAGCGTCACACTATTGTGAATGAGGAGCATCAGAGGGCTTCTGTGATTCAGGGACCTTGGGTGATGGTCGGCCTAAAGAAGGCAGATCAATTCACGGACTGCACCTACAACATTTGCAACGTACCATGAGCAACTTCGGCAGCCGTAGGAAAGTCTGAGGGACCTGCAGTGTCCGGGAACAAGACTGGTGCTACGACTTTCGGATGCCCCCAAGCCGGTTTGGACGCAGTGTCCTTCTTCCCCGTGGCGGACGAAGTCGATGCGATAGCTCGTGGTTTGTGGCTGAATGACTTTGCCAGCGACAGGGAGCTGCGGGGCAGCTGGAACAGAAACGGGCGCTGGTGCAGCGGCATGCGGAAGTGGCTGTGGAGGGGGTCCATTGGAATTGATTGTGTTTGAAGAGACTGGAGGTGCCGGATGGTGGACGCGACCAACCCGGACCAGTTGTGGTTGATAAAACAGGCGCCGCTGTGAGCTTGGTGGTCACGAGCCGAGAATGCGTGCTTATTGGTGGAGCTACAGGTCGGACAGCTACAGGACGTCGTATTGGATATTATTATTAAACACAACATTGAACTTACGAGCTGGACTGCCAGACTTGACGACAGGTACGTGGTTCGATGACGTGGTAGCAGACCCTGAAGAGGATGAGTTCTTCTGTAGGAACTTCTTGTTGATGTTGACAGAAGTAAATTTCTTTGGATGTGGGGCAGCAATGATGAATCTGAAGCAGGAAGAGCCAGTTGAGTGCGAGATTGAGTTGATGAGTTCGTAGGTGAGATCAATGGAGGTGAACTTGAAGTCTTGAGAGTACAAGCTGCGACTACAGAATGTTCTTCGGAGACATTGGATGAACTCAACGACGCATTAACAGGTCCCTCTTCTGCATGATTTTCAGTTAGCCCCGTGTTTGAGTTGTCGATATTGGCCATATACGCGTCCCAAGACGCCGATAGTCAGTTTTCTGTCCCTACAGAGATTATAGCAAGAGCCGAGAAGGAAATCAAATAAAAATACACAACAATGAGTTAAAACGTTGAAAATGACACGGTTAACCTGTTATTGACTTGCCTACAAGCTTTATAGCGGACAAACGATATTTCGTTGTCGTCGACGAGCAGAAATCAAACGAGGTAGGCAGAGCGCAACGTTGAGCGGGCGGTTTAGCCTATTTCGGTTAAGTACCTAATAAACTACATGGTGTTATATGCTAGCGAGCTCAGCCTCCTTTTTATTCAGTCGGTCAACTTCTGCATCAAGAGCTACATTTGCCATCTCAATCTGAAGGATGCTCGATATCAACTCTGTCCATTTGTTCTCCAACGATGTCAACTGGTTTCCAATTCGCGTCTTCAAAAAAAGTATGAACAAATTGGTCTCCTGATCAACACGAATCATACCTGAGAGTTCTTGCGTTCTCTGTTAACATCTTGTGGTGCCGCTGCTTCAACTCCTCGAGCGCTGTTTCTGCTTGCTTGGCTGTCGCTTCTAACAAGTAATTATGAATTCTCCAAGCATTAGGTCCATATGTCTGCAGCAGCGCGAGATTCGTGTGCCTTTGAGAGACCGTGAACCCAAAGTACTTGAAGGATAATTGAAGACTTACCGAATACGCTGGTGCTCTAGTTGGGGACTGTGCATTCTTCAGCGCTTGTTGCCACTCCCTCGTCTGTGCCTGGGGTAGACGGTCGGTGCTGGAAGTTGATATCTTACGGTATCCAAAGGTGCTAAAGGACTTGATGAGACTCGACGCGCGCGAGCTCAGCAGCAAGCCCAGGTTTGTCCTAAACTATGTCAGGTCTATGAACGACCAAAAGGTAGCTTAACATACCTTGAAGAGCTCTATTGGAGGGGGGAACGCGAGGATGCAGAGTCTGCGGTGGTTTTGGCTCACGTGCTAGCTCGCGCTCGACTTTTTCTCTCAATATGGATTCTGCTCGAGATCATTGTCATAGTAAGGTAATGAGTCGAATATTTCTGTTCTATGAGCGTCGTTGTCGATGAGTGAAGCCATGGTCTGCTTGACGGCGCCGGTCACGATTCGGATCGGAGTGTGAATTCACCGTTGCTCTAACTCGTCTGAACCCGCTGAACAGTAGACAGCAAACATGTCGTTCCGCACGGGTCTGCGGGTCACAAATCTGCTTAAAAGCTCGTCGAAGAGACCAGCGAGGACCGTTGGCGTCGCTTTTGACGCGAAAAAATTCAGTCGTCATCGTCGCCTAGAGGTAAGTTACACCTTGTCCTAATTGCCGATGACCGTCTTGACAACTTTCTAGCCTCCGTTTCGCCATTCACCGAGCCTACATCTCCAAATCCTACGGCTACCAAGTATGCTGAGACAACCGAGTCATTACACACTTATGGATCATACCTCATGCAATGTCTCCCCAAATTCGTCCAGCAGTTCTCCGTGTTAAAGGACGAGCTCACTTTGCATATCTCTCCGTCTGGTGTCATCCCCGTTTTGACTTTCCTTCGAGATCACTCGCAGTGTCAGTTCAAAAGTATTGTGGATATCACCGCTGTCGATTTCCCAGAACGAGAGAAACGCTTCGAGGTGGTTTACAACATGTTGAGCATCAAGCATGCGGGGAGGATTCGGGTCAAGACCTAGCTGGCGAAGCGGACCACCGTACCCAGCAGTGTTTCTGTCTTCAGTGGAGCAGACTGGTATGAACGGGAGACGTGGGACATGTTTGGTGTCTTCTTTACTGGTCACCCCGACTTGTAAGTCACGTTCTATATCCCTATGGACCGGTGTATTGACCTTTTATTTTCAGGCGTCGCATACTGACAGACTATGGTAAGTCTTCTTGGATGCGATAACTCGCACTTGTCATAGATTTTTGTCTAGGCTTCGAGGGGTCATCCCCTCCGAAAGGACTTCCCATTGTCGGTGTGTAGCTACCACTACAAGCCGCTAATCGTAATGATGGAATTATCGTTTTTAGGGCTACACCGAAGTCCGCTAACGACGGAAGAGAAGAAACGCGTCGTTTACGAACCTCTGCAATTGACCCAGGCTTTCCGGTCAGTTCAGCATCACACTCGACCACTGCGTTTTGCTAATCACCCCGATCATATGTAGCAACTTCGAGTCTCTGTCACCTTGGGAACAAGTAGGACAAGGGACAAAGCCCTATCAGGCCCGTAGAGCTCAAGTCTGTTCCTCCACCTCAGCCCGAACAGCCTCCAAAGAAGTAGATGTTACTACGTTATTCATTTATATACATACACAACATTCCTATCCTCTGAGTGCAATCGTAGTGAGTCGTCGTAAGGTAATACATAGGTGGGGCAACAATATGTGAGTATAGAAGCGCATCAAGGGGATGATTCAGAGGGCATTTCTTGAGGCGTAGTGGGCTCGGCTGCCTTCTTGCCCCATCCCATCCGTGCGACAATGTAGTCCTGCCCAATCACTTCAATGCCTACCCGAAGAGACTCAGCTACAAGATCTTCCACCCAGTCGTAATCATCCCAGATCTGCAACCAACTACCAGGCATAGCCTGTGTTATAGTCGTGTGCACCAACTTATGCCCGGGATCAGACAGATGCAACAGGAACTGGAGGTTAGACTGCTCGGGCGCTTCTGTGGACTCCCCTGAAATATCGACGGGCCGGGGTAGGATGAAGGATGTGAGGAATGGCTGAATGCGGAGGTAGACAGAAGAGTATGTAACAGGATTCTGAACAGATGATTCTTTTGGTGGTTTTTTTGAATTGGTCTTGATGAATTCATCTAGATTTGCCTTGGCGGAAAAGTCAATCTCGGATGCACATTTCTTGGCATTGGCCCCTTACCTGCGCGAGCCTGAGAGCAGCATCGTATCCATCCACCGAATTGAAATCCCGAGGAGTTCCTGTTGTAGATTCCTTGGGTTTTGATTCGTCACCTCGGTTGACAATCAAATCGCCACCCTCGACCTGTTCCATGACCTACGCAACAACATCAGCACGGCGGATACCTGTAATGTCTTGGTGCGTACCCTAGCGAGTGACCGGTATACAAGTGATTCGACGCCATCATATCCTTTCATATCATGACTGAGCCATACTTGAATGACCTCGTGCTCAGATATCGGGGGAGCAACTACATTCAGAATATCTGTCAATGTAGACAGTCCAACTCTCTTAAAATCTTGTCCTAGAGGGTACGAATTAATCGACTTTGAATCAACTCGTCGCGCGCAGACGAACCGAGTTTGTCGAGCTGCGCAGTCTTTGCATACTCCAGGACTCCCTCTCCTAGCTTACTGATGTGTTCATTCTTGGGAAGGTTCTTGACCTGCTCGTCCACTACAGACCTTGCTTGTTGGTAAGCGGTACTTGCACTGGTCCATACGCTGCCCCATCCCCAACCAGTTGAGGAAGCCGTAGGCTCAACTTCAGCCTTGGCAGCAGGAACTGACGATGGTTCTGGCTTTGCTACGAGAGAAGAGGTTGAGGAGGACGGATGAGCACCGACTTTAACTCGTTCGGTGCTCTTCCTCAGTGATGGGGTTCCCGGGCGCGAAGCATGTCGTTCTATGTGTGATGTCGTGGAGCGAGTTGGCTCTGAGCTCTTCTGAGTTATCTCATCAATGAATGCGAGAACATCCGCTGGGTCTCCTGCGCTGCCCGTATTTGCAGCGGGTCCACGCGTCGTTGGTGCGACTGGATTAAGGGAATCAAGATCATCGAGAAATTGAAGGGCCTCTTCCTGCTTTGACTTTAATTTAGAGGCCATCGTTGTAGTGCGAGGCAAGTCGGAAGGACCCCAAACTTGGGCAGCGGATTCTGATAGCGCGCTTACGTCGAATGCATCAAATTCACTTATCCACATTCGTTCATCATTCCTTTGTATGGGTCGTAAGAAGAAAGTCGAGCAGGAGGTATACCACGTCGGTGCGAGCTCAGCTCTTCATCGCTATCACTATTGACGCGCTTGCTGGTAGAGGTCATCACCAAAGCTCGCGTCAGTGAAGAAGGAGACTGGGTAAGCACATGCCATTACGCTTCGAACAAAGATCTAACCGTTCGTCCAGGAATACTATGTCAAAGTGGGTTTTGATCCGTGTTTGATTGCGTCCTCTAATGATCCATAGTGGGCAGGCTATGACTCCGATGCAGACACGTCAGATCCATTTCCCTTTCATTGATCACGAACTCATTTTCCAATACGTTATGCAGTTGGGAGCCAACACAGAATGTGCTCAAATGCCAGCGGCTCTTGTCCAGCTTTTGGGATCATGTTGGTTCTGACGACGACGATTACTCCGTCGGATACGAGATTACGGCGAAGGACCATTGGATAAGTGAGACACGGTTGACCTTTTGCTTGGCGGCTCAACTGACTGGTATGAAGAGAAAGAGAAGGAGTTCTTCGCGACGCAGTTTGCAGAAGACGCAAAGCTCAAAAGTGAAAAGGATACGAAGAAGTCACCTATCAAGCAGGCGAGTTCACCCGATAATACTCATTATACTGTCTTACACATGATGCATAAAAGACAACGAAGGCTCCAGAGCCAAAACAAGTCGAGACCGATACTGATGGGTCGGAAGAGTCCTATACCCCTCTCAAGCAGAGGTCTCCAGTCCCGAAGTCGTTGGCTGGGCGAGGGAAAAAGCGTAACAATGCACTCATTAGCTCAGATGTATGCCATTTTTTGTTTATTATCGTGCTGCGAAGCTTAGACGACAGTAGTCAGACTCTGATTCATCGGAGGATCGCCCATTGAAACAGCGGCGGAAACAGACTCACTCGAAGTCCCGGAGCACTACAGCAGACAAGGTTCTGTGATAGTAGCCGTCTCTCTTTCATTCTAACCTCAGTGCTTTCTACAGGAACGCTCTTCGGCAGCCCCGGCTCCTAATACATCGACCGAACAACCATCCCGTCCCCTTCCACCACCACCAAGGCCATCGACGTCTTCTGCCATACCATCGTCGAATGTACCTCGCCCACCCAAAATACAGCCCGTCAGAACTCACCAAGATCAAAGGAGCCACCCTCTTGTCAAGTCTATCGAACTTCCCTCCAATGCGGTTCAATCCGGGAGTACTCTGTCAACGAAGCAACGTATAGCAGCGGGATCAGGTCCTTCTGTAGCACCCAAGCCGAAGCCACTGCAGACAATTCCGAAACTTCTGACCGGTTTGTCGTTCAAGAAGAAACACCCTGAAGCAAAAGATCCTTCGTCCACAACGAGTTCGTCCTTCAAGAAACCTTTCGAGAATGAGCCTTTATCAGCGGGTGGTATACAACCATCTGGTCCATCCACTAAAGAGCCTTCGTCCACAACTAGTTCCTTCAAGAAGAAGCCTTTCGAGAATGAAACTAGTTCGGCGAGCGATGTGGAACCGTCTGGTGCATCCACAACGGGTGTCGAGGCCGGCCCTTCCACCACAACGCCCGTCTGGGCTGGCCCATCTTCAGCCACAAAGCAGACAATAGAAGAGCCCTCTGCCGACTGGAATTATAATGCAGAGATGTTCGAGGCTGCAGATGAAAACCCTTCCCCTCCTTCACCTGCACCTCCGTGAGTGTGCTCGTACATCATCAAACACATTTATTTGACCGTTTCTTAGTATTCAACATCAACTCGCGAAGCCAGCTCCCCCTAAGCGAGCCTCCGAAAAGGCTGCAGACGAGTTTCTTCAAAGTCTTAGTCTTAATATGCCAGGGTATGTGTCTTGGCCTGCTCACATTTATTTGTGCTCACAACAGCATGCCTAGTCTTAATAGCCCTTTGTGCGTCCTGTTTCACTGATTTCATTCACTAAATGCTCATGACAACGTTCAGAGAGCCTTCAATCAGCGATGGCAACCAGGAAGTTGATTCCTTCCGACCAAAGGCTTTCACATCGATGAAAACTTCTGTGATGCCAAAGTTTGTTGTGCTTACTCGTAGATATAAAAAGTGTTTCTAATCTTCGAATAGGATTCCCAAAAAGTGGAAATGGGAAGGTGATCTATTTGTTGACTTTGCTAAGAACCAAGCGGAGAAAATTTGTGAAGTGACGATCAAGGACGCGACTGATTCACGCGATAACGGTGCTCGCATGAGCTTCATGATGGCGCAAACCGATTCCATTCGCATCCAAAAACTCTACAATGTTACGGATCTCACACCGGTTTTTCGCGCCTGTGGAGAAGCTCAGCAATTTGCCAAACTTGAAGCTTCGGAAAATCAAGATAGTCAAGCACTGCACGGACTATTTCGTCATATGTCAGTTCAGCGACAGGTGGGTCTTAGTTTTCTGCTGATGGTCTATGCTGACAGAAGGCAAAGGTTGCTGTTCTCCCGCTGTCATTGGATGGCGCAGAACTTGCTCTGCTCTTTGTTTTCAGCCCGTCATTGGATGCCCTTTGTAGGTTTTTACGTGTACCAGAGCACCTGCGACAGGATTCGCAGAACACCCATGTTTTGGTGACCTTGTTGCCATGGCTTGTCTCGTCTGCCAAATACAGCAAAGGAACGACGCGTAAGCGAGTCGATGAAACCATACAGCAGCTATTGACTCCGGGTGGTCAATCGAAAGACAGCCGTCGTCGCATACTGAGAGAGGCTGCCATGGCTATTGATCTGCTTTCAATTCCACGCGAGCTCTTGGATTTTATGCAGTTTTCGAACAGGAAATATTGTATCTGGTCCTTCCCAGCCGACGGAGCAGCCTTGAATCCTGGCTTTGAGACCCGACAACTGAAATACGTACTGGACAAGACCAAAGCTACGTCAGTTAGCCTTGACGGAGAAGCTCGGGTAATATTCATACATGTTGGGGCCCTCAAGACTTTTTACGAGCTTTCTGCTGTGGTCACTAAGCGGCGCGACGCGCCAGAAGTTCGTTTTTTCACCTACGGCACACATGAGTCTGTTCCGTCCAGCAGGTGGGGCATGCGCGAGATTTTCCCTTTGGGTGAGTATTTGCAAAGCAGGGCGATTAGTGTCACTGACAATCTTTAAAGGTGGTATTGTCACCTTCACACCTTTGGCTATCGCCGAGGACCCCGTTGGATGTTATAATTTGATGCGTAACCTCGCGCAGCATCCTCTCTGGGAATGTTACCTGATACCTTCGATCGTGGGTTTGAGCCATTCCCTAGCGTGCGGCAAGGATAAGCCAGTTCCAGAAATTATGAGGTTAGTATGATGCTCCTGTACTGTGATCCTTCAACTCAGGACATATCCACAGCATGGACTCGTGCCTTCTTCCCATTCTGGACCTGGGAGACGCAGGCAGCGTCTCTGTCACGAAAGCGCCTACCAAACATAGTGATGACGCCTGGATTGTCAACACCTTTGAGAAACAACTGTTGGGAGTAGAAGATGTGTTGCGAGAGTGCATTGAGAGTTCGATGGAGCGCTTCGCTCAATGCAGCGAATCTGACATCCTGGTTGAAGCCGACCGGGAGATTTCTCAGGATCTCATCAATATGGAGCTGCAGCCCACGTTCATGGACAATTACCGCCGATTTGTTGTTATCAGAGCTGCGTCCGATGAGACTCGCAGCCCTCCTGAAGGCGGATTGGGGGTATGTAGTGTGGTTTCTGCATCAGCGGCGTCTACTGACTTGACTTGTAGCTCGAGTGGTCTTCGATATCAAACTTCGCATTTAAGGATGATTACTTCCTTGGATCATAGATTTTAGTCATGTCATTATGTACCATAGTATAGCCAGGTAGTCAGTTTTCTTCAAGTTCAAGTTGAGTTCAAGTGAGCAATTGTGTACGAATCTCAGTTTACATGTGATTGCACGGCCGGTCCGTAGGCATTCGGAATTCCACCCAATCAAGCCCTCTCTTTAAGAATCCCCGCTGATGCCTCTGGCTGGCACACAACCATGTCCAGCATCACCCACTGGCTGTCAGACCCTCGCATGCACGACTACCTTGCCATCGTAAAAGGTGCACGCAACGGTTTTGTATACGGAGTCAAAGTCAGATTCCCTCACGCGTTGATCATGGCCATTCTTTTTGGTCGAGGAGAGTACGTTTTTTCTCTGCACTCAAAGTCTTGTTCACTGCTGGACTACCGTCCTGTAGCTGGAAATCTCGTCTTCTTGTTATATACAAAGCAACCAAGCAGCACGCCTTCAATCTAGCAAAATTTGTTTCACTCTACAAGATTCTGTTGCTGCTTCAACGAAAGGCAAACGGAGGCAAACAGCGCGGCGCGGATACATTTGTTGCTGGCTTGTTGGGAGGGTACGTGGTCTTTGGTGATAGATCAGCCGTGAACGAGCAGGTACTTCAAATGAATTCTTGTCCGTGCTAGTCCTGTTTACATCACTGGCTTTCCATTCAGATAGTCCTTTACGTGGTATCCCGAGTCATTGCTTCATTCATGCCGCGCGCAGGTAGCCCGTATTCGAAAGCGCCTGCAGGAGCGCCTGGATCTGTGGTGAGACCCATCCCGCCGGACCCACGGTATTTCTCTGTCTTCGCGGCACTATCATGGGGTGCCGTCATGTGGTTGTTCCAGCACCGCGGAGAAGCTATTCAACCTGGCATGTTCAACTCAATGACATACCTTTACCGTGACTCCGAAGTATGGACAGATCTGAGGACATTGTTATGGCATAACACATAGAGGAGTAATAGATTTTAAGGGTGAGTGCAGACATCCTTTATATATGCGCATACTATCTGACATGTCATCCAGATATCCTCTTATTGCTTAGATTGCATCGAGCCAGTAATCCTGCGGCACGTAATCTACGGTTCTTGCAACTCTCCGACATTTATACTGCATTCTTAAAAGTCAGAATGGTCACACGTGATAAGGACTCCTTTTGGTCCGTACCTGAAGCATATCCACGGCAGCTGTCAAAGCTTTGTGACACAGGGGGCAAGGCGAAAGCTGGCCAGCCAAGTCACGCATCTCCTCCGCTATATCAGTAGCTGTATTTTATCCGTCAGTGAGTGAGATTGAGATGGGCACACGACCTGCATACCTGCTTCGATTTGGGTGGCCAGGTACACCCGCTTCTGTTCCCATAGCTGAGTGGCCCACTGCTTGTGCGCAGGGCAAGTGCCGTATCCGTGTGGAAATATGTCTTCATTCAGTAGGATATCTCTCAGTTTATATTTCCGGTATTCATGGAGCCTCAGAAGCTCATGGTATGCGGTGACAGTGGGAATGATTCGTATATCCTCTTTGGTGTATGACGATAATGGGGGATGTAAGAGGTGAGCGCTTGCGTCTGCCGCAATCTTCGGCAAGTTATGCGCTGTGGCATATGCATAAACGGGGAGCGGATTCGTCGAAGCATTGGCTTGCACGTGGAAATGCAGTGAACATGTGATTGTTTCCGGGAGTCCATACTTATCAGCCAGATGAAGCATGGACGGAAGAACCGGGAACGGGATGACTGAGCCTGCGTCCAATTTGAAACGAGATCTCGTTCCATCTGAAGTTCTCCATCGGAGGAGGGTCGGGGGGTTGTTGAATGAGGCGGAACAAAGTTGCTAAAGCATGCTCCGTTTCATCCAAGTCGAGAACTGCTTCCTGGGGCCCACGCTCGTTATCACCCACTAACTCGAAACCGTGGTCGCAGCATGCAAACATATTCCCTTTAAGGTATATTAACTCGAATACGGTATACCACGAGAGATGGACTTCGACGTACGGAACACCTCGCATGTTTTAATAGCATGGCGGCTCACTTGAAACTCTGTACCATCAGGCAGTGAGCGCACTCGGAGCTTTGCGTCGACCACTGGGCCACTGGAATCGGCATGGCTTGTACTGGTGATATTTTCGCTAGTCATAGTGAATGCCGTTCACCCCTGGCTTGTGTCCTTTATAAGTAGTAGGGTAATGGGTATCAACGTGCAACGTTTTTGCAATCGTGTCCGTTAACGTACCAACTCCATATCACCGTGCGGCACAGTGGGAATGTCTGATCACAGCAATTCCGTAGTCCAGGAACGAAAATCATCAAACCTGCGAACCTGTACCAGAAATTGCCAGTGCATTGCAAAATACATCGCGGACTAGATCGCGTAAGTCACAGCGTGAGGAGTGGGACGTGTGATATTGTAGCTAGAAGAAAACCATGAGAGCCCGAAAGCGAGCGAGAAGAACAAAGCAGAAGAATCGTGGAGGTATCATCAAACAGAGGTAAAGGGAGTATGAAATCTAAGTCGCCAATAACCCGAGAAGATGTCCTTCACATAACCACGCATTTGGGTTTCTTGCTGCCGCCATCCTTTGGTTGCTTGTCGCTCTGTTTTCCCCCTGATCCACCAGATTCCAATCGTTTCGTTTGCCGTAGGGCACGTACTAGGTTGGTGAAAAGGAGCTCGACATTATATGCTGTTCTTGCTGATGTTTCCATGAATTCACAGCCAAATGTCCGAGCGAGCGCAATGCCCTCCTCACGTGAGACTTCGCGCTCGTATGTCTTGTCGCACTTATTGCCCACCAGCATGAAGATAGGTTTTTGGCGCTTAACTTTGAGCATCGACTGTCTGAAAACGTCCAGTCGTTCAAATGTTGACCGAGATGCGATAGAGTAGACCAGAATAAACCCCTGGCCTTCCCTAAAGTTATGAGACAGTGAGACATGGCAAAAACAGGAGAGCGTAATGATTACGTACCGAACCCATTGGTCACGCAGTGTGGCATACTCCTCTGCATGGACATCAGAGAGATAGCATACGTGTAATGAATAGTACTCACCCTGCCCAGCAGTGTCGATGACTTCGACGAAGCACATCTTGTTATCCACAATTAACTGCTTCCTATAAGCGTCTTCTATTGTCGGGTCGTAAGTCTGCGAGTGATCATGAGTCAGTTGATATGAGGATTCACAGGAACACATACCTCTGTATGATATTATGCGAGGAAGGATCGAGGTCATTAAATTGGCATAGAGAGTATATGGTAGTTGTGCTTACCAACGAAACAATTGAGAGTGAACTAGGAGGGAACATGAGGTGTGGATGGGTAAGAATATAGTCACAAGGACTGACCTGAACGGCCAAAGCAGTTTTACCAACACCACCATCGCCAAGCACAGCAACCCTCCAGCTATCCATAGCTGTTAATGATAGATTAGGAATGATAGGGATATGAAAGCAAGCGAAGAAGGATTACCTTGAGTGTGATCGAAAGAGATGGAACAGGAGTTCTGTTTTGAGAAGTGAATTACAGTTGTCAGAGAGGGTACAGGGGATGTGTGTACCTTGAGAAGCCGAAAATGGAGTTTGAAGCCGGAGAAAGTGACAAGTATATAGGGATACCTTATAAGAGATGAGGTTTGAGAGAAGGAAGAATATTCAGAAGTCGTGCAGATCGTATATGGTCGTAAAGAAAGGCGCAGAAATGGACTTGAAGACTTAGAGAGAGAAAGGAGTAGGAAGCGGAAAGAAGAGAAACTGCGTTGATGTACGACCAATTGGCTTGTTTACGCCTCCTTCCAAGTATTCCACTTATCATATAAGATAATTTTAAAGTTTTACTTTTATTTATTTATTATTTATTTACTAAATCACCGCTTTTACGGACATCTCCATCCACCCCTTACAAAGCAATGTTCTTTCCCCTTAAAAGCAGTGTCAAGAGGTATGGACGATTGCGGTCCACCTAATTAATTGCCGTCAGGACGACCATACATGGAATGAAGCTCTCCTTGCTTATCATAATCGGTCACACATACATACCATTTAATTACCCCTGCATCTAAGTATCAGGACCCTCGTAGTCTGTCAACCACTGACGGTATCATCCAGTTCACTGGTACATTAAACCGTCCATAAAACTGAAAACCTCTTGGAGATAACATCAGGGCCCATGTTAACCTCCCACTGCGGCTCCGAGTTTCTTTTGTCCGGCCATCATCTGACCTCCGGACACAAATTGATCCAACTCTGGAGAAAAGTTGAGTTCGAACCATCCAACTGAATCGAGAGTCGAGACACTTTATATGAACACGCGACTCAGGTATGGAAGTGATATTATGTCTTTACAAGATCAGCGTTCAGCTCCTTAGTGTTTTAACACTATCCTGTGCCCATCTGGGGCTATCATTATGGGGTTGTTTTACTGTTTCGTTGGAAGATTGAGTTAGGGCCTTGGGGCCACAAAATTCAGGGCCATCTTTAGCCACGGCTCACTCAAATGATCCACCTTGATCTGCGCGGTAAGGAACGCCATCAGATACCCATAAAACTGGGCGACCCCAGTCGACCCTTTCCGCGACGATCAACAAACGATCGTCGTCTTTCTTTTATAATTTGTCAGGTCAGAAAAGTGACTTTTAACCGAACTGCCGAACTGCATTTGGAAGTATACGCTGAATAGGCGCTCGTCAAAGCTCCGTAATCGGTTCGTCGTGACTCGTTAATCCAGATCGAATTGGAGAACCGCGCTCAGTGATCTAGGCCTTTCACAGATACCTTGCTTGAAGTTGATGCAGTATGCATCCACAAACATCCACAAATCAGTGACGTTGAGATACTACTGGATTCTGGAACTACTCGTGTAGTTCTCGCTTTCGGTACAGAACTCTGAATCAGAGGCCGCCACGAGGCACGGCCAAAGTCGCGGCTGCATTTATGCCGTCCTAGCCACACCACGAATCTTTACGAGCAACGTCGATCAAGACACCGCCACCATTGGACGTTACGTATCAACATCCTCATCTGGGGGTACACGGAAGCCGCACCAAGTATTTGTCTCCAAGTGTGGCTCATAGAATACACGGTAAGAGCGCACTTATTGTCATCGATATGACAAAATCCACCCCTTGTTCTTTCAGACCTGGCAGAACCAGGCCGACGAAACTTTCCCATCCAGCCACGTAACTTGGACGTGATGTTTATGTTGTCACAACACGATGCTCTCCCAGTCGGGTTTAACTTATTCGTGTGGTGACATGCGGCGACGGATTTGTCGCGCGTATAGACGTCCAGACCAGTTAATTGAATGTGTGAAAACCTTATAAACTTTGCGAACACCTTCGGCACCTAAAACGAGTATCTATCGTAAGAAAGTCTTCGTATGGTGATATTCATTGACGACTCACTTACTCGGGCCACTGAAAAGGATCGAAACTAAGTGGGTTTTACGGACCTGACAAAGTGCGTCGTGCGTCGTGTTCAAGTTAAATTACTGTCATAAGACAGGCTGACTCATCGGCTAGTTTATGGAGAGTCCATGCCTGGTGTACCAGGGTGTTCGATCTGAGTCAACCCTGTCTAGTCATCTCCCACCAGGTAGCGAGCAATCATGCTCGAGTTGCGCTTCTGACATGTGTTTTCCGGCAGACGGTGAGGAAGCGAGTCTGATTCTGTCTCATTGCTGATATGACTGGGTGCTGCACATCCGATATTGATGAATAAACTCGAAATTAGCATGGCGGCGGCCGACACTGGTCCAGTCTGGGGTTATTTCAAGTGGAACAGCCTGCAACAAACGCTCCTCAACTTGAAGGATTAACGGCTGACTTGAATGTCATAACGCCACCTTCTGAAATGTGAGTAAGTCGATGGCCACGTTGAGTCTTTGGGAAACCGCAACGGCACTCATTGACACCTCACCGTCTTATCGTAATTCTGCTCAGCTCTGTTCCACCTATGCTGAATTACTTTCACATCAGGCGAAATATGTTATCCGGAACGACGTTGACCCCAGCGGGCGGCACAGGGCTGGACATGCCAGGACTCAGAAGTCAGCGCTAATCAGCTCGGGGATCGTGGAGTTTCACTTGTCTGTCCCATTACATCACGAGCTACCAGTACCCAGAACCAAGGCCCGTGCCTCAGCCAGCGAGAACGGAGAACTGGCCATATATAATTAACATTCCATTCGACATCTGCCAGTGGTCAGTCCTTCTAGATTTGACATTTGTACTAATCCCCAAATTCAATTACGAGTGGGAAACAAGAATAGCAATGCTGCCCTCCTGCCCAACTGGCTCGCATTCTTCCGAAATTTCCACTGATTGGTAAAGTTAAGTTTCAATCTTTTTTTGTCGCTGTCTGTACCCAAGGGTGAGAATTATTTTGGGACGGAAGAAAAGAAGGTAATGATTGGCGCACAAACATATGAACTTTGGTTCGAAACCACGATTGAGGAAACTACTAGTTACTTCGGGAGCCATTTCCGATCACTTCTTTGGAAGGAAAGAATTGTAACGACACGCCTTCTGCACATGTCCATGGAGTAAGTTCCTGAAACGAGCTCCGAAGAGGTAACGGCTGGTCTAGATTCCAGACAACCCGCTTTCAATCTCTTTCAACATTCGTTCAGACCTTCACCGATTAGGAACATCGTGCCTTACGCCTGTACGCAGTTGTTCTTCGAGTGGCAACTGATGACAGATAATATATTCAATCTCGACATGATAAGATGTTATCATATCCTTCCCTGTGTAAATGAAGAACATAAGATACAGACTCGGACGCAGCTGCTAAATATTGGCGCGCCTATTGATCCAGGCACAGTGCGACCCCACCTGAGTCTGATAGGAAGACTGCATGGCTGAGAAGGTCCAAACAAAGCCTTAACTTATCTTCCAGGCATTCTCCATTCATCACTTACGTCTGCGACGAACGGCCATTTCGGAACGATGGGCTCACCAACCCCAATATATGAGTCATATGGATTCTGGATTACGGAGTACAGAGGGAATTGGGTAAGCAGAACCACTGAGTGGTCGAAGTTTGCAAAATCGCCTCTTCTTCGGTAGGGTATATGGGCGGCGATAATATTTTCCTGGAAAGCAAGAACAATAAGTCAGGACGGAATAGGGCGATCATGAAACCTGATACGTTCTTGCCGCGCTGCCTATCAGACTTTGATGGGTGCCAAATATAGTGTTAGCAGTTGCAAGGTGTTGGCATTGCCAAATGACTTTGTACGCGTGGTTCAGAGGTAGTAGGGACAATTAAATTTTCCCAGGTCCCGCAGTATGGCAGATTGGGAATTCATGCTTGCCGCCAGCCGCGTCTGTTCGAAGTTTGATCGGCGATGGGTGATGAATATGGGGTCAGCAACGCAAGACGGACAAGTCATTGGTAACCGTGTACTCGTAGGTCGGATGTAGTCAGTAGTCAGCATGCCATAGGTGGCATACATGACATTGGATGACTGCGACAGGGTTGATCAATTCTGTGGTGTTGATGCCAAGGTCACTTAGAGAGCCTATCATAAATATGGCCGACTACTTACCGCGGCCATCTTTTTCTTGCAGAGCAACCACTTGGTATGTTGTCTAGGCCAAGTGATTGCACTGGTTCCGTCAAACGATGTTCAAGTCTCCTTCTGGCCGTTCAAGACCAGCGATTTTATTCTCGACAGTCCCTATATCTGTTTGACGTCTGGTTTTGTGATATCCGGACTGATATAATGTAGAGATGAGCTTTATTTCCGCACAGATGTTGGATTTCGCGTGAAATTCCACGCATACCTCGGAGTGATGCCTGTATCAAGTGTTCCTCACATAATGCGGGATCGTGGTTCTTCCGAGGATTAAGGGTTAGCTCACATGTGACAGTGTTGCGAAGAGGGGAAAGTTGCTCACTGCTATCAAAATAAATTCGCTGAAGTGCTGTGAGTGATTAAGCCAAGGTTGTCATAAGCCGTGGTAAAGTAAGTGACAGATACACTTAAGCACAGATTATCTTGATCAGGAGGGACTGGTGCTTTCTTAAAAAGTTACCGTAGTTCACCCGATGACTTGGGAAAGAGGCTAAGCTGAGACACTGCCGGCCCCGTAAAGATAAAACAAACAACAAACTTCCCATTGTGATAAGGTATGCGTAGTTGAAACAGGAGCGGGTATGTGGAATAATACGCATTGTGTTGAACAGGTGGGAGTATGTGTGGGACGTAGAATGATACGCATCGTGATCAAGGCGAGTGACATAATGAAACTATTGCGTGAAGGGAACGTATTGTATGCTAGTGTGCGGTACTAGTACTGTGTCGGAATGAGTTATATACACAGATAATAAAAAACTTCAAATAAAAAGAAGTCACCAATCATACAATCTGGTTGAAAAGGGTAACGCGCCAAACGAGAGTTGGAACATTGATCTATGGCTCCCGAGTACTCCCATTAGTCTAGTGCAAGGGTGACACAAGTATCCCGCCAGCTCAATCCTGTCTGCTCAGCTCTCCCTGGGTCAAGTCAAGTACAAAGACTGTCTTGGTGTCCTTTGGTGGCTCTATGAACTTGACGGGTTTTTTTGATGAGCGCGACGAAGTGCTTTGTGATATTGAGACAAAGGGTCTCAAAGGACGAGAGTGAGGGAATGATGGTCGCATAGGTAATGCTCTCGGCGAGCCAGACGGGCCGTTCAATGAGGATGCAGCAAGGGGTGAAGAAACGTATGACATAGGAGATGATGTTCGTAGGGCAGGGTGTACCGCAGACATGGTCATTGCAGCTGCGAGAGACATCAGTTCACAGTTTATGTATGACAGTCAAAGGCTTGAACATACGCATTATGTTGAATAGAACAGGTGAAAATTTACGAGAAGCGGGCTAGGGCAGCTGAGCGGTTGAAGTTGTACAGGGAGCTGCAAGGGTAGTTGACGTCGAAAAGTGTGTTGCTTGATGGTGAAAGAGGTCGCGTCGCGAACGTAGCTGTCGTTTGCTTGTATTTATATACTTTGTTGCAATCCTGTGGGGATGGAATGTAGAGAACTTCAATTTACTATGCGACATGTTGGGGATTGGCCTAAATTTGCTCAATTACCTAATTTCGTCATCAACCCCAGTGAGCAGTGAAACTTGTGTAACAGCGCGTGAATGTCGATTAGTGCCGCGGCATGGTCAGATCAACGTTGATAGCAAAATATAGCCCTAGCTTGTGACATTTCCATTACCCACCCACCAACGTTCATCGGCCTGGCTGACAACTTTCATACAGTCTTACTTCCGTTAGCTAGTCTACTACCCACAGTGAGACTAGCTGAAAATGGTAATAATGATCAACTTGCCGCCGGGTCTAGCACTAGGTAGAAAGCATACGAGGAGTGTCTCAGTCATTACGCACCTTGATCCCAATTAAGCGTCTTCACGTCTGTCATCCCTGTGAAATGACCGCTTCAAGTTTTGGCGTGTAACTTCAGAGACCTCCGCAGCTTCGTGTGTTTGCCAACCCACCGAACCCTAAGGCCTACACCCTTGCCCTATGATTGGCGGTACTGGCTGGCTGATGTACTGGAAGGCCACAGTCACGCTTTTGGTGTGCTACTTGCCCAATAATCGCCACTCGGTTCCTGTGCGACCGCAGTGTACTGACTCCACATCACATAATTGTTCATGACGCCGTGTTTACGGAATACTGAATATTTCATACTACTGGTGCTAGTTCTTCCGATCACCATGTCCGACCTTCGTGGAAACATATTAGCATGCCCAAGGCCCGCCTCAGAACGCCCCATATTACTAGAGGACTTGCAACGCGGTTCGATTTGAAGTACAGAAACGAGTGTAGTTCTATCACTACCTGCCAGAATAACGATCTATGTATTGATATTAGTGTGAGATATAATTTGACAGATACACAGCTCTTGATAACGAGCGATACGAATTCCGGAATTGAAATTTGTGTTGAGAAACAGGATATGCCATGCTTCTAATAAGCACATTGAAAAAAAATTAAGGACGAAACTAAATGAGGATGCAATGAGATACTAAGTACACAATAAAATTGGGAGGAGGGAGACAAAGGGGCACAGAATACATTTCTTCGAGTCGTGTGACTGCGGAGATCATAGGGAGGATCATGGTGGCACGATGCAAGATGGCGCAATAGGAGGCACGTAGTGCGTGATTCGTGCCTCGTGTAGAAGAAGATTTGAACGGCGATGGCTGAGGCAGGATGATGACTGATGGTGCGGATGCCTCCACCAACCCTTCTACATCTGCCATCTGCATCTGTAAGTCGTCCTCCTACATATATAACGGTTTAAGCAACAAATTGACAGTCCTGAATGAGTTTCGAAGACGGAAATGATGTTAAGGTGGTGGGGCCAGAATTATCGAGTGATATAATGACGTGATGTACCGTTGGGTCATTGTAATCGTGCGTCGCGTTCTTGGAATTGTGTGGTTGTGTAGTAGCCAGGTAGATAGGGGGGACCCGAAGCTCTTCGGGCTACTGGACATCGACGAGAAGATTTCGCTCGAGTATGTATTTGCCCTCCTTGTATTGCTGCGATGGTTCGTAGGCACGGTCCTTGAATGACGAAAGAAATAAATAGGTGGATTACGCAATGAAATGTCGAGATGTCATAACGTACGTATTTCCAGCCAAGGACAGTAGCGCATTTGACGCAATAAATATCCCGGACAGTATGGTTGCCCGTCGTCATTTGGCGGTCACTTGGTTCACCTTCTATGACATTAACGCTGGGATCGGATTAGTGAGATGCGCAGCAATGTTATTACGAACTCGGAGCTCACACGCCGTCGAAGAGATATGCGCGGCCATGCTGGCCGTTGAAAGCCTGACAATGTCCGCATCAGCACACTAGTATACCTGAAGACAAAGAATGAGAGTGGCGACGCACTCGTGATATCATGGAGTGGATCGTTGCAAGATGCGTCTTGCACTTGGAGCAGCCATAGATGCGCTCGCCAGCAAGATAACGACGGTACTTCATCCCCATTTCGTCTGGTGTTCTAGCTCAGGAGCGAAAAGGTGATTATTAAATTGGAAGCGAGGATCGGTTGGACAGTGGAAACTTATAGAAAACACTATCCTTTATACCAAGGACGTGTGAATATGAGTAATAACAAGAAAGTGCAGGAAAGAGTCGGAGTGATGAGTTGAAAGCTTAGACCTAATAGAACTATTAGTACTCCCCCGTTACACACCTAATTAAGCTGATACCTTTCCCACCCCCTTGCTCATAATAACCGATCTATTTAACCTCTTCTAATCCTCTCTTCTCGGTTGCAGCGCTGAGCGTTTGCATGCTGGCCTTTCATGCAACAATCAGTGCTCGGAAACCTCGGCTAATGCTCTACACAGGCTTGCAGATCAGACGTGATACCGGTACCTATTCAACACACCTGAAGCAGTGCACGGCCCATGTGCATGATGCATGAATATTTGAATCCCCGTTATCGATCGATTATAATGGCTTGTCGAGGCATGTGCTATGAGCGCTCTATGGCAAGTCAGCCCATCACTAGTTCTTTATCTGCGCATTAACGCCAAATGTCTAACACCACCGGCCAGGTATCATACGATATTTAGCGCATGCCTTCGGGGATCCTACGCAGCTTGTGACGTGGCATGAGCGTATATACGAGGCCCCAGTCTTGTCTTGCCCATAATCCTCACTCAATGGCGCAAGGACTATTGCAAGTTCATGTTCGATCTGTGGCGGAATTACCTCTACCCGCGGTCTGCATGATGTTATCTGCTAGCGAATAGAATTTAACTCTGAACTTGTCCAATTCGGATAAATAATGTAGGGAGATCTAAGTCAGTGCAGTACTACTTATAGCAGAACTTTGAGAGTACGTGGGTAGACTATACCATAGACTACGTGTAGAAAATCCGGGAGCATTACAAATTCTTTTCGTGGAAAGTGAGCCGAATCCATAGAACCATCCGTAGACTTGCGTAGACTCAACTCGGTCTCAGTAGATCAACCAAACAACGACGTCATTGCTCGGCTGTGATCATTGCCTGCAACAGCGTCTAGCATATATATGACAACGGCAAGCCAATGTTTTCACCATCTGCCCCACCACTATTTCTGCCCATCTGCCTCGTCACCGTCTGACCCACCGCTGACCACTACTATGTCACTAGTACTTATGTTGGACCTACACCTTATATTGATTGCCGTGACGCCGTCTTAGTATAAATTTTGTAGTGTGAGTGACTCGATATTCAACCTTTGCAGTATACTAACTACGGCCTACTACTAGTAGTAGTAGTATGACTGATACAGTCCTGTGTACCAAGGCTGACTGCCGCAACTTGAAGCAAGGCACTCAGCCACGCAAGGCCAACAAGAACTGCACACGACGCAACTGCAAGCAGTGTTGTGAGGTGGCGGGAGGGTGTAGGGTCCACCGAGTCGCAGCTGCATCTTCTCCAGTTGTCACCCAACAGCATGAAAACTCGACCATACCACCACTTGCCACCATTAACCCCACGTCTACTCAACTTGACCACCCTCCAGTTACTGCATCGAGTCAGTCACTCCCAGCCACTTCACGAAACTATGCTCGGCCGTTAGACCCCCAATTACGCACGGAACTATGTTCTCGGGCACCAGCGGACATTGGTGGCTGAGCAACGCTTTCAAGCTGACCAAAGTCTGAGCATTATGATCCGCAATATGGTTGATATAGTGCTCTGGTTGAAGGTATAGTATTCTACATGTATTAGATGGTTTCTCGGTGCTGAAATATCACTAGAACAATGAACCTCCCCACCTCGCAAAGCTGACATGCTCCACACCTGGAAAGTTCGTGCCAGGAGACCATCCGCTATTGATGAGATTCGAGCTCGGGGATTATATTGCAGTATATTGCAGTGATCAGCATGCCTGGATCGAGCAAGATATCAAGACTCCGCTTCTCAGTCCTCCCAATTCAACAATCCTGCTTCGTTCTATTGATCTGACCGACAATCATATGCTACTTGGATTTGCCGAGAGGGTCTCATCTCTTAGTTGCATGTCTGCGACTGTCCAATCTCCGTCAAAACGATCCTTTAGTGCCACGGGTATGCATCTGTCCCGATTGGATGGGATGACCTCGCCATTGAAGCGGCAGAGGAATGCCAGTAGCACGGCTCTCATCTCTCGACAGTCACCCATTCCTTTACCGCTTACTAGCCTATTGCCGAGTCCCACTTCGACATCACCTTTGTCACTCGCTGCCGCCAACTCGGACACGTCACCTGGGCCTGTATTAGTGCCTGCGCTAGCCATGGTTCAACCCAACGCTACCATCCCTGCAGGCGCCTGAGCACGATTTCCTTGGAAGTATGCATGTGATATGGTTCCCCGGATTCAGCTCTTCGTCAATGTATCAGACGATCAAATGATCCAGGCCCTCTTCGCCACTACATTTCCAAATTGCACCTATACTAAGGCAACATTTTACAAGCATCGCGCCGCTTATCGGGCAGCTATCGAGAATTCAAGTGATAGGGTTGAACGTGCCGTCAATGCGGGATATAGTCCTGCTGGCCAGTGGAACACTCTCTTGGCTGAAATCAAAGCTAATGCGGCTTCGAGTCTTACTGGTAGTAATAGCCCGGGTAGCATCTCGAACTCGGACACAAAGTGTATGTATAATCTCATTTACTACTTCCATGGTTGGCTAATCCTCGTCCTTCAGGTCCTACCCTGCCTCCGAGTCTACCAATGAACTCATCTACCACTGACATTGGATTGCCGCTCCCTACAGACCTTACCAGCGAGATGAGTGATGCTCTTGTCTCGCTACTCAAGAACATAGATGAAATGGACAATGATACTGCAGCGGCTACCACTAACTCTGAATTTCCTTTAGATCTTTCGAGTTACCCCCAATTTGATCTATTTAGCACTTGGTTAAATGATCCTTCTCCCGTAGATTATCAATCCTTACCACCCTTACCACCTTTAAATGATCCTTCTCCCGTAGATTATCAATCCTTACCACCATTACCACCTTTTAATTAGAGTAACTACTCTGTCTGTTATCCACGAAATCCAACCGTCTTATGTTGAAAAAATACTATGAGTAGCTAGTCATAATTCCAACTCGAGAGTGAACTGACGGCGGCATCAAAATGTCCATGAAACTTGACATCTGAATGGTGCGATCCCCAAGTGAGGACGGCGGCATCAAAAATGTCCATGAAACTTGACATCTGAATGGTGCGATCCCCAGTGATGAACTCTGGCATTCGTTCGAAACACAGGACAAAAAACATACAACAAGAGATAGAATTTCAAATGACAACAATCTAGACAATGTAATGTAATGCAAACAGCACCGGGAGAGTCAATGCACTAGTCACTACCAAACAGAGTTTCCATGGAAATCATCCAAGGAGAATGCCCTCGTCTCTCCGACTCTGAGATAACATAGCGATTCCGACGTTTGATCATCTCGTCAAGATAAAAGTTGTACCGGTGTACAGACATGTCTCGCAGGATTGCCTGATACCCACCTAGCCAAACGTTCGTCTGTTCACAAATTGATGTATTAAATCGCCACTTGCCGCCAGAAATGAGCTCAGGGAAAGCAGCAGGGTTGCAGTGGCGCTGACAGTAGGTGTCAGTTTCCTTGTGTTTCGAGTTGAAATGAAACACGTCAACAGGCATCCCTGTTGCAGCAAAGTGGTCATCACCAATAGCGTCTTGGTGAGCGCGGAGCTTGCAGTTGTTGTCAAAGACGAAGTATTCAGGTGTCGATGCGGCAGTAGGGAATACCGCCTTTGCAAATTCCTTGAGATTAAATGTTAGCTTAAATCAGTAAGACTGCGTGTAACTCACATTAACAGCAGAGACGGCCTCGGACCCAAAAAACGTAGCCCGCGCTAATATCACTCCACAAGGTCGCATAATGAGTTGCTCATTATGGGTGCGGCGTCGACCAAACCTTGCTCTGAGGTGTTTGTTGCCGTTCTCTGGCTTACCGTCACACTCGGAGTCAACAATCACCTCGAGATCTTCTTCTGCACTGTTAGGGTTACTACTACCACTATCCGTGGGCGAAGGAACAGAGTCCAAGGGTAAGGTAACACCAGCCCTCTTGAGCCGCGCTCGCAGCTGGAAGAGAGCTTTCGCGGGCTTGAAGTAGGCATCTTCAAGAGCCTGGTGGTCCGCGTTGGCGCATGTTCGAAATCCAGAGGCATTGAGCTCGTCACAGCCATCAACTGCGCACCGCTGGTTTAAGTCTTGATGGTCCGGACAGAAACGATGACGGTTGGTCATAAGGGGGACTTTGCAGTCGTGCACTGCACAACAAGGGTGCCCGATGGTATTACCATCACAAACGGCTGCTTGAATTTTCGCTATGGCATATAATCAATCTGAGCATGACGCCATGCATCTGACAAACAATTGACTTACATTTTGAGTCGTCGTCGCCGATAACGATGAAGCACAAGTCACAGGCATGCGGGTATGCTTCCTGCCCAATACCTTCCATTTCTTTGTTGCGCTCGCTCAGCGCAACATCAATTCGGATCCGTTGTTGCTCGTCGTGGGGGAGAACAAGGCAACTGTTATGCTCTGCCTTCTCCAGTAGCAGTGAGTAGATAAAAAAACCATTCAGGACGTCAGTGTCGCGCATTCGAAGGGTATACTGCCATGAAAATTCCTCGTCAAAAGCTCGTGGAAGTGTAGCATCAAAAGCACGTCTATTGTTCGAGATGTAGGCGTGCCGTTGAGCAAGTGCATAGTTGTACACGCGAGCGCAGTTCATGCTAGACATCCTGGAATGAAAGGTTAGCGTTATTATTGTCAGAGAAAGACGACATACCATCCGAAGACTTTCGTTGCTGCAAAAAGTTCCAACAGCGCAGCTTCAATATAGAAATGCCTCGCAGCCTGAATGACGCTGGGAACACCAGCATAGTAAATGCGTGTCGAGTCGGTGTTGTTAGTCCAATAGTTGGGGTAATATCTAGCATGACATTCTGAATGAAATGGTCAGTATGCATTACTAGAAGATAAAGAACATACGTCGACAATATGTTGATACCGAATGGACTGGAAGAGAACCATCTCGTAGCGTAAAGAGGCTGGCACGAAATGTATTGACATCCGTGAGAGTGGCTACTTCATCATCGTCACGGTAGTTCACGCATTCAGGACGCTGGCATACACGTGTCGGTGGATACAAGTCGTGATACCCTATGAGGTTTGAAACATGTCAGTGAAAGAAGAGAAAAGACGAACAGCAACGCACCAATACCGCGCACAAGTCCATGACGGTTAAATGCTTCAATCTCCTGGTCAGTTGGGAGTACTGCGCCATGAGTCCAGATAATCTGACGGAATGCTACCCAGCATGCGAGGATAGTCGGTGGGTCTTGACCGAGTGCGCCAGCAAGAAGGGATACGACGACTTCTGGAGGATGGATGGGTGGATGTCGGATGTCAGTCATGCACTGGCGAATGAATGGTTTCGCCATGCATGCAAGCCGAACGAAGGCCATGAGGTCGGGGAAAGTGAGATCATACTCATCGAGGGATGCAAGTAGCTGACCGATGCCCATCATGAAGGGCATCAGAGGGGGACGTCGGTGACAGCGATGAGGAGCAGTTGATCATATACAAATCGAGGACGTTGTTTGGTCGTTCTACCCGTGGCGTCGTAGACTCGGGTGGACTGCGGTAGACTCGGGTGGACTGCGGTAGATTCACCGGAGTTATCCGAACAGAGTCTACCAATTTTCTACGCGAGTCTACGGTAGATTCTACCCATGCACCTTATATGTCCTCACTTATAGCTACGCTTCGCATCATAAGTATTAGGATCCTGGATCCTGGGGAACAGGGTGGCAGAAGTCTCGGTGTACGTATGGAGTGTCGGATGTCCTTTTCCGGATCATGAGTTGAACTAGCAGCTGCAATTCTCTTTGACGACAGTACTTACTAGTTTCTTGGACGACTTGTAAAGTATTGTAACGAAATGGCACAGGGTATGGTCTTGCGGTTAAATAATTCTTATGACTTACACCCGAACTATTGCAGAAAAACCGGACTCAGTGGTACGTTTGCTGTCGTGTGCCCTCCACCGAATCCGCACAACGCCTCCCCGAATAATCGCTTCGCCAGCAACTCGTGAGTCATCCGATCTATCTCTTGGAAATCTATATTTTCTGACCTGTTATGGATCTATGATCCCGCAGAACCTCGCCGGGCCGCTGTCGCCATCATTATCCGTGTCGTACCTCCCCCAAATTCCGTCCCAGTGCCAGTTGACACCCCTCTACCTACCTTAAGTCAATTCTTCGAGTTAGATTGGGTCAAGGACCCTCTCGCGTGCCCAGAATTTCTTCTTTTGAGACGCGATGGTGCGGGCCCTTCTGATGCAGTTCCAGGACGTGCATCTGCATTCCAGAACTTCACTGGCGATGGGACTTCGAAAGGCAGCGGCAATACTGGAGCTCACGTTGCTTTCCCCGGTGGACGCACTGAAGAAGGAGATGAAGGAGGTCTTTATACAGGTATATGCATTCCATCCACTTTTTGACCTCATCTCACTCCCGACCTCATGGCAGCCATGCGTCAAACATGGGAGGAGATCGGCTTGGACCTCGCAGAGCGTGATTTTGTTTGTATAGGTCAACTCGATGACAGAGAGATCACTACATCGCTGGGCAAGCGACTCCTCATGATTCTATCTCCTTTCGTCTTCCTGCAGCTCACTCCAAATATTCTCCCTACCGACCCAACGGACGGGACCACCATCCACTGGGTACCGCTCGAGACTCTTGCCAGCGCAGTTTTGCCAGGACATATAGGTGATAAGATGAACGCAAAGAGCAAATGGTCCAGCGTGACTGTGGATGCTGCGTCCAGGCTTACACCTCGACGTGCTGCTATCTTAAAAATATTAGTTAGAGTTCTCATAGGCAGCATGCAGTTCCCTGCCATATTACTCGATGTTCCAGAGTCCGACGTGATACCAGGCTCATTCACAGGTAGCCCCGCAGCACCCCCAAATAATGGATCGTACCCCGCACTGACGCAGGACAAGCTCGAAAAAGGATTTACCGCTACGAAGCCGCTTTCAGGGAAGGACCAAAATAAGTCGCGGCACCAACTCAAGTTGTGGGGTCTCTCTCTTGGCATGACGCTCGACTTGATGGCGACTATGATACCGCCTACGGCGCTTCCCTCTTCCGCCGATATCAATAAACCGCCCACGCCTCAAGATCTGTACAAAGTTTCCTTGCCTAGTCTGCACCTGCCCTTCCACCCTGTAGGGGGTGAAGGAATGCGCATTGATGCTGTCGCACCCAGCCTATCGAGTGTCTTCCCTCGTTTCTCTTATCCGGATGTCAACTTCTGGATCTGGTATGTCTACTTTCTAATATTGGCTATATGTAATTAAATGTTATTCCCTCAGGGTTTTTGGAAAGCGTTATCGCGAAGTTGTGCGTGGGTGGGAAGCCAGTGTACGCAATGGGGGCTCCAATGTCCGACGGTACTTGGCATTCCCATTAGAATCTGGTATATTTTTAATGAAATGATTTTCAGGGTCAACTGGTCGGGCACGGCACTGAATACATTCTACGCTGCGGTTCGCAAGGCTTTACTCGTAGTCTTGGTTCTTCGTGCGATTGGTGTGTTCGTTGGTCTTGTGTTCGCTGGATGGTGGGTGTTTGCATGAGGAACCTTCTCTGCGCGGTGTCTTCTGGACCCTTGTTATCATGGATTCTTGGCTTAGTATTTTCATTGAATACTATTATTTTCGTTATGATATTTCACTAATGCGATCCCGGATCAGCACCCCACTTGTGGACTTGTTCATTTCTACAACTTTTCTGGGTTCTCAAAAAGCACGAAAGACACTCTGCAACATTCACTTTCTGCGTCTCCTGATTCATTATTCCCGATGTTACACTTGTACAATCTAGTGATGCATGGCTTCTCTCTTCTTCCTTCGCAGTAGTTTCGTTCCCTAGTCAACCATTAGCCCAAGGGCAATCCGCACACCTCGCAATCTGTCTCTCCCTGGGGGTTTTCAAATGTGCAATGTGGACAAATCTTGACACCCGAGCCCACTCCGCTAGGACCTTCCCTTCGAGCTGCTTCTTCGGCAGCGATTTGATCGAACACGTCTTGAGGTATGTCTTCATCGATGTGTGACGATGACGGACCAGGTGCAGATGCAGAGGGCAATGATGCTGGTGAAAGATGTACATAAGAAACGCCATTCAGTGATTGACAATTACACTTACGAGCACTCTCCCGGGTAAATGTCATGAGTGTTTGCCAGCTTTCGGTCTTGAAAACTGCGTTCAGTGCCGAAGGATCCTCCAACAATGACGGTGAAGTCACTGTGCTGACGAGAACTTTCATGTCGACCTTCAAGATGTCAGGAAATTGTTTTGGGCACTAATACATCTCATGCCATACCTTTGACACAAGTTGCGTGGTCTCAAGGAATGCAAGTAAATGCCAATCGCTGAGCCATTTGGCAAGCTCCAAACGTTTTGACGAATCACTCGTTGATGTAAGGGGACTATCTGACAACTGAGGAGCGCCAAGCCTGGCCAAGGTCCTGAGTACATCTTCTATGTGTTGGTCTTCAAGTCCTGGGCGGTTCTCGATGGCGAACTGGTTCGAGCGGAACAGTGGTGATGGACTCTGGGGGAAACCATGTGTGACCTGTGTGAAATAAACCATACTCAGTTGTATAATACCTAATCCATTTGTTGAGCCTCACGTTAACGAGGAGGTATTCAACCGGGAAACAGGGTTTGGCAGTCTTCTTGACTTCGAGGTTGTATTCATTCTTATACCTGAAAAATACGTCGGGTACGTAACGTGCCGTATCCTGACTGCGGTCTTCCTCTTTGACACGAACAATTCCGGGTTCCACACTGGCTTCGATCATGTCGGCGTCTACCATTGCACACGCTTGCTCGGAGACTTGATATGCGGATATGTCCACTTGTCCGTCTTCCGTAGCTGTAAGAATGGCGGTGACCATCCGTGATCCGAATGCTCCACTAGGGGATGAGCGCGAAGGAGTAGGGTTAGACTTCTGTATAGTGGCAGCAAAGATGGCCTCCAGGGAAGACACAAAGAAGGAATGAGGATGGCGTTTATATATGTTTTTAGTCCTATCTTCTGGATCTGGGTCCAAGTCCGTGAAAATGTAACCGACGATGGACAATGGAGCTGAAGAGATCTTGGCTAACTCTCGAATGCGAGGCTCGTCCTCCCACGGAATACCAAGAGTCAATCCGTCGAGTTCACCTTCTTGAGGCGGCTCATATAGAGCCTCAACCACCGCCTTGATGCCCATGGGCACCTTTTCATATGGCTCGTAGCGTCCAATGAGCCAGCCAAACCTTTGCAATCCTGTAGATCTCCATGCTTTGAGGAAGCGTTCTATAATATCCGGTGAAGCGATCTCCAGGTGATCGACCATACGGAACGGCTGAGACTGGAGCGTGATTGCAGAAGGTTGACAGCCCGTACATATTCCGGCTGGCCAAGGCGGGTGCCCGCCACTGGGACACGGATCTTTAACCTTGTACGCCAATGGAGATAGGGGAGGGATAGCAGTGACGGCAGCGGATGACGTCTTCGGCGATATCTTGTGAAGATACGCGTGATACGATAGGTGTTTTATGCTATGTTCAGCTTGATACGCAGCATCGTATGGCTCGAGTGGCATGCAATAGTCACACATCCCGTTGACGCCATGTTTGCAGAAACGCGCGTCACGACGTCGTGGAATTTTTCCGTCTTTCGAGCGCCAATAGATGTCGACCGTGTCTTCTTGTACAGTTTCCCATATATTTGACTGCTGCAGTCGCGTCGAGCTCGGTGCATCGATGGACATTGGTGTTGCGGGAGCTTGTGAAACTTTGGTAGCATATCCCACAAATATCATATCCCCATGCCTGTCCTGGTTAAGTCTGCAAAATACAGAAAATATAGGCGTTTACTTACTTCAGCCCAAGGGTTTGCAGATTTCGCCCTTTCAGGGTGGACACCAAGGTTTCATTGCCCCTGGGTTGGTTCGAGACCGTAAGAGACGCAGAATCGGCATCCACAGTCGTCTCTAAGATCTTAAATTCGGAGGTGTAAGGTGTGTGAATGCTCAAGAGTGATTGACATCACTGACCTTGTTCGCGAGCACTGAAATATCGGCGGTTGAGGGAAGTTCGAAACGAAAGTTTCCATCCTTCGATCTAACTCGCAACAACTACACGGGTAGTGAGATCCTGCGATACATGGAGAGCTTAATACTGACCATATCACTTCCTAATTCAAGCGAGGTAGGATGTCTTGTAGGAGGAACGCGTAATCCAGTACAGCCTGCAAGTAGTACTGTAGGATCATGATCTTCATTTATCACCCGTCGCTGACTAAGCTCTACGTATGGGTTGTTGACGCACTTCACCAGGCACCTTACTTGGCTGGTGTAAGTACTGTGCAACTGTGGGCCGACATCATACTAATCAAAGTCAGTTTCTTTTTTCCGTTGGTAGACTGGATCCATCAGCGCCATCATGCATCAGCGCTGAGCGTTTGAAACAAAACAGACTTTTAAAAATTCAAATTATTCTTTCCTTACGTAATGCCTATCGGTTCTTCGTGGTTCATCCTAGTGTCGCAATTATGAGAAGGGATTGCGAATTACACCGCGACGTTCGCGCTTCCCAGTGGAATTGAGTTCATAATCAATGGGTACTTATCATGGGGTCGGCTCTTATTCTCGCCATGTTACCTTCTCAAGATAATTCTATCACCTGCGAACAGCTTAATTCACTCAGTTTCGAATACATACAAGCAGAGCTCGCCAACTGGGAACATATCGTATTTCAAGGTGACATGGATGACTCACGCAAACAGAGGGGAGCATCTTCCAGCAGTGGCGATCGTACCTCACAGCCAGTCAACAATTCCGCCGATAATACAGGGGTACTTTTAATTGCAAGAATTCCTAACCGAGTTGGATTGACAATTTTACAAGACAGGACATCACTTTCACGGTGCTGCACCACCTCAGGTTCCTCCTGAGGCATATAACTACCTCATACATGCATTGCTTTCGATGCAAGGAGCTATACCACCCCAGACAGCACATAACCAATCGTCACCGTATCCTCAAGGACAATTCCCGGCGGGTCCTTCTACGTCCTCAGCTTTTCCAAATGTGCCCCACCAAGCCGTGCACTCAAATCTACCGCTTTCCATGTCGTCTACCGGATCTTTTTCACAATTTCCCCCCGCTATGATGAGCCCACAGTCAGGCTTCCACAGTACGGTTAATGAGCCTCCAGCGTTTGTGTCATCAAATGTGACCCCTTCAGATGCAAGTGATAATGCAGACGAGGCTGCTGCAATTGCTGAAGATAAGCGCAGACGAAATACTTCTGCTTCAGGTTCGTGGTTCTCGGACTGCCGACACACTTGAGTCTGATTCTCCATTTAGCCAGATTCCGGATCAAAAAGAAGCAGAAGACATTCAACCTTGAGCGAACTGTTACCGACTTGACCGGCAGGACGGACGAATTAGAGCGAGAGGCATCGGAGCTGCGACGAGAGAATAGCTGGTTGAAGGAAATCGTGCTATTAAAAAGCAGAAGAAGGGGCACTATTGGTGGGTCGCAATCCAGGAACTCCCAACAAGCAAGTACTTCGTCCGCACAGGGGGACAATCACGAACGCTGATCCGAGCAGCGACGAGGAAGACGGTCACGAGACACGCGAAGCGAAATAAAACAACGTGTGGTCGAGGTTGGGCCATTTGCACTATAGCTTGTTGACTTGCGTGAGAGGCTTGTATTCAAGACCATAGATGTCACCAAGATGTTTTTCTTTCTGGGTGTGTTCATCATCCCCATCTCTTAGTATAAGTTCAGTATAGCAGCCAGGATTTTGTAGCAGCCAGAACTTTGTAGCACGTTCGCACATTTGTAGGTGCCTTGTAAGGGCAAGATCTAGACCATTGTTAACGCTCACTATATATATTGATGAGTCCAATACTGCTGAAACGTTCATTTATACTATTGGTCAAATATAAATTACATAATGCTAGCGTTCTCACGCCCATGTCTTTTGGACGCCCACCGTCAATTAACGTTGGATTCAAGACTTCCCCTCCAGATCGCGGTTCCTTTCCTCTAGACCATGATGGTTTGCCTCACTGTCTTTATCATGGAATGACTAACTAAGTATGATCTACAGGCGAGTGCAAGGAACAAATGATGCAATACATGGCTTGCTTGCGCAAAAATTCTAGTGAATCCACTCCGTGCAGAGTCGTGAGCAAACAATACCTTGACTGTCGAATGACCAAGTACGCCAACGTCTGTTTTTGTGCTCTCAATAGCTCACATTTATTGCAGAGGACTTATGGAGCGTGATGAATGGAGGAATCTTGGACTAGCCAACCTGGAAGGAGATTCCGCCGAACCAACGCGCACTTCATCCTGAATGTATCTACACCTACTCCACAAAACGAAATACGTGGACAACATCACGGATGTGACCAATATCTGGCCGAGGTGTGAGCTGTAGTAGTGCAAGAGTGCACCACACGTAGTATAATAAGCGTTCGCTTATTACGCCATCGTAAATTTACATACACGACGCGTTAATCTCCTTGTCTCAATTCCCGAGTAAACCAAGCCTGTTCTCGACCTCTGACAATGAGGTCCATATCATATTCATGGACCAGTGGATAGGGCTGCGAATCTTTCTTTCTCATGACATCAATGAGACTCGGATAATCAATAATCTACTGGCAGAGCCTGTCGCAGAGTTTGAAGTCTCGGGCCAGTTAATGAACAGACCTTTCAGGGCCTCTAGTATTATACCCCAAGTGACAAGTCGGCCTGGCACCCGAACTTTGGCTGGCAATCTTTGAGCACCTTCCTTGCTTTCCGAACCCTTCACGACGTTGCCCTCACTTGCCAGTCCTTTCGTTATCTTGCGCGACCTCTCTTATGTCGCTCGCTGACATTCTGTCTACTCTCTGGACATCAACCAGCGTTTTATTCACCGTCTCAAAACTGTAGAGCGTACAAAGCAACGCATACAATTTTGTTCCTCAGCACGGATCGTTCGGGAATGCAAATTACATCCCCGATATATATTGCTGGTGCCGCGCCCAACACGGAAATTGCATATAATGTGCTTCTGGATATACTACTCGACGCCCTACCGCTTTTCGTCAATCTCCAATCGCTATCGTTCATGTTCGTGGACCTCAGCCAATTCCAGGTATTGAAACTGTGCGCGCTACGAAGCCTTGGGAACCTTTTCTAGGGCAACTGTATAGTGGAACATGTCCAATCGCTTTCACCTCCCAAATTGCGGGTTGCTGACTTGATCATCATCTGCCATAACAAAACTATACTTGGGAACGGTCAGGACGGTCATGGACTATCTATCTCCTCACCCGACCACATATGTTCCGTCTCTATAATCAACCCAGTTGCTATCTCACAATTCCTAAGCAATTTCATAGGGAACGCATTGTGAGGCCTGTTACAACTCCGATGCCTTACATTACCTTGCGATTTAGAAGTCGTGCGCGCTTTCCTTCCTTTACTTCATCTTATCCCAGAGCTAGCCGAACTCAAATTCATCTGCCCCTCTCAAATCCAATCCAACCTCCCCAAAGATGAAAAACTCTCCCTGTCTATGCATTCCATTCCACTCAAACCACCGTCGAAATACCAAGGCCCTCGTCGACTTTGAACCCACTTTGTTCGCCCTGGTGCGCTTGAACATCTTAACTTTTTTTTGAATCCTTGTTTATTGTCCGTCGGGGCGAAGCCCTGTGTTACAGTACATGCGTTATAGTAATCTATGGTTCTTTACGTACGTTTGTGGTATGATGAAACTGAAATCCTGGTCCAGGCTTGCGTGAGGACGGTAAGCGCCGTCTTAGGGCGTTTGGGGGTGTAGATGGCTAAGCACTTAGCGCATCCTTGGGATTCTACTTCTTCTGCTCTGGGGGGCTGACATCTCCGAAGGTGTTGACGAAACGTTTGGTGCGCGCTATGTATTTGAGGACCGCCTTGATGCTGTTTTCTACCGTTCAGGAGACCTTTTAGGCTTTGGGCTCGTGTGCTAAGCTCGGATTTCAAGAGTGCGCCGTATCTCGTGTACGCTGGGCATGATATTAGGAAGTGGTGTACGGTTTTCTCTCTTTCTTCGCAGGTTGAACAGATTGGGGGTGGCGCTCTCGAGATTTTATGGAGGTGTTTGTTCAGGGGTGTGTCCTGTGCGAAGTGGGCCGAGCGAACGTCTCAACTTGTGGAGTACACGCCCCATGTCCACTAATGGTTCGATGGACCCCGTAGAACTGTAAGGAGCACTTGTGGGAGCCCATGAACTTGTGAGCGTATGTGATCCGGAGGTCCTCAGGACTGCTCGTGCTCTATGCCATCTGCACCCGTTTCCTAATACTTCGATCGTTATACGTATATGTGGCAAGGGGCGGCTTCTTTCCTGATGTTGCCATGCAAGTGTGGGATCCTGAGGTACATGTCAAATCGTTCGTTCTCTTTTGTCGGGCTAAATTGTGTGTTCTAGATGATAATGGACGCCCTTTTGACCCGAAGTTCCGCTTACCAGCGTTTGCAACTTTCTTCATATTCAGCTGTGTCGCGCAGTGGACCTGCGACGAAAGACCGTCTTGAAAAGGTAGACGAGACCTCAGGGTAAAACACCCTAATTTAACTTTTGTTTCTCTGGATGAATCGGACATTAACCTAGCATGGGACAGTGCCCCATTGCTGAGCGCTGAGATTTAGGGGTCCGTTTAATATATGAATTTGATTGTCCTATGTATAAGCTATCTACACATAATCCTATACCACTTGTTTCGGGTTGCCACAGACTACTATCTCCGAATAGGATGATGTTTCTCGGTCATTCCCTGTCATTCCCGTAGCCATCGACGATCTCCCACAATGCACTAGCAAGCTCTTTCACGTCATCGCTCTCCAGGCCCATGCTCATAAGCACACCATCACTCCTTCGCGTCCTTGCAGTTTGTTCCACAAACCTAGTATACCCTGTAAGCGAGACCGATGTAGAAGGTGTTGTAACAAGTGATGAAGTCATCCTCGTCGATGTTGGTTTAGTGTGCCAGAATATGGACGGAAAAGATGTCGGAACAGGATAAGCAGGTGCGTGGATACTGATCCCATGACATGAATAAGTTCGGATGCACGCCATACGATTGAGCGAGCCATTACTTACCTGGAAACCAGAGGTTCCTGTAGCGATGACAAGTCGCACGATGCATCGAATGCCGCCAGGTCTTGATCCTGCAACCCTCGAGTTACGTTTCGCCTCGCAAAAACTGAATGCTCGTCCTAGAATTACATATTGCTCCATTATGGTTCGTGCGATCAGGGCGTCAACATAATCCTCACCTTATTTGACAAACCAGTCGAGAAGTTGCAGTACAGATCGGTGAATGCTGCCTCTGTCGCAGGAAAAGGTAGGGAAGACTATGCCGCCCAATTGTCCCAATCGAGAACATTTCCGCCAGTTCAAGTGGTCAGCTATCATTGCAATGTCCTCCCGACTGTCTTTAAGTCTGGGAAATCAGCTGGTGATATGCTCGTTGCCTGTCAAAGACAATAGCATACCTCAGTGGCAGCGTAGCGGTCTCTACCAGCGACGAGATGACTGCAGACGTATGATACAAGCTGTTTTTCTGTAATGAACCGTCAGAAACTATATATAGAGTTTTGCAGGAGACGAACATCATAGGAAAGTACCTGCGATAGGTTGCTTTCCAATGGAGACCATCGGGATGGATTTAATATTGGGAAAGTGATATCCGAGAGCTGATGGAGGCTTTGCAAGCACAATGCGTCATTGATAATTCTCTTTGTGTCGAGAAACTATTTTCGAATGTTTATGTACCATCTACGTGAAAGTGCATTCACTCACATTGTCGATGCCAGCATGATTCGGGTCTGCACCCGAAAGGAAGCTAAAGTTTAGTGTAGAAGCCTTGAGAAACTCGTCGCGGAAGGAAGTCAGGAAAGCATGCGAGAAACCCCCAAAGGTTGGCATATCGTGCATCATTTGCAATCCCTGCAGTGAAGGACAATTCGGCAGATGATTGAAAATGGTATGAAACAGAGCCTACCTGGAAGTTATCGCAGTTCTCGACGAGCAAACGAAACGCCCCTTCCATGAGCTCTGTATCCTTGAAAAGTATTATAAATACCACAAGACGGGGAGAAAAAACAAGTACCTCATTATATCGTCGGAAGAGATCTTGACCAACACTCCACCCAGCTTCGGTACTTTCCAGTGCGTCAGGGATGGGCTGTATAGATTTAGGATCGAGGAAAACGCGGCTATAATCTGACCAGTATCTGATATTTGGGTCTGTACGTTCCAGACCACCTTTTTCTTCTATTTCGCCTTCAAGGCGAGCGTGATATTCGCTTTGAGGAATCGGATCTTGTGCCTCGCGAATTACCCTTCCTCGCCTGCAAAGTAATCACTTCGTACGACGAACAGCTTTTACAATCACACTCACCAGGTCGTATCAAGTGAAGCGTTGGTAGCTGTATCAGCTTGGCTCGTTCTTGCGAGTGTCCCGAAGTTTGCTGCTCAAATGCAGCTCAGACGATAGGATATCAATGCGCCAACGAAGGCATACACTTCTGATCGAATGCTAACAGGCGTGGACAAAGAGTTGACTGATTCTGGTGAGACATGACGGTAATGCACATTAACTTGAGGATCTCACTTGGAAATGGTCCACATACCTGAGGACTTCGTCCTTCATCGAACGAAAGGTCGTGGTTTACGATAGGTTCATCGTCATCGTCGTAGGTGAAATAGCTCTCCTGCGTATTCCAGAAATGTGTTCCAGTGTAGTTTGCCAATGAGCCTGCTTGGATGTAGATGATCTCCCTCATAGCTTGAAGGTATTTTGAAACGCGTCGGAGGCCTAGGTCTGATCATCATGCCGTCACGTCCTCAGCCGTCGGAAAATTCAAAGTCCGCTTGACATGCCTTAACAGGAATTAGCAATGGAAAGATGTTAAGACGAAGAAACACCTAAAGGCTTAGCGCTTAGCGCTTAATGACAGGCAACGCAGATTGAAGATGAGCTGAATGGAAGGGACTGAGGGTCGCGAACTGGTCAGTTTGTCAATGCATAAGCAACGAAACCAAATGAAGATGGGGCGTGGTACTACATACACGTCCATTTCCAAACCCTGAAGACGGGGAGGAATTCAACATAAAGCAATATTATATCGGATAACTTATGATCAGAATTGGACGTACTGGTTCATAACATGCCAGCCGGCCTCGCTCGACTATAGACACAGCAACATTGTGTAACGTATTTTGGTTTGTTTACACCCACGTATTGGGTGTGTAACTGTAAGTAGGCAGACTGTAACTTTCCCAGGTGTGCGCATCCCTATTTAATTAGCGCACGATCTTCATCTCCTGACCGTGGACTCTGGAGCGCTTGAGGTATGAAACTAGCCTTTCCCATTATTATAACACACTACGGCATGAAGTTACTTATATATCGTGTTGGCCCGGGCAACTTGGGGCTATAACATCACGCACGTTCCTCCCACTGGCACCAAACTAGTTCGCCGCCGGAACAGTCCTTTGATACCACGGTTGTCTACTTGCATTCGATGGCACGACGCACGTTACTACGAGTCGCAGAATGGCATGTATGACTCTAACGACGAAACTGCAAAAGCAGTAGTGAATAATAGCTGCCAGCAGGCCAGTGATTTGTCTTGCCAAGTGAACGTTGCGGCTGGCGCCGGCGGTGCCACCTGTTCAAATCGCTGGCGGCTGGAAATTATCAGAATCTTTTCCTTGAACGTTCGTCTCGACACTGGTCGTTTAGGCGTTATTGATAACCGGTGTTTTTCCGAATGCCGCGGTGGGCAATTCAAGAGCGAGGAGAGATGTCATATATGAGTCATGGACTAACTGAAGTCGAAAAAAACACCCACCTTCCTTCATAATGTGTATTCCATTTGTCTATGCCCTCATATTCACAGAGATTGCTCTGGTTTACGCATCACCATCTCAGGGTCCATTCCGAACCGTGTCTAACAATCATCGGTTCTACGATGTACAGGTGCGTCACGGTAGTGTACTCGAGGTCGTGGCTTGTGCAAACCGTAACCCAGGCTCATCGTGGAGGAAGAGGAAATGTTGTCGAGAGCACTCTACTGAGCTTTGCATGGTATAGTGGATGAAGTCGATGTTTGCTTCACCTCAAGCGAATTCCCGTCACAGGGGCCTCATTGGTGGTGCCACCACACTCGAATTAGACAACGGTATCACTCAGGCAAGCTCTCGCTTCTCAGGGTCATGCGTCTTTCTGAAGAGGCTTGCAGGACGGTGAAGTCGTTGTATGGCACGACGAGAGTATATTGGCAGAAAAGTGTTCTGACACTGCACCAGTGGTGAGCAGTGTTATAGTATGAATTGTGGCGGTTGACTGACCAGCACAGGTCCCAGATGATCCCGCATATCCTTATGTCGGAAAGTTTATATCAAATCTGACGTTGGCTCAGATCAAGACCCTCGATTGCGGATCAAAGCGCCAAACAAATTATCGTATGTGTTCTCTTTCTAACTGTAGCCACTGTCGTAAGAATTTTACACAGCCCATCAGCTTGTATATCCTGGAGCAGGGATATCCACATTACGGGAAGTCTTCGATTTCGTGTCCTGCGCAGATCCGTCGCACCAGATCCTTTGGAATATCGAGTCAAAAATTAACCCTCAATACCCAAATAGAACTGCTGGCGTGGATGATTTTGTCCAGAAGCAGCATGAGATATTCGCATCGAGCCCATACTACCATTCTATTACTGTGAGTGTAGCTCTGTTACTACTAATCAATACTCTAATTGCCTTGCCAGTATCAAAGTTTTGACTGGCGAACTTTAGTGGCCATGAAGGTCTGTGCCTCATGTTCGTCCACTCTGCTTTTTTGATCATCAGCTGAAGGCTTTCGACGATAAACTTGTGACTTCTGCTCTTATCGATGAGTGAGTGAATTTCGAGCCAATACTTTGCACACCAACCGTCACCAATGACCATTCAGGGACACTGCTTTTACGCCACGTGACTCGACTTCCCCGTGGTTGGCTGGCCTACGCCTTGAATCATTTCCCGGACCATCCCTGTCCGAGCAGATAGCACAAGCCGCCCACGCTGTACAAGCGAATATTTTATCTCCTACTGGAACCTTCCTCATACCTTCTTCATCCCATGAGGGATCCTCTCACTTCACAACTCCTAAAATGATCAACGAAGCTCACAGGCTCGGCATGAAAGTTGTACCTTGGACTGTGAGCACTGGTCTATTTGCTCACAATAGACGATGTTCACACATCACCCATTGCAGGTGAATCACTTGGACCGCGTTGAAGAGCTCGTCAAGGACGGCGCAGACGGAATTATTACGGATTGTAAGTTTCAAGCCACAACAAGTATTATTGATTGCTTACGGAAGGCATATCAGACCCGAACGTCGTTAGGCGGTGGGCCAAACAACAGGGACTTCAGGTGGCGCCTAAATATCCTACACAACGTGTCTTCTCCTGCTTACGCCAGCACACACATTGATCTTCTTGATGCGATGAGCTCAAGGATAGATCATCATTTTCTCCATTCGTGTAGCATTTTTCGGTATATGATTACCAGGCAGTTTAGCTTTCATCAGACAAAAACCATTACAAATCAGGACATCGCTATCATATAGACGAGACACGTACTATCTGTGTTCTATTATACTCGAGACTTGCCTGAAAATAGACGCTGAAGACATCAAGAAATGTGGAATCTCATTTGAATTGATAGGGGTTATTGCCCTATGCCGTCCGCACCGTGCTCCAGACCACGCCGATCGGACAAGTTGTCTACCACCAAGTACACACAGTCGCATGAGGTAACTGTGGCTCCTCCCTTATGTATTCGAGAGGCCCATCTCAAATGCCACGGTGAGCAAATGTCGCGTCAAAACTTGAATGGGGTAAGCGGCTCAACATCATCAGTGTAAGTATCGTTGGCGCAAGGTCATTGACGACTCGGATCCAGGCCACAGCAGCCTTATCCTTATCTCTCTTGAATGCAAATACTGTGGTATTCGAGAGTTGCCCAAGGCGTACGATGTCAATCGAACGCGGGATCGTAATGCCCAACGGAAGACACATTCGTCAAGGGCTTGGATTGGAGGGAGCCCCTCATCACCGGCCCTATGGCATGGTCCATGGTTGTATAGGAGCGTCATAGTTTTGCTTCCACATTGATCACGCGATGGGACATTCAGGAAGTATTACTGGGCGTCGTGAAGAAGATATTGATCATCCTGTGCCAGCTTGAATCAACCTGCAACCAGGCCTAAACATAGCAATTTGGTGAGTGTTTGTTGACGTAGCACCGTTTATCTAGCCAGCCTACGAAGTTGAGATCCTGTAGCACGGGTGCAGCACGTCCATCGTGTTAGTGGGTGATGCAGCTCATAGTATTCACCTCATTTCTGAGGGCTATCTTGTAATCTGAGCAGGCTGCCACTCCTAGCGGTGCCACCAAACTCAGGTCGAGGAGCATCTCAAAGCCTTGAGGGCGCCAATCCTGGCATATCACTTCCGACGACACCAGTTAACCCCATAGCCATTTCGGATCTGAAGACTGTACTCGCGCAATTCCAAAGGGTTTGACAGCCTCGAGTTAAAGAATCGTTGCTGAGATTCATCGACATAGAGAGCTAGAAACGGGAAAGGAGAGCTGGATGAATGGATGGCTCGAGTATAAAGTGCCTGGAATCGAAGATTAGACCAAGATACACGAAAGCAGCCAATCCAGCTAATGCATCTCGTGTTGAACTCATCCTATGGGCGTCACGGCGTCTAGATCCTACTGCTTGCAGGTTCCGGAGGCGGCTCAGACATCTGCGCCTGTCAAAGGTCGAACTCGTTCAAGATGATTTGGTCGATCGGCATCGTTCAATTCAGGGCCGGTGGAGTTGGAGGTCTTCTCAACCCCAATGTTCGAGGGCGTCGCCGCATAGGTAGCCTTCCACGACTCAGTCGTGTTATGTCTTGATGTATGACCTCATTGGACGTAGTCATTACAATATGCTTGGTCACACCAATCAAGTTGAAGCAGACGAGGAACTCCGTGACCTTATATCTCTCCGAATCGCCTTTCACTACCGAGACCCTCGCCAACTCTGCCACAGCGTTCGCTTTCTCCCCAGCATATCCCTCCTCGCGTTATACACAACTGCCAGTTGACACATGCACGCGCTCCTGGAAAGCAATCGACGTCATGCCGGTTCCTGCATTAGAGTCGGCCACGGGCTTAGCATGAAATTCCCGAAGGTTAAGGATAAGCCGTGGTCCCATTATAAACCTCTGCATGAGCAAGGAAATTTGAAGAAAACCAATATAAATTTGAGTCTTTAATGCATACGTGTCCTGTAGAAATGGTGAACCGTGGTCGTACACAGAGGTCAATGATAGAACGGCATACTGCTGAGATTGTCGGAGATAAATAAACAAGGTTGAAGCAAGAAACAGCAACAAAGCTAAGTAGCATATGCGAAACTTCAGCAATAAAAAAGAGCCACTTTTATATTATAGGCTCACCTCGCAAAGCAAACCACGTGAGTTTTCATCAATACCGTGTAACAGTCCTCGATTAACCATCCTGTTGATGGTCTTTGCAGTTCATAGGAAGTGTTTTAGAGCAATCCAGACTGCGAGACACAGTGCGAGGACCTCCCATACAGCGGGGAGTATCCAAGTCAATGAATTTAGAATGAGGTAATTTCCCTCATAGTCAGCAGTGCACTGATAAGTGCCAGAGAGAATCAGCTCCTCTGAAATTCATCGATGAGCTTGGTGCACCTAAGTTTTTCATTCACGATGGAAGCTTACCCGCTGGAACATCACTCATCGATATTGCAGTGATCACTCCGCCAGCGATATTGACAGCCAAGAATATGGCAACGAGAAATACGAGCATCGTTCTGGATTGTGAATACATGGCATGTAACCGAGTGATCATGATGACTTGTGCCATGTTTTAGTCAAGTCAATATCACTGAGGTATTGCACTCACCGCCCAGTATTACAAATACGACCATACTCATCCAGTTAAGCGTGACGAACATGATACGGCCTGGCAAATACGGTTAGTGACCAGCCCGAAGAGTCACACACTCCGAACGAACTCACAGCTGTAGCAGTCATTCTCTTGAACCAACAAGCTGGTCAAAAATCTCACTCACCCCTACATGGGAGCGCAGTTGATTGAATGAGAATGGAGATATCGGTGCAGAATACTCACTGTATCTGTCACCGAGATCGACTGAACGAATACTGTATGTCACCGGTCAGAAGAAGCAGACGTTGTGCGTACGAGGGAACATACCTAGAATGCTGATGCTAATTGCGAGAGATGGCTGATTAGCACGCCGCTTACGTGGTTGTCCAAACTTACACAGCATATATTATTCCAAGATAGCGTACCTAATGTTAAGTCAGCCAAATTTGCCCACCACTCTTAACACACGAGCTACATACACTCAGGTATAGAAAGGTCACGAGGGATCCACCGTTGCTTCTGCAGGGTGTTAATTGTGTTTCACGTTCTTCTGAAGTGGACTCCACTCACCCAGACCAATTCGACCTATAAAACCATTCTTAGCGAGATGGCTGCACCACTGACATTGGCATCAACCTACCTCTTGGCTGAATGTCAGTGCTAAAAATACCGTAAGGATATCAGGGGGATTCTGTAATATCAAGTATCTTGCTCACCCCAGCAGAGGCAATAACTGAATCGCAGCCAAGGTTAGATCAACCACATCAGTGACCTCCACCATCTGACTGGCTCTCCACGAACCTACAAAATAGCTACCAATGCGATTCGCATTGATGAGCGGCCACCAACTAGGATCATCTGAGATGAGGGTCATACTATTCGAGGATATGTGTGAGGGAGCGCAGAACTCGGTGAACGTGGACGTACTTATATGACGATGGCGTTGTGCGCGCCAGACATGTACTAATCATCCAGCACTTTAATTGTACTGCACTCGATACGTGATGCGACGGTGATCAGCGCTCAATGTTTAACTCAATGTACCGCTTTCCTCCTGTCAAGTCCTCCGCCAGTTGCCTCATATGCACCTCTTCCCTCTCTTCTGCCCGGTCATCGGGCTATAATATCGTCACCGGAATGTGAAAAATATGACAACTTTGGTAAGAGTAGTAAGTATGATCGTGTTGAAAACCACTAAACCAGAGGCTAAAACGTCCTAGACTCGATTCAGCATGCAGTTGGTGTTTGGGAGGATACTGTGAGAATTGGTGGCGGGGACTAGACACAACTTGAACTTGCGGTCCTTACTTATACCTGCTTAGAAACAACATTCACGTCATGCGTTGACTTCAGGGATGTAGTAGTTAGGGAATGCACTATATGGCTGTGCAGCATCGATATCTCACATGAACGACACTCCAAAACCACACACCTCAGAATCAAACCAACACCCCAGAACACCTCACAATCCCTCTCCAGCTCTTCCAAGCATAAACTCGCAAACAAGCAGTCTCGTCCAGCCTTTCCCGCATGCACAGCACTCTCGAGGAGCGAATACAAGAATGCTGGTTCTGTATTTGGGGAAGTCAGTTGGTGAAGTTCGGCGGCGAGGTAGATGGCGGAGATGGATGCTCGGCGGGTGTACCAACTTAAAGATGACTGGTATTGGTTAGTAATGGTGCAGTTAGATTAATCAAATTTATGTGAAGAAAAACGCGTCATACCTCTCGCGCGTCGCTATGAGTGACCCAGCATGCCTGGTTAGATACTTTAGCAGCGTGTTTGGTTATCGGAGCAGGGTCCACTAGGAGAGGTGAGTCAGGTGACTAACTGCAGGGGATTTGTGTTTAAAATAAGAACGACCACAGCCGCACAGCCACCGACCGAACTGGCGGTTAGTTTGCGTTCGACTTGTGTTCGACACAACCATTAATGCATAATGCATCGGATCGATGACATCGTCTGCTGATACATCATGTTCGGATGCCTGGAGAGTTGGCAATCATACGTCTGATAGGCTCATGCGAGAACTTTAAGTATCGACACAGTGCGCATTGTAGCGGACGAAGGCTCCCACTGGGAACCCAAACTGCTGCTCGGCATCAACGCGTCGATGTTGAACGACTCGAAGCTTCTTGTGCTGCAGAAGTACAGCAGAAGGTCTGTAGACTTCCACTTGATCATAACTTTCTTCTCAGGTTGACGGTCCTCAGCCGCTGCATTCGTTCGTGCCTATGCATCTATATACCATGGTCTCGATGGCAACAAACCCCTCCTCCGTACAACTCAATAAACAAACACTATTAAATATCTGGGCCTAGTAGCTTTTGCTCCGAGTGGCACCCCGCCTACCAATCAGTTCTATTTCTTCGAATGCGACATTTGCTGGAGGCTTCATCATCCTTCTGCACTTTCCGAACTCGAGCCTTCTGATTGCAGTGTCGATAATTGTGATGGTACATTACAGACCCAAAATGACTGTCTGACGGCACACTAAAACATCACCGAATCGTGCCCGGTGTACCTCCAGGGCGCGCTTTACAATAATTTCTTCCGGCAAGTGGGCACAACTCCGGCATTGGTGGTGTTTACCATAAGGAAGTAAATAAAACATTATGTTACATTTAGCTCATCCACCATTCACAGTAGGATGTTTATAGTCTTAAACCGTCCAGCCGCGCCTGATGGAGTCATGCCCTTTGTTCAAGAACCAACCGTGGCATGAGCGAACGGTTGCTTGCTCATCGCATTGTGACAATAATGTGACTATTATGAAAATCGTGATCGCGCTTTGTCGAATCTAGTGGACGCGTCTGCTCACAAAGCGGTTCGTCATTCATCCGCAATCCACAAGTCCACATCATCCAGACATAAATCGGTGCTTAACATGACATCTGCCATCAACTCATCCTTACTCCATTCACATCACAATGTTCTTCACTACACCTGTCTCCACGAGTCCCTACTCTCCCGACTACTATCCCCGCTACCGCCCCGGAATCTCATTCGTTGTCCCTGCTCTTGCTACCAAACATCTCGCGGAGCAACGTGAGCGTGCACGGGCTCTGCGTTACCAGCAGCAGCCTGTGAATCAGCCTAACCCAATTGCTCTCCTTGCTCACGAGTACAACGAACTTCCCGACCAGCAGCGCATGATGTGCGTCTTGCGTACCTGTAGACCACAGGATGAGAAAAATATTGGCTACATTATGGCCCTCGAGCACGCTAAAATGCAGCGGGCCAACCACACGGCCCACCAGACAGCTGAAATGCAGTGGTTCAGGATCCGAGAGTGGCAGTATCTTGTCGCTTTAAACGCTCACTTCGAGGAGGAGCAAGCTTTTGCCCGCCGCCGTGCAGATGCTGAGAAATTCCTCGAAGAAGCTGAAACCTACCTCAGCGGATTTCTACCTCCAGATGAGGAGCCATGCCTCAGCGCCTTTCAGCCTTTCGAACTGCCTGATACTCCTGTATGTTCTCACCCGTCCAGTAAATCTATTTCATCTGACTTACCACATTCTCTCCCCAGCTTCCAACTTCCACCTCCCAGGTCCTTGTTCAGGATGAGCCTTTGCTCAGGGACATGATTGAAGACTGTGTTGTGACAGAGAACCGTGTTATGACAGAGTACCAGTTTGAAGTGCGCGATACGCTCCAGTCGATCCTTGACTGTCTCTCTGCAGTCACTTCGACCGAAGGTCCTATCGAACACATTCCCGTACCATCCACCGCCGCGGAGATTTCTAGCTCGATGCAGGTCAACGTCGATGAAGAGGGAACTACATCCTCATAGGAAGGGAAAGGAGAAGCCAAGGAGACCCCTGTATGTGACGCTGAAGAGTCTTCTGCATCTCCGGCCCGAGTCGCACCTTCGTTCTCCCAGATCACTTCCATCTCCTCCATTCTCGAGACCCTCCTCGCCAACTTCCAGACCCTGTTACTGTGTCTGTCGAGCAACCCGCTCACCCAATGCATATCGACCCCTCGGAGGAGGTCAGCGAAATGGATGTGGGTGCATTCTTCCTCTGTTGTGAGTTGTGAGAATGAGGAGTGGTGTCATATCAGCCGAGGCTTGATCGTCTTGTATGTTTTACTCTGGTGTTTATTTAAGTCTCACTTATGTTCTACGTATACTTTGTTCATATTCGTTCATATTTACCCGATTACTGTACTCCAGTATGTAGAAGGAGCACTGACAAACTGCAAATGCATGTATCTCGTGTTGCATGAGCTTTGATTCTTGGATAATGCAGGATGATCATCTTACTCCAGTAACAGATTTTGCACTCTACTTGTTCTGAAGCTACGACTCGACCACACGATTATTCATAAGATGAAATAAATGAGCATATCTACTACGCCTTGTAACCCTGAATAACCACTGGCTTGGTGGCGGTTGCGTTCTGTATGATGTCTTTCACTGGTCACCCCAAAACTATACTTATCAGAGACATCTCAGGGCCAATGAGGACGCTGCTTATTATCATACCAGTTAATCCCATCTTCAGATCTGAAGGATGTATTCACGCAATTCCAAAGGGTGATCGGCAGCCTCGAGTTAACAGCGAAAATAAATGCCTTCGAGATACTCATGAATTTTGACTTCGTGAATAAGAGCTGGACTAATGATATCAAGTGTCTAGAATCGAAGACCGGGTCGAGATACGTGAAAGCAGGTACATTTCATGTTGTATTCATCCCATGTACATGGGCTTCAGTGGTCCGGGGGTGTATCGTTTATTTCTAGATACTACCGCTTGCAGGTCCCAGAGGCGTCTCGGACAGCCGCACCTGTCAAAGGTCGAACTCGTCCAAGATGATTTGGTTGACCCGCGTCCATTTAATTCGGGTTGGTTGAATCGGTAGGTCTTCTTGTAGTAATGAATCTCGATGCCTCAAGGCTCTCGGAAGGATTTCGTGGCCTTCTTCAAGTTTCAATGACCCGGTCGAGTCCCGAAGGCCAAGGGCCCAGCGCAACGCCGATCTGACATGCAGGGTGCCCTTGCCGCCAACCTTAGTGGAGGTTGTTAGATTTGCTTTGTCGCACCTGAAGCGAAGTTGCGAACGAGGAACTCGGAATCGGTGGGACCGTGCGAAAATTTACTAGGACTGGCAAGACTGACCGTAAACGTCCGACTGTTAGAAAAATACTCCGCTCGAACAGTTACTAGTTACTTGTAACCACCGCCAGCATCGTCTGACATGGCTTCCTATGCCGTCAGGAAATCTATAAACCTCGCCCCGACCGTGCGCGCGCTCCCAAATGGAATCCCGAGCGCGCCACGTCTCAACCTCGCGGCACGAGCACCTTCGGACGGCCATAGTCATGGTGCAACAGGTCCCGGTGCTGATGTCCCCACTCGCTTGACCGGAACAGTCGCGAGTCCTTCATTCGGTCTAGTTTCCAAGACTTTCGTTGGTAAGTAATAATTTTTCACCTTGCTTCGACTTACTTTCTTAACACTAACGCCGACCAAAACGCGTCTCTTGCATTTAGCTCCTCCGCCCACAACCCATCTCTACCAGCGGCTCATTCACACGTCCGTTGCAGTGAAAGATGCTCCTCAAGTGCCCGACTTCACCCCCTACCGCCCGAAAGATGAGACCACCAACCGCGCCATGTCGTACTTCATGGTCGGCTCCCTTGGCGTCCTCTCCGCTTCTGTCGCCCAGTCCACTATTACTGGCTTCCTGGAGACCATGGCTGCATCGGCTGACGTCCTCGCTCTCGCGAAGACCGAAGTAGAACTTGCCAGCATTCCAGAGGGCAAGAATGTCATAATCAAATGGCGCGGAAAACCTGTGTTCATCCGTCACAGGACCCCCGATGAGATAGAAGAGGCACGGACTGTCGATTTGAAGGCACTCAGGGACCCTCAAAGGGATGAGGACCGAGTGAAGAAGCCCGAATGGCTTGTTATGCTTGGCGTTTGCACACACTTAGGTTGTGTCCCGATTGGCGAGTCAGGTGACTACGGAGGATGGTGTGTCATTTTCCTTTCATTAATCGACTCTTCTGACAGTCTCGTTATCTAGGTTCTGTCCATGTCATGGTTCTCACTACGATATTTGTATGCCACCGTGATTTCTTCACTTGTGCATCACTAACAGAGTTCAATTTGCAGCTGGCCGTGCCCGGAAGGGACCTGCTCCGGTAGGGATTTTTCTTCTGTCTACTGAGGTCATACTAACACTACCTTGCAAGCTTAATTTAGAGATTCCTCCTTACGACTTCAATGAAGTCGATGGAAAGCTCATTGTTGGATGAGATTGATCATATACTGTTTATACTGCCCTGTAATGGAGTCATAGACATTACTAGAAGTCAGCTTGCAGTTGCGTCTTATCAAGATTTGCGAGACAATTATAGCTGAGACGTTTCAGGTATACGTGACAATATCCAGTAGACAGTACAGTAATGTAATGATGGATATGGACTAGACTAGGTGTAGACAAACTCAATATCTCGTGTGATAGCATAGATAGTGTGGCCTTGACGATGGCCAAGTTATGGGGTAGGGCGTCGAGCTAAGGAAGCGGAGTTCCGTTTGTTGAGTATGCGTGATAACCCGCTCATTGTCTTCTCTTTGGCAGGTGGCTCTTGGCCTAGGGCATTGCGAGAAGTAGCGCGGGTTAAACGCTGCCAAAGTTTCGGAGAACCCGATGATGGGATAAAGGTGGGGGTAGAGGCCGCGCTGTCTCTGGAATTCGAGAAAGATGAATTACGAGAGTTGGATGACGCTCGCTTTGGAATGGGGATGGGAGCTGGTAAGGAACGTGGCAAGAGCTTAGGCACATACGCAGGTGGTGATGCAGGATATGACGAATCCAAACTTAGAGATCGGAATTCTCCGTATCCAGCGTGGGCTTGCGATCCTGGAAGGAGAAACGCCGTCTTCTCAAGATCAGGACCCTGGATGCTGATGGACGTCGAGTCTGAAGTAGGCATGATTGACGGTGTCTCTTTGACACCGTGTGAAAGCTCGGAATCTTGAGTGTGCTGAGTCAAGGCGAGCCAACTGGTGGTAGCCGTCTGATCCAACATCAAGACTTCCCCTTCTGGACGCACCACTTGAACTATCTCGTTTTGAATTCCAAAGGGATTGGCACAGATAGATTTGTCTCTGTAGAGTTGAAGTCCCATGATTCCATTGTTGAATGAGTAATTGTGCTTGGATGATGTCTGCGACGTTCTTGTCGCATTGTAAGGGGTGGGAGGCCGTCCAATATTGTGCTAACCAGATAGGATCTCTTTTTGGAAGACTTGAAAAATGGGGGTGAGAAGCAACTTTGCAGCCGTTGGACTGTCAAGGAGATGTCAGATATAAAGTAGAGAGGTGTTGGAAAAAAAATACCGTTTAGAGGGGTCTTTTACCAGACAAGCATCGACTACGTCCTTGAAGGCACGTGAATACTGGTGGACACCTCCTACCGAATCAAGTTTCGGTGGTTTACCCTGAACGCTGGAAAGGGCTTAAGGGTAGGAATGTGATCAAAACGGATATATGAAACATACGTTTGCAGAAGGACATCATGAGCACTTTCTCTCGATCGTGGAGGACGACCCTGAGTAAGCTCAATAGCAGTTATTGCAAATGACCAGATGTCAGCCTTTGAATCGTAACGATGACCCTGAATGAGCTCAGGCGCCATCCAACAAGGCTGCATTGATCAAATATGAATATGTCCATGTTAGAACATGCAGGGATCTGAGATAAGCTGCGGCACGCACGGTCCCGACAAACGATTTTCGTTTCCCCATACTAGGGCGCTCAAATGGAAATGCTGGACAGGAGCTGTTAGCAGCAGACACAGGGTCAAAGTTGATAATACGATTGCCGGCGTCATTGTAAGATCTACTGGACATATCAGCATCATCTGTGAGGGATGCGGCTACTCCAAGGTCGCCAAGCAAAACTGTGCCGTCGTCGTCGATAAGAAGATTGGCAGCTTTTATGTCACGATGAATAAATCCGTTGATATGCAAGTAGCTGTGCAAATGTGGTAATTGTAGTACGAGAGAGGAGGGCATGAGATGGACTAACTTGAGGCCTTCTAGGGCTTGCTTGAGAATGCATTTAACAACTTCTTCCTCCAATCCGCCAGGCCAGCCGTAATGCATTACGTCGGCGGCGCTACCCTTGTTCATGAGGCGGGCGGCGATATATAGCTTGTGGCCATCCACCCAGCTGCCGCGTACACGTAGCACATTTGGGTGCTTTGTCAGGGACATGAGTTGTGTCTCCCGCTGTAACAAAGACAGCGAATGAGGGGGCAGCACGTCCAAGTCAAGAACTTTCAACGCGCATGGCATAGGATGTCCTGGTAGGGGAGGGTTATAGACAGCGGCATATACCACAGATGATGCTCCGAAACCGATGGGAGATCCAATAGTGTAGTCCGTAGAACGGTCACTGAATGGAAGTGAGTTCTAACTTAACGACTTCCAGTGTAAACAGTAAAATACCTATACAATTGCCACTCGTCTGCGACGGAACCGACGAATTTCCTGGAGATATTAACGGTCATTTGGTGAGCTTTTACAGCATACCCTGAAATGTTTTCAGATGGGGGTCGGAGCCGCCCAGGAGTGAAATATATAAGACTGGCACAGTCACTGAGCCAGCGTGCCGTTGCGTGGATTGCCAAATATTGTCAGCTCTCGTCATGTCTAATTTTGGATATCGGTGTATTAAGGTTTACCGATACTTATGTAACCGGGTTCCTGCACGTGGGTGAAATTAAGGTTACAACGTTGACATATCCATGTCATGTCATCGCGTGACAATATCGTCACACACTGTTCCGAGCATTCCGACACCCGAGTAAGTCGCGTAAACTGTCTCTTCACAAAGTACATGGCACCGCATCAACCATGCGCTAAATATCAGTACGTCCTTACATCGTCCACTCCAAAGATCGTCCCGGTCCAAGACCAGGAACCCAAGGATGAAGAATCACCAGCTGACTACAACGCTGGCGGGTATATGGTCATTAAGATCGATGACACATTCAAAGACGGTCGGTACATAGTAGCACGCAAGCTAGGGTAAGTCATCGTCTCATTTACCATACAATTATTGTTCATTCGACAAGTTGGGGCCATTTTTCAACTGTCTGGCTCATCAAGGATACTCAGTAGGTATTCCAGTTCTGCAAACACACGTATGTTCTCATGAAGTATCTTTTCCTAGCGAGAACCGCTTCTCCGCTCTCAAAGTGGTCAAGTCTGCTTCGCGTTATGCTGAGACTGCACGCGATGAAATCAAACTCTTGTCTCAGGTAGCTGCTGCAAATCCGCACCATCCTGGTCGACAACATGTTGTTTCGTTCCTTGATTCTTTTCAATCATCACGCTCCCCAGGACACTCATGTGTGCATGGTATTCGAGCCCCTCGGAGAGACGCTTCTCGCATTAATTCAACGCAACAAGAAGAAGGGTGTTCCAAAACCTGTCGTCAAGGTCATCGCGAAGCAAGTGCTTCTCGGCCTTCAATATCTTCATGATGAATGCGATCTCGTTCACACTGACATTAAACCTGAGAACATCCGTAAGTGTATAATTGTCTCTGGATTCATGTCCACCCCACTGACGAGATACTCCATTAGTCATTTCCATACCAGATGTTGAAGCTCGTATTCATGCCGAATTGTCTATTTCGCCAAAGCCAACGTCGTATCATGTAGGCGTTCCTCAGCCCACCAAGTCCCGTTCTGGCTTGACCATTCCTTATCGACATGCACCTGCACACGAGAGACGCGTGCAAATATTTGATTCACAGCCATTATCAAGTCCATCGTCGAGATCTGGAAGTATCAGCGCTAACGCGAGTAGCCATAACTTCCAATCTTCCGGGACAACTCCGATCGGTGGCGCACCCGTCAGCCAGCTGCTTAGGAAGTCCGCTAGAGCGGATTCTACTGCCATCCTTCATGACCCACCAATAATACCTTCCAGTAGCCCATCCACTTCGTCTACCACCTCCTCCATGCTATCCACGCCAGCGATTTCTAACAGCGCTGTTAGTACGCCCCCTACCTCGGTGGGAAGTGCAGACGTACCTATCCTGACGAAAATGGCCTCGCTTACACTCATGAGTGCTTCGCCAGATGCCAAGTTCACATTGCCTCTAAATACGGAAAGTGACATGTCATCCGAGCAATACGTATCTACTTCTCCCCTCATCCAATCGCACGGTTCTCCAGAGATCCACCACGTCACTACCGGGCCGTCGCTTCTTACCCAGACTGCTCCGCATGAGTCCTCCGCGCCGTCTCTCGACCGAACTCCGTCATCTCCTTCTTCAGGGGTGCCCGCTCCAGGACCACTATCCACGCCGCTTTCTGCGCCGCTCTCTATTAAGATTGCCGATCTAGGCAATGCGACACCTTCTAAGCAGCATTTTACAGAGGATATTCAGACACGACAGTATCGCGCTCCGGAGGCTATCCTTGGACGACGCGACTGGGGCACAAGAGCTGACGTTTGGAGCGTTGCTTGTGTCGTTTTCGAGTTGTTGACCGCGGAATATCTGTTTGACCCTCACGGACAAGGCGATATGTTCACAAAGGACGATGACCACATGGCGCAGATAATTGAATTACTAGGTGATTTCCCGCTAGACGCGAAGATGGGAGGAAGATATAGTCGTGAAATATTTGATCACGCAGGCAAGTCAAGTTGGAAATAGCAATTCAAGCAAAGGACTCACGTTGCCTTCAGGGGCACTTCGTTACATCAAAACGTTGAGGCCGTGGCCTTTAAATCGTGTCATGACAGAGAAATACCTTTTCTCTACCTCGGAAGCGGACGATTTATGCCCCTTCCTTGAGCCTATGCTTGCAGTCGATCAAAGGGAACGCAAGGAGGTTCGCGATATGGTTGATCATCATTGGCTAGATGTGAAGGACGAGGAGTGGGTAGGCGTCGACGGCTGGTAATAAACCTTATGTTTTTTGATGCTGTCATTTTATGGGGTTTTTGTGTCTTGTGGTATCTGAAATATACACCCCCCGCCTTATCTTTTCTTTCACCCTACTTTAACGGTGTTTATTCTTCATGACTGCACGATAGACATCGTAATGATTGTTCACGATCTAGATTCAGACACCCCCTCATTTTACGCTTCGCGGTCCATACGACGGTACATATGTATTACATTTTCTCGAGCCATAAATACAAAGTCTTCCATGCTCATGCTTCCGATCTACTTTATTCGTGCACCCACTTTGGAACACCTCACGGTATGGTCCAAATTCGTTCCCAGAACCAGGCCTGGAGGACCTGTGACCCAGTCGAACAATTTGGAACTCAGTATGATTCGCATGATTTTTTATCATGATAGTATGATACAAGATGAAACAAATTATGTTGTGGTTGTTGCCTTCCATTAGATATTGTGCCATGCTAACCTGGTAACTGGAGACGGTCGAGTCAACAAGACAACCAAAAGACAACATACACCCTCAATTACCGTCAACTGGAACTTCGAAGGGTGACTCGAACCGACAACAACTTGACAGTCATGGTTGGCTGGAAGAACCTGCAATAATACAAATAACATTGTAATCGAGTCTCTGGAAGGAACAATGCTACCGTAGCGACAAGCTTTCTTGAAAAAAGATATGCCTTGAGGTACCGGACTTAAGTTAGTGCCCGTGTCACTGTGCATCATAGGCGCTCGCTGTCCCAAAAGGGATGTTCGTTTGAAGCTACTCCTTAGGACGGCGACGGCGCAAGCTTATAATAAGCGCCATGGAATCGTATAAACACATACAGCGTCCATAAGAGCACCCATCTGGCAAATCGTCTTCCCTGAGGAAGTCCCAGCCTACCCCCGACCGTGATGTTCACCTCCATCGCGTCCACTCTCTCACTCAGCTTGCTAAAAGCATGTATTGTAATCCTCTTGATTTTGGTAGCAAGAGGATTCCTGTGGTTGATTAACATGATGGTCGTAGCACCTATGTTTGACCCGCTCAAGAAGATTCAGGGACCCGACGGTTCTCCGCTGCAGAACCACTTTCGTGAGGTCATGGAGTAAGTGTATATCTAATTCGAGGTCGGTTGTGAGGTTGATTGCAATGCCTTCATTTCAGCCCCAGCGTATCTCCAAATACGCATGAGAAGTGGGTCAAGTCATTCGGGAAGACATTCAGATTTCATGGGTTCGGTAGGGTGAGTACTTGCAATCTATTCCCGACTCGTCCTCCTTAAAACTATTAGCATGACTTTCGTCTCCTCTCCGTCGACTTTTGCGTTATGTCGCATATCCTCAACTCACCGATCTATGAGAAACCATGGCAAACGCGAACATTACTGACGAACCTTTTTGGGCGCGGTACGCTGATTCGATTCTTTCTGGAGACGTGAATGTTCTAAGTGGGTGAATACCAGGTGTTTTTACCATGGAAGGTGCCGAGCACAAAGCTTTAGTGAGGACTGCATTTAATTTCTGAAGAAAAAAATATTCATATGGTTTCTCGCAGAGGAAGCTGATTGCACCAGCCTTCTCAACTCAATCAATTAAAGCCATGGCTCCCATATTCTTCCAGAAAGCTGAAGAATTACGGGACAAATTGGAGAGTCTTGCGTCTTCTCCCACATTAGTCGAGGATGCAAAATTCCCTCCTCTTCCTGCACCACCCTATTCTCCTTCTCCTTCTTTTGCCGAGGCGGTAATCGACGTCGCCCACTGGTTCTCCCGTGCAACATTCGACGTGATAGGTTTGGCAGGCTTTGACTACCACTTTCATGCTCTCCAGTGTGAATCAGAAGAAGTCTACTTGGCATACAGAAATATTTTCAGGATCGCTGACAAGGGTCCCAAATTACGAGAACTTGTCCAGCTTTATTTCCCGATGATCCAGAAGATATTTGTCAGTGATCATCAGTTTGGCAGACACTTAAACTAATACATTGTCTTCGTCGCAGCCTAATGAAGCCACGCGCATCACAGATGAAAGTCAACGCGTAATCAGCAAAGCTGGTCAACAGCTCATCCAAAGCAAGAAGTGCGCCATTCTTGCTGAAAAAGCGAGTTCGAGCGAGATCAAAGAAAAAGACATTCTCAGTCTACTCAGTCAGTGCTCACGCCACTCTTTGTTAATTGGATCTAACATTTCACTTGTAGTCAAATCAAACCTGTCGGCGGATGTTTCTGGGCGACTCTCTGACGCAGATATTCTATCCCAACTCTCGACGCTCCTTTTCGCCGGCTCTGACTCTACATCTCTTACTATGTCCTGGTGCATCCACCTCCTTTCCCTCCACCCTGATGTCCAAGGTCGCCTACGCTCTGACTTAAACTCGATATCTCCTTGCGCATCCAATTCTTCATCGGTGTCAGGCTATTCTGCATCGACACACGCAGAAGCCATTGATGGGCTTCCTTTCCTCGACGCAGTAGTCCGTGAGACACTGCGTCTGTGTCCTCCCGTCCATGGTACAATGCGAGTTGCTACTCGCGATGACAATATCCCGATATCTTCACCCATAGTTCTTCGTAATGGCACGATCATTCAACCGGGCGAGACCATCCATATCCGCAAAGGCTCTTACGTGCACATTCCCATCGAGGCTTTGAATTTTAGCACTGACATCTGGGGCGAGGATGCAAGAATATTTAAGTAAGTATATCTTTCCTCGTTGGGCTGCTTTGCTGACAACCTTGCAGCCCTGATCGTTGGTCTTCTCTGCCTCACCCTGCACGAGCTCCCTCTCATCCAGGAATCGCGAACTTGATGACGTTCTCATTCGGTCCACATGCTTGTCCAGGCTGGAAGTTCTCGATGTTGGAAACCAAGATATTCCTGGCGTCTCTCATCCCTCATTTTGTTTTCGAGCCTGCTACAGATATACAAAATTTTAACGCGATTCTGACGCGGCCCTACGTGTACGATCAATTTGAATTCGGCACGCGGCTACCTGTGAAGATTGGACGAGTAAATCTCTGATATTCGTAGATGGGTGTGTTTCAAGGTCCTGTTGTAGCAAATCGGTTTTGTATTTTTAGTCTATCCTTACAGTCACTAAAGTATTCATCTGGTCACCAGTCCAATAAATCGATGGGTAGATCACCATGGGCTAAATGACGGACTACATAGCTTGTAGTGGAGTTTCGCCATCGTGCAAGGTCATATCGTGGATGACACCGATCAATATATCCACCTCATCCTCTGATGATATGACATACACCGTGCTGTCAGCCGGTGTTTGCCTGGTTTCCTCCAGAGCCGCGACAGGACGAGGGGAACCTAGAGGAACTCCGTGAATCCAACAATATCCAGTACTGAGACAGACCTCACCTTGAGGCAGAGCCTTTGCCATCTTGCAGACCTTAGGGGTCCTGGGTGCTCTTTGCACGAAGAGGGGGATGAGTTTTCCGACCTTACAAACGCCACAAACTAGGACAGATTCAATGAACCTATGGAAGTACATTTGAGAGCAGCTCACCGCATTCATCTGGTCTGATGGATTTGCTATATCGCCCATATCTAGTGCCAGACCATCAGACATTGGATGTTAGTGCTGGACCAAAACTTGACTTACACTTTTGAACACTTTTCGCATTCTTCATAAAATTATCAAAGTGGCGCTTGGTTAAAGCTGAACCTCATACTTACTCCATTCAAATGGGTATGAAATCTCATAGTTGTGCCTTGTCTGGGATTGTGGCCGTCAGAAAAAAGTCACTTTGCACTCGTGGTTGCCTACCGTGATTTCGATCTCTGGACGCTTGATCATCACTTTGTTGGCCCTAGTAAGGTATTAGATGAACAATAAGTGACAATGAAAGGATGCGGGACACCGACCAGGCTTTGAAAGCTTGGCCATGACCTTCTTTCGGGTTCTCATTGATGATCCAGCATGCCAGATGACACATCTCATGCGACAAAGTATTTCGTATCCGTTCTAAGAGCACACAATCAGGGGTATGGTAGAGCAGAAACAAAGACCTCTCTACCATCACAATCCAAAATCTTGGCAGCCAGCTCAATCTCTGTCGTCTGAGCACCATCCCTAGACCTGCCATCAAGATAAGCATAGTAAGAGATGTAGCATAACGACTGGATACCTGTGCCACTTGGCCCTTCCCGCGGTGGTTAAGAGGCGCTTGTTCCAATTCAACTTCGTTTCTCGGGGAAGACCGTTATTGAATATCGTACTATTAAGCTCTTCGAAGAGCTGTGCAGCATATTTCTCGCGACATGCTTGCTCCTCTGCTTTTCCCCGCGTGGGGATCCTAGGGGATGGCTTATTTATTCGTGGCGTTATGCTGCCCGAGATTTTCCGAGGAGTGCTAAACTGCCTCTTATCCTCTCCAGAGAAATGCGAGTGAAATGACTCATCGTCACAGCGAGTAATCGGGAAGGAAGGAATGGTTTCGTTGACAGTGGATATCTGAGCACGACGAATGAGTTTGCGTGCACTTCGAGGCTCGTTTCTGTCCGGTTAATGTTGAGCCCGAAATTAGCACTAGCGGGTATGGCCTCACAGAATGAGAATGGAACCATCGTCTGCATCGCTGTCGTCAGCATAAAGTGACAGGAAATCTTTCGGGCGCTGAGCCACAGGTTTCCTCGGCATTTTTGCAGGGCTCTTGACGAGATCAGTTAATTTGTCCGGAAATTCGGAGGATGTATCATGGGTATCACTATCTGTCAATTCGATGATTTCCGACGGTCCACGAAATGAGCTTGTGTTGACAACAGTATTCTGACCCTGCCGAGTGCTGTATCTTCATCAAGCATCTGGAATCATAGTGTGCAAGATATCACTCACCCATCTTTGGTGAGCCTGGATAGTCATTTAAAGTAAGAACACGTGAATATGTACTATCATCTCTGCCATAGAGTCTTACGAGTTGTCATCATCGTCCGAGGATATTTCAATGACTTCAAGTGAGACAGATTGACACTTTCTATACATCATAAATGTGCAAGTTGTTGAACATCAAAGAGTGGTTTTTGCGAGAAGGTCACGCACCTGAGTCTCTCTTCCTCGCTATCTGATATTAACTCTGGACCTGAGCCGGCTAATCATTAATTCTAAGTACTAAGCGGCAAAAACAGATAACGGGGTTAGCCTGTCATGGCCATAGGCCAGCGGTAAGATGTTTGAAACTGACGAGTGGCTACGCAAATTTGCAATGGACAATGTTCGTCTCGCGACTCAACAGTCAAGCTTTCAAGACGCGCTTGTTCCCGGCGTCCCGTGACAATGTCAACTTCATCACGTGCATCTGGCTTGCATTGCTTGAACACTTTCCGCTACACATTCAAATATTCTTGGTGGCTCATTGTAAGGCCCGCCTAGCTCAATCGGATAGAGCGTCAGACTTTTACGAATTGTACGAGTTTGTGCAAGGCGGTAATCTGAAGGCTGCGAGTTCGACCCTCGCGGTGGGCTAATGTTTTACTCAAGTAATCAATACTTCTAGTACTACTACTAGACTACTAGTAGTGCTAGCCGTTCCAATTCACTTTTGCAGTTCTGTCCTCCATTTCAGACTTCAAGATCAAGCTTCACAGCTGGCAGACTGAGACTAGTTATATTGCACGACTTTTCTAATCGGAGGGCTTATTCAAATTCAAATTCGAGCTTTGGCCTATACCATGATGCCCCTGCGGGCAGCCAAAGATCAGCAAATATTGACAGCAAACGACAAGCAAGGTTGATGCTGAAGCAGTCGGCGCTTCCGACGTACATGTCAAACATGCCTGGATGGTGGATAATTTCACTGTGGCGAAAATCATTGCAGCGGTATACGCATCTAAATCTTACTGATTTTCTAATCCTCTACACCCTCCTCCTCCTCAGTAATGAGCCTCTCCGCCTCAAGCGCAGCCATGCACCCACTCCCTGCACTAGTGATAGCCTGTCTATACCTCTTATCCTGCACATCACCGGCAGCAAACACGCCCTTAACGCTCGTCTGCGTCGTTCCAGGGACAGTGATGATATACCCATCGGGGTCCGTTTGCAGCTGCGAGCGCACGAGGGACGTGGCTGGTTCATGTCCGATTGCATAGAAGAGTCCGCGCACGGGTAGATCGCGCTCTTCGCCTGTCGTTACGTTTTTAATGCGGAGGTTTTTGAGGAGGTCGCCGTCGCCTTGGCATTCGGTTGCGACGGTGTTCCAAAGGACTGTCTGTGGAAGCGTATGAGAGGTAGTAAGTGGTAAGGGGGTATAAGAATAGAGGGAGACGTACAATCTTGGGGTGATTCATGAGGCGCTTGGCCATGATTTTAGAGGCGCGGAGTTCGCTACGGCGGACGAGGACGTAGACGTGGGAGCCGTATTTTGTCAGATCTGCCAGAGTCTGGTGTTTGATTTTTGGTCTCATAGAAGAAGATAATCAAAACATCTTACAGGTGGCTTCTTCTGCTGCAGAATCACCACCACCGATAACAGCTAGCGGTTGATTCCTGAAGATAGGGACGGCACCATCGCAAACTGCGCATGCGCTGATGCCGCTTTGCCAGTATGTGACCTCGCCCTTGAGTCCTAACCTCTTCGCGCTCGCACCAGTCGCGATAATGATAGTATCAGCAGTTTCTGGTTCATCGTGTTCCTCACCCTCCCGCCAATAACGGAAGGGGCGTGCAGAGAGATCGATCTTGGAAACGGTTTCTGTGATGATCTGCGTTCCGAAGCGAATGGACTGCTCACGGAACTTATCCATGAGCTCTGGACCAAGGATGCCAGATGGGAAACCGGGGTAGTTCTCGACTGCGGTAATAGATGAGATGCGCTGAAGATAAGAGCGGGATGCATGTACGTACCATCTGTGGTCGTGGTAAGCTGGCCACCGGCAGCGAAACCGTTTGCCATAAAGCCCTCAAAGAGGACAGGGTTGATGTTCGCGCGCGCAAGGTATACAGCGGCGGTGTGTCCTGCAGGACCTGACCCAATTATAACCTGCGCATGACTGGGTGAGTGCCGCTGGGGAATGATGGAAACGAAATGGATGATACGGACGACTTTTGAATGCATCTTTGTGCTCTTTGGGACTTTTGCGTTTGTGAGTGGGGTCATTTTTGAGTGAGTGCAATCCAGAAGGGAGGTGTTTGCAGTTGCGAGGAAGACCTTACTAGGCCTTGCAGAAAGCGAAATGGAGAAAGTATAGATCTCTGACTTTCGCCTGGTCGTCGACAAAACGCTTTCCACATCCTCAGACAGAGACTAGTGCATGCGCATCAATGCTGACATAGCTCCTGTAGCAATCCAACAAGGAAGTACTAGTTAAAAGGAAGGTCGAGATATCATTAGAAATGAAGAGAAGCAAAACATGCAAAACATTAGCCCACCGCGAGGGTCGAACTCGCAGCCTTCAGATCGCCTAGTCATAAGAGTCTGACGCTCTATCCGATTGAGCTAGGCGGGCGACATCAATGCGTCCACGAGTACCTCTATCAAGCACAGGAGGAATAAACAGACACGACTAAGGACAAAAATGTTGCATCCACATATCTACATAATACCTTCGATAGGTCTGACTGGGGGAGACTATTTATCTACAGACATTCAAAGCAAACAACAAATGGATAACATCGTTCGTACAATACGTCAAACACCGACCCTGTAGCAACATTCAAGTCGTGCCCTGACATTAGAATAAATAACTTACCGATGCACGACCTTTTTCTGCAATGGACATGGGTTATCACCTCATTTTCGTGGTCCGACATAGAATGCTCACCTGACCAGAAAATCGTATCACTTCCCTCTTCTCAAGGATGAAGAGTGTCCGTTCCAGTGCGTGATTCGAGTAGCCCTGCTGCGTCACAAATTCCCTTACTAAACTTTGATAGCTCGTGCTCCAGCCCACGGGAAGACGTCTTCGCAATTCCTTCTCTATCCGTGACATCTCGTCATTCAGCTCGCCACGAGACATGCCATCGACGGAACCAGCCGAGACAGCGTCCATTGTTGAGAACTTGAAAAGCCGGATGGCTTCCTCGACATGATGATTCTGAACAGTAGGTGATAATGTCATCTTGGCAAGCGATTCCGATATTCGGATGATGGCTTCTAGTTGGCTGTAAAAGGTGTCAATCTCGACAGCAGTGGATCTGGCGGTGGATACCAACCGAACTGTTATCGGAATTGAACTCCTTTCGTCGTTGTCGCGTTCCACTTGCTGAACCTGCTTCCGAAGACTGACGAAATGACTGCTAAGCATTTCTTGAGCATCTGGAGATAACCGCGGTGCGCATTTGCTGAAGACCACATAATCAGCTTGCCTTTCAGGAATAGGGGATACTTCAAACCTCTTGCAATACGAGATATACCGCTTCATTTTGTCGATATCAATTTCGCCAACAGCTTCTCCATTGTCGTCCGTACTCTGATTCGGCCGGTTCATGTGGATGTTCATGACGTGCTTGGCAATCATCTAGATATTTTGGTCGTGAGTAAAGATTTAGGATTAAGGAAATGGACACTGACACGATCTCGCTGTTCGTTGTGCTCGTCTTTGACAATGAAAATCATATCAAAACGTGACAAAATGGTTGTTTGAAAGTCGATGTTCTGGATACCATGTCAGCAAACTGGAAAACCCCCTGGTGAAGCAGAATACCTCGCCGGGGCTCCGACCCTCGTCATATCGTCCCCAAACTGGATTTGCTGCTGCAAGGACACTTGTCCGCGAGTTGAGCACCGTCGTGATACCAGCCTTCGCTATCGAAATGGTTTGCTGCTCCATAGCTTCATGAATGGCAACCCGATCTTCATCGCGCATTTTGTCAAATTCGTCTATACAGACAACCCCAGTATCCGCGAGAACCATGGCACCACCCTCGAGATAGAACTCGCGCTGTGATGCGGAAAGTTAAGACAAAGAGCAAGAATTTCTGCAAGGAAATTGACACTTACAGAGACTGCATCACGCTGGACGACAGCTGTTAATCCAGCTGCGCTAGAACCCTTTCCAGAGGTGTACACGGCGATCGGTGCAACCTGCGGGATGCAATGAGAGGGCGTACAACGCGGGATTGGTGCCTTTGCATACCTTCTCGACAAACTTGAGCAGTTGACTCTTTGCTGTCCCTGGATCTCCGAGCAAAAGAACATTGATATCGCCTCTCAACCGCATACCGTCTGGTAAGACCTTCTTAGAGCCACCGAAAAGCAGACATGTAATCGCCTTCTTGATGTCTGCGAAGGCAATGAGCACAGATTAAAAAGCCATTTCGGAGTTCGCAACGAACCAAGGCTGCCATAAATACTTGGACCAACACTCTTAGCAAAAGTTTCATAGAAACCATCGCTGCGTGCCATTTCGCCAAATTCTTCCTCCTCTTCAGGAGTGAATTGCACTCCAAAAGGATTTGAGGCGCCCCCGCCGGCAGTCGGCGAAGACATTTCGATGTGAATAAGGCGAAGATAAGGTTGTCGAAGTGCAGCAGGGCCGGCAGATTTCTGTGATAATTTGGTATGTGTATCCGAGGGAGATTGAGATGATACTCACGTTCTTTGCCGAATTGAAAGTAGAATAAATTCCAGTCGCGACTATTCGTGAGCCAGGTACGACCTTGCCCGTTAGGTATCGGTCTGCAGAGAGGAGCATGTGTCGTGGAAGTTCACCGACTGGAACCATATCTGGCGCCTCTTGCAGTTTCAGAGTCTGCTGGTCAACAAAGGCCGACTTTGAGTGAACGATGATGTAGGGGTCCAGTGGACAATCCTTCTTCTGGTTCTCCAGCTCTGGTGCATCACAGACTCTTGGTAGGCCACGATCCGAGCCATTGCCTATTCCGCCAAGGCCGCCAGCGGGGTAAATAACTTTTGTGGACCGGCAAGCACGACATTGAAGATGAAGCTTTGTTGCTCGCGAGGAAAGGACAGAGGCGGAAATAACAATTCCCGGTATACGGACCAGCTTGTTCATCGTATTTGCAGTCAAGTCGCGAACACGTTGCATCTGGAGGCCAGATTTGATGGTGATGTGGACTCTGGGGATTGATTGGAGAGCAGCCTCTGCGCGTTCATCAGAGCCACCAGCTAGCGGGAATAGGATAGTACGAGCCGCTTTAGTAGCCGCGTTCTCAAACTGTACGTGCTCTGAGCTTCGGGTGCAAGAACACGGGAATTGTAATCACCAGCGGCAAGATATCTGCCGGTCTATCCTGAATTGCATGCGCTAGCTCATCATTATACAGACCAACGTGACGAAGATCGACCTCCAGCTGGTATTGCTTAAGGAGCAAGTTTGCACGAAGCTGGTCTCTGTAAGCTTATTTAATAACTGTCAGACATCCAGTAAATAATAAAACTGACCTGTAGATGAATTCGCCTCCGACGCGATATTGCAACAAAAACTCTAACAAGAGTTTCTCGGTTTGGGATGGAGAGTCAGGAGACGCAACGGCTGGTGGGTCGTGGACCGAGACGGTGAACACATGATTTCCGTCGAAACCTGACATTGATGAGCGAAACAGAAAGGAGTATCTTTTGCAATGAATGAATGTGGAAGACGCGAGGCATATTATTCTTTAGGGCCGACAGATACGCGACATCCTTACGGATTTAGTCATTTGAATATTACTAAATATTAAATCCCGTTTAGCTCAGTTGGTAGAGCGCGTCACTAGTAATGACGAGGTCAGTCGTTCAAGTCGGCTAATGGGAAATCTTTTTTGTCTCCTATTATTTTGTCTGCCGGATCAGCCGATCCAACGCTGTGGCACTCGTCAATCTCACTGTTCATCATGACCTCGCAAATGGATACAGACGAGCAATCCATAGTCCTCCCCTCTAGTACAACATCCGGACTGACTTTGTCGCTGTTGGTCTACTTTCTGTCTGACACTGTTAATAACGTTGACGTCGTCGTCCAGGCATCCCCTGCCGATCCTCAATATTTCCGAACATTTGACGAGACTAAAGCTTCAGACTCGATCCAATTCACCTTTCGGCATGTTCATTTCTCTCTCGTGCTCATTACCTCTTACTGACAGCAGACTGATCAGTCCTCGGCGCATTGCTAGGCACCCAGAACGGTCGAGAAGTCGAGATTGTAAACACCTTCGAACTTGCCACAGAAGAGGGTCGCGATGACCTTGTAGATCATGACTTTTTAGGTGTCTAGACGAGATCAGTGTAAGTTTTTCATGTGATTCCCATCCTCGCTGGCCGAACTATTTCCTTGTCGAAGATAAACAGGTGTTCCCCTCTTTAGAGTTCATTGGATGGTACACAGTAGCTCCTCTACCGACTTCTCGTCACATCGCGTTACATGAGCAGGCATGCAGATTATTCCCGAGTTCTCATTTGCGAAGCTCATAGCCCACAGTTTACAGGGTACTGCTCGACGCCGCTCCTGCTTGTCCTACAACCCTCCACGATAACTTCTTCATCGTCTGATATCACTGGGCAAACCCTTCCTTTCAAGGCTTATGAGCCCACCATCGAAATAAGGGATAAGAAAACACGTTCCGTGTTCATAGAGGCACCATATAAGGTAGAGACAGGTGAGGCCGAGCGTATTGCTGTCGATTGGACAGCCAAGGGTGGCGGTGGAAGTACCAGCCGTGGGTGAATTGTTCCTTCTACTAGTGCACCTCATCATCCTCTCTGCAGTTGAATCTCATATTCAGTCTCAGCGGGCAGCAGTCAAAATGTTACATGAGCGAATATTGGTTCTTGTACAGTATGTGACAAACGTGATCGCAGGTACGTTATATGCGCCAACTTGAAATGCAGGATATATACATTTGTACGCAGGTCAAATTCCCACAGATCATACAACTCTTCGATCTTTGTCTGCCTTAATTGCCTCGTTACCGGCCAGTGAGAATAAGGGCTTCCGCGACGAATTCAACACTGTTTGTACCTTCTCTACTTCATACCCTCCACTGTCCATCTCTGTTCGATATTCGCGTTACCCCTTATTCACTCTAATATGCCATACAGGAGTATGAAGACGTCCAACTGACTGCGTTTCTCTCATCGCTTACGAAATCGACAAACATTTTGAATGACGTGAGTGATATCCAATTGTCAGTTTCCCGATTCAGTCTTGATCAACATGGGCGCTTGCTATGTAGCTTGTCGACAAGCACCTTGTACTCATAGGAGGATCGCGGGACGATCGCACTCTAACTGTAAGGAGGAGGGGGATGGGAAGACAAGGGACGATGCCAGGGGATTGGGCGATGCACCCTTAGTTACTTGAAGAATGTTGTGCCACGTATTGTGTATCCCTTCCTTACCTGGCGTCAAATACTCATGGGTCATGCTTGCAATTGGAAGGTGATTTGATGTTTACTGGAGTTCGTATATTTGCATTGGTATATAATTGTTGTCTTGGACTGACTCACGTTTAACTAGTAAGTCTGCCACGTACTATAAGCGAGACTCCACTCCTACACTCTCACCAGCTCTGTTTCCCAGTTAACCATGGCACACGTTGAAGTCTTATCACTAACCTCCCTCCTTGGTACGCTGTCGCCTAAAGGCGTTTACATTCTGGGTTATGGCTGGCTTTATGGGATGTGTAAGATCGTATCATCACACATCTCCACTGCTTGTACTGACACATGAGACTGATCTAGCTGTGTGGGTGTCATTCTTTGGAGGTATGAGACTATTTATATTCATCACGAATCCGCCTCTCTGACGGATGGATATGTACATGTTCAGGAATAATTGCTTTGCGGGCATTGCGTTCGTCTTTCCGATTTACGTGTACTTCGTGCTGTCAATAATCAACTTATTTCGTTGAAACAGCCAGGCACCAATTTGGTGCTCTTCAGCACAAGACCTTCCCGGTCTACTTTTCTTCCTCGCTTGGACTCTCCTCGGCTTTGTTGGGGCTTTGGGCATATGCTCATCCCGGACTTCTTGCCAACATCACCAGCCCTCTTCGAGCTGATGTTGCACAGGCATATGTGCTCGGAACTGTCATAGCGTTACAGAGCTGCAACCAGTTAGTCGTCGGGCCAATGACTAGCAGGCAGGTAGAATGTAGTTACACGAACGTCAGGTACTGAATTTGCATGTACCCGACAGCACTATGTTCCAGCGACACAAGTTGGAGAAAGAAGAAGGCAAAGATCACAATGAACCCGGGGTAAGCTCTTGCTATTCTTTCGATCATAACAACGCACTGATAAAGATTTGCAGGTTTCTGCCCAAATGAAGGCTTTGAATGCGAAGTTTGGAATGTTGCATGGCATCAGCTCGCTGGCCAACTTGGGTGCAGTCATTGCCCTGACCTTTCACGGCCTATGGATCGGAAGCTACGGGTTGTGAATCACTTTCAGGGTATCATAAATCTGTCCTAAGAGCATCCGTGTAGTTCTCAACTGTGTCAACAGCCAGAGTAGATATTACGCAAAAATACAGTTTTAAGCAGTACAGTCATGCACCTACAGACTCCATGGATGGCATGTATCCTTCTCTCAAACTTCTCTCCAGTCTCCTGATCTCCTCGATGGAGGTTGCCTTTGCGATGGCCAGTTTGACTTTCTCGGCATCTTCTTTTGACATCAACCGACCTGCCTTCCCTGACAGCGCCGCTGGCTTGGGCTCGTCAAGAGTGACGGCTGCTTTTGATCCCTGCTTCGATACGGTGGTGGATATCGTTGCTGCAAGGGCAGTAGGTAAACCTTCTGCCGTAAAGAACAAAGACTTCCCCGCCTCCCGCTCCTGAAAGGTGCGAGTGTGCTGAGCTATCGACCCGCGCTGAGTTTTGAACGTCGTGGGCGCACCTTATCGCGAATCCTTTGAAAATCCAGAACTCTCAGCGATGGTATTCTCCACGCAAGCCACTCGCGATACCATTTCTTTTCCCTCACGGGGTTACCCAACAGGGCAAGGTACTTCAATCCCTTAATCTCCTTGAGAGGCTCGAGATCGCCAAGCTCAACGATACTGTTACCAGTAAGGACAAGAGTTGTTAGATTAGGAACTGAAAGGTGGATTGAGGGTGAAATCGAAGCAACTCGGTTGTTGGCAAGAAGGAGTGTTCTCAGTCGCTTAAGCAAGGGCAGATTACCCAGCACGGTGACCGAATTATCTGTGAAATCTATAGCATCGTGCTGGTCCTATTCCAAATGCAAGTTGTAATATCCGCTGGCACGATATACATGAGGCCAATACACGTACCTTGGTCACACCAAGGTTTTCAATAGTAGGGATTTTGTAACCTTTGGAACGATATGAACATGGTTCGAGATGCAACTGATTTTTACGAGCTCACCTCGTAGATCGAGCTGCCGCTCTTTTACGGGGTTAAGTGCAGACGGGGCCTGCGCGAGCAGCTCGGGGGTGAGCTTGACCATGTCGGCTCTAGTCAAGCGTTGAGGTGCACGCTACGTTTCAGACTCAGACAACGAAGAACAAACGAGGAAACAGCACAACACTTACGACGCGGCGCGGTCAACGCATTCCTTCCTGACCACCATGAAGCCCATATACCAGAGACTCAATCTGTGCGACCCGCTGCTCACTAAATCTTACTTTTCTACTGACTTTTTTGCAGATTTATTGACGGCCAGGATGCCTACACATTTGTCCCCGTGCAACCCATTGGAGCGCAGTCTCTCACCATACACAGGGCTACCGGCGATATAGTACTCAATGGTAAGCTGCCTTGAATATGTGGTATTACAGCTATATGTGACTCTACTCAGCACCGAACACACCTGTCCATCCTACTGCCTCGAGATACGGCAAGACAATTTACGGGATCTTAGGAATGATTTCACTAGCTCTTTGTGCGTGCTACGACTTCCAGAGCCCGCTTGCATATACTGATCACATATTGCAGCGGAGTATGTGATTGTAATGACAGGCCGCGAACACCGTGCGCGCTTCATGGGCCACGACATATACCGCGCGGCTGATTTTGACATTCTGCCTCTAAATCCCAATGTCTCTGTCCAGAATCCCCCCAACCCAGTAGAGGGACACTTGTTGGCATTGGTTCGGTCGCATCTCCTGGGTGGACACTTCTTATTCAGCTACGGCTGGGACTTGACGAGGAGACTCCAAGCACAGTGGCAAGACCGGGACAACGAAGAGAAAAAAGCCTTGTGGGAGGTGGTGAGTACTGAGGTATGCATTTGAAGCCGCGAAAATGACCCAGTATTAGGCCGACGACAGGTTTTTCTGGAACAAGTTGGTCGCTCATATAGTCGTGCAGAATGTGCATGTTGACATTCGCGACTTCTCACAGATTCTTACAGTCTAGGCTCACAGACACAGACATCGCACAAGATGTGAGTCGTTTTCCTCGAGTTTTAGTACGCATCTCATGATTTATACAGCTCAGTCCTTACATTCTCCCAATTATCTATGGCAGTAAGTCTGCGCCTCAATCTTTCTGCTAATTGTTTGACGGCTTTTAGCGTTCGACATGCGTACAGTATATATCCATGGACACCGCATTCAGCTTTGCCTCATCAGCCGACGATCGCGCTATCGTGCAGGCACGAGATACTTCCGTCGTGGCATCGATCATGAAGGCCATGTTGCCAACTTTAACGAGACCGAACAAATTCTCCTGGTTGTTGAGAAAGCCGCGGGGCGCTTATCGTTTTCTGAGAACTTAACGCACAAACTGAGCTTCACTCAAATTAGAGGCAGCGTGCCTGTCTTCTGGGCTGAGGTCAACACACTTAGATATAAGCCTGATTTGCAGGTTATGGACCTTCAGGAGACGGTAATTTTACTTCTTATTTTTGATGGGTGTCATTGTTTTGACCGCTTATAGGTTGACATGATTAAGCTTCACCTTCGAGATCAAGTTTCCCAGTATGGCAGTCAGGGTCTCATCAACCTGGTGAATCAAAAAGGTCGCGAGCAACCAGTAAAGGAGGCCTACGAACGCGCTGTTTCCAAAGTACGTTGCCGTTACATTACTTCCGCATCTCATTGATGTGTTTTAGGTTGAATTCCCGGACGTGAAGTATCAATACTTCGACTTCCACAATGAGTGCAAACACATGCAATGGGATCGTATTAGTGTTCTTATCGAGAAGATGCAAGAGGACCTCATTCAGCAAGGGTTCGGACGAGCAATCCTCAAAAGTTTCTTTACTAATGTACATGCAGATACTTCCACCTCGACACGGCACAGGATAAGGCCGTACAAATACAGACAGGCGTGATGAGGACAAATTGTATGGACAATCTGGATCGGACGAACGTAGTCCAAGCAGCGCTAGCGAAATGGACGCTTAATCAGCAGTTGAAAGCCATTGGGGTAGTGTCCTGACAATGAGGAACTGGATGACTTTGAAGCAGTTGACCAGAGGTTTCCGTGAGAGTAAGGTTGTCGCTACAGTCTCATCATTGCATACTCATTACGCTATTCAGTGTGGGCCGATCATGCGGACTTAATCTCGAAGGCATATGCAGGGTCTGGGGCGCTTAAGACAGATTTCACTCGTACAAGTAGGCGAACGAAAATAGGTGCTCTTCAAGATGGGTACAAGAGTGTCATGCGATACATTAAGAACAATTATTTCGACGGCGCTAGACAAGTTCGTGTTTCCCAGAGTTTGACTTTACTGCCCTGACAGATTTACAGGACGGATTTGACCTTGTTACTGGAGCTTGGACTCCTCAGAAGAATCCAGTCACCGCCTCATCCTTGATTGCTGATACGCGACCATTAACCATCCGATCGGTACGTTTGTCCGCACTCGGAACAGCTCATTGTTGAATTTGCTCCTTCAGGTCCCTTACATCTTGCTCGTTCGCACTATTCATGATCTGCGCTGGACTTACTCTGCCAAGGACCTCAGGTTAGCTGCAATCTACAGCATTTAGCTGAATTCGCTGACTGGTAGCCGCAGACTACTCGCTATTGTATTACTTCATGTTGTGGTTCGTTATTGCTTCATTGGCTGTCATATTCATGATGGTGCATGGCATCGAGTATGTCTCGTGGCCGCGGCTTATTCCTCCCACGGATATCATCCACTACAAAGGACCAGGATTCCGCTCAGCTCACAACGGGAAGGGTTTCACTGGCCCTCTAGCTCAGAAGTTGGATCTCTCTGGTCAATTAAATGGCTTTAGTACCAGGCTACTCTTAAACGGGCGTAAGAGGGCTTTAACAGTCAGTGGGATGGAAGAGGGGACGAAGAAGAGAGTGGATTGAGACCCGTTACTGAGCTATGTTATGAAGCACCTATCAATTATGTTATCCAGAGTTTATTTATTTATCCTTCTGCAGTCATGTCGACCTCTTTCGAGTTCGTTGGATTGCTCCGCAAGGTAATTAGATCGATCATGCCTTACATAAGCCTGGAAAATTTCCCATTTTGGCGCCGCAAATAGAATCCAAACTCCGCTGTGGCGCGTCACGCTAGCATATGTCAGGCTAGAGCATAAATTCTCCTGTGTCCTTTCCTCACCATGTCTGGCAAAAAACGCGCTTCCCCCGGCGCAGACGTCGAGAAAAATCCTCTGGCAAATGTCGAACTCAACGATGAAGATGCTCAAAAACTCCAGAACATTCAAAAAGATATCCAACGCGTCGAACTCGTCATAGGTGAGCCTCCCAGTGAAATGCCCTAGAGAAAGCAATAACACAAATTCAAGAGCGCCAGGCTATGGAAAAACTGAACCCGGTCTACGAAAAACGCCGCGCTGTTGCTAAATCAATAGAGAAATTTTGGCCTGTGGCTCTTATGAACAACACCATGATCTCTTTTCATGCACAACACACTATTGATCAACTTGCGCTGAGCTACCTTGAAGATTTATGGATCGTTCGCGATCCTAAGGAGCCACGATGCTACACTATTGAATTCGTGCGTCATTGTTGATATGCGCCACGATAATCAACACCCTAAATTGTCATGACAGTATTTCAAGGCAAACCCATACTTCACTGACTCCGTCTTGAAAAAGGAATACAAATACGTACCTCCACCTGCCGCTTCAGACGACAACCCCGATGAGGATGGTATCACCGACTCCATGCTCGAGTTCTCCTGGGCCCGTGATGTCCAGCCTTCCGTAAGTTGTGTGCGTCCTCACGGAATCATCTACTAACCTTGTGGTAGGCAACTCCTATTCATTGGAAGGATCCTGAGAATGCTCTGACTAAACTCCACCCCCGCGTGGCTGAGGTGGATGGGGATGACGATATGCCTGCAGGAAGCTGGCAGCTTCTTCAACTTCTTTGAGATTGCAGATGACCCCTTTGAGGTGAATAGTGTCGGTCAGTTGCCATAGGTGCCTAATTTGACATATTTTCCAGATTGGCACGCAAATTGCCAATGAGATCTTCTCCTGAGGCCACAGATTATTTTATGGGTAATGTTGCTGGTGACGAACTTGATTCTGAGGAGGAGGACAGCGAAGATGATGACGATGATGCTGAAGAAATTGATTTGGAGAAACCAAGGGCGAAAAAACAAAAGAAGGAATAGATGCTATCACCACCATCTATTCGATACACGTATTTATGTCTTGTCAGCTGCCCAGCTTGACTGTCTTATTGGCTTATCACACTCGTGATTGTTTACAGTAGCACCCATTCTCGTGTGGTTTTCTTGAGTAATCTCTGGTGAGCAGCACGTGTACATATATCTGAATAGTGAGTCTCGGCATTACCAAGCTGCACTGTTCGGTCTGACCAAAGGGAAGTTTGAAAAACTGTGCTTCGTTTGCAAAGCGCTGGCACCACATGGCGTACCCGCATGCGCGTTCAAGTTTTTACCAAGTGAGGTTGACACGTGATGGCGACGTGAAAATACATGCCGCGGAAAACTAGAGAAATGACCTTTTTTGCTTCCTCCACACACCGTAGGAGTCGCCGACATCTGGTGTAGATCAAGTGTAGATGCTGGGAAAATATGGCGTCCTTACAAGGTAATAACATAAGTTGAAGTTCTGAAAGTGCAATAATCACATCTCGGTACATTACAAAAATGGTATAAACATGTGCCTACAAGCTCGATCAATCGGCTTGTCACAGCGTTCTGCGAACTGTAAGCGGTAGTGAGCTCGAGCCTTCTCCCTTAACTCGGGGACGAATGACAAAACTCTGGAAAGCCTCAATTTCATGTGGACAGGAGAAGGCAAAGTGTCGGAGCAGAGTCACTGTCAGAGCCTTCGACACGTCATGATCAGATAGGGTATTCAAGGGCGAACATCATGAACGCCTACCTTTATTTCGGCGGCCGCGAAGTTTCGCCCGAGGCAGCCCCGGGGGCTGTCAGGGGTCAGCAAAAGAGATGAGTACCAAAGGAGTAGTACGCCTACCCGACACTAAAAGCCAACAACTCGCGGCTGGTCCTGGTACCGCGGTGGAGCCAGCGTTCTGGTCGGAAGTCATCCGCGTCGAATCCCCATGTTAACTTGTCCTTTTGAATCACATTAACAGGCAGTGATATGATTGTGCCTTTCGGAATGACGAGGTGAAGATCACCAGACCCTGCTACAGGTTCCGAAAGAGGAATACTGATGGTCTCAGCAGCCTACGCGAACGAACTTTGGTAAATATTTCGGTTGCTTGCATTTAACCTTACCTCATGATGGTTTTCGAGAACAGGTGGATGAAGTCGGAGCGTCTCTAGGAAAAATGCGTCGAGAAGAGGGTAAGCATTGTTGAGTTCGTCAAATGTAGGGTCTCCAGCAGTTGAAACTTCTTCACGGATTGCTTGCTGCCATTCCAGATTCGTGGCAAGCTCAAAGAACAGCCACTAGAAGACGTTGTCAATCAGATTTTGAGACTAGTTAAGTGAACCTACGGCAATTGTGGCGGAAACTGGTTCATAACCAGCTGAAATGATGGTCCGCATCTGCGCTGCAACTTGCTCTTCATCCATACGTACAACGGCAGTGGCTTTATCAGCTCGTACTGTGTAAATCATTGTGTCAGCAAAGTAATGATCCACGAATAATTCAGAATCATACGCATCAATGACATCAGCGTCTTACTGTTCGGATCACTGACAGCTTCCGCATCCTTCAAGATATCTGTAGCCAGATCCCCAAGCTCTTTTCGGGTTTTTCTGATCATCTGTCCTTTCTTGCCAAGATGCAAGATAGATGGTAGTAACCAAAAAAGAGCTTTCATGTAAAATGAGGTAAGCGATTTTTCGTGATTCGTCAAGCCGTCTAGGGTCTCCGCAAGAGCGTGTGGCTGGCCTCGAAGGCAGTCAAAGTCGTACGACAATGTTGCTCGTCCAACTGTATCCAAGCTGTATAGAATTGAAATAAGGGCACACGACACACTTGCGGGTAATACATACGCGAAGCGCCCGGCCCAGTTGGTCATCTCAATCACAATTTCGTCGCTATGTTGGGCATCAAAAAGCCTGTGCCACTGAGTCACCATCTGGAAGAAATTAGAGAAAGCATCCAACGCGATATATGCAACTTACTTTAGCGGCGTTTTCGTAGAACACCGGAGTCAAGTTCCGCGCAGACTGCGGACTGCAGCTACGTCAAGGTAGAGTTACCACCAAGATAACGTGCGCTAATTACCTTAATGCTGGGCCAACGCTACGCCGTTGCTTCTCATGAGCTTCTTTGCCTTGCCACACACATCAGTGAGTGGGGTTAAGATCTGCATTGAATGATTACCTTCCACCCAGAGAATACCCTCTCCGAGCAGCATACGAAACCAGGCACGCACACCTTTGGGCTTGGGAAACTGGTATGCGCCCTCTCCCAGAATAAACGATATCGCGTGCGGATCCGTAACAGAAAGGAGCTGATGCTGATGAGTGATGAGAGCAGTGAGCGACGCAATAAAGTTCGAACAGGATGCCCTTACACCAAACGCTCCTGTAAATTTCACAACATTGCCGTATGTGCGGTGCCAGTCCAGATATAAGGCACCAGGTGTGTTATAATACAATACCTTTTCTTCACCCCACACCCAGGAGGAAGTCTTCGGGCCAGGGACGAGGCGCAGGGCGAACAGAGACGAGAGTCGCTGTTGAAAGAAACGTAATATGTATACGAAGGCGAAAGCAATGGAGAAATGGTAGATGTACAACATGGAAAGCGCAACTGTTTGGAAGAGCCTTGGAGCGTGATATGTCGTCTGTATCGCAGTGGCACAATTGAGGATGCAATCAGGAGCACCTTTTTATGCATCCTGGTACATCCAATTCGCGTAATGTTTTGGGCAAACATTATAGATCGATCGGATTATGATGTTCGCCGTGGCGTTATGATTGCGTCAATGCTTTCAACGATGTAAGGAAATCTGACCAGTCATACTTGGCAAGTCTTTGCTCCTGATTGACGCTTTGCCTGATTCGATGACTTGGATCTAAGTCCTGGACATTACATGAGCTGACAGAGAACTCGAAGAAGGCAACGATGCATTCAATTGAGACATGATTGAAAAGGCACCATGATGAGCTTAGTCACTGGCCCGCTGTAGTACCCATCCGCGAGTCTGCTGAATCGCACTTGATCCTGATACGGAATGATGGGTAGCAGAATGATGGACGCGAAGAAGACAGGGCAAATTTGCATTTGGCATCTGTATTGAGTGTATCTGCAAACAGAACAACTGCCCCGCGTGTGTCCAATCATGATGTTAGCAACGGACTGGACATGAAAGCCATGCCACATCTTTAATCCGATTAGCATACGATGATTAGTTTCCGAGGGAAAATTTATGTTGCATCGAGTATATGCCTTGCTAAGTTGCTTGACCGACTTGGAGGGTACAAAGCAGTCGTGAGATCTGATAATTATAAGTCAGTTGTACTGGAGAGAATGGGACAGACTGACCGCCTTACGGCAGTGATTCTGGAGCACTTTCCAGCTGAGGATAGTTGGAGCCGAGACAGAAATCGAAGCGAACTAGAACGTATTATCTACATCAGTATTAATGATCATCAATTGTTCGTTAGTAGTAGTAAGGATGCCCTACATAGGCATCTTCCTATCGATCCTAGCAGCATAACAAAGGATGCCCTTTATTACGAGTCCGACACACAATGCTGTTTTACGACTGATGGGTCGATCCAGCGGTGAAAACCTAAGCGAGAGGGTGAACTTCGCGCGTGTAGATCAGTCATGGAAGATCAGAAAACAAAAAGACACGTGAAAGACACCGGGCCGTGTAGGTGGGGAGCGCGGTGTGACGAGCTTGCTGGCAGGAATGATTGTGTTCTGTCGTTGAGTCGCTGTGGCGAGAACCAAAAAGACATGAGTTCCACCGAAAATGTCCAACTTGAAAGCTGCGGTCGATTAGGAGAACATAAACATGATTTCTACTTGACTACGAGCTTGAATGCGGCATGCGTTTGACGGACGGTGATATCCCTGCCAGCGATGCAAAGTTAAGGAATTGAGGAAACATACCAAATTTGGAAATTGAAATATTGACCCGGCGTCGTGGCCTAACGCGATCGTGTCACTTCCTTACAACCTGTTACGAGCAGATCAGCTTTCTATCACCCACGTCGAGTAAATACGGTCGAGCAAGGGTCAACTTTATTTCGCATGTCTGTCTTCCGGAATAAATCTCCTTCAGAAGATCCTCCTAGCTTGCGCCACAGGTCCAGCAACGTTAACGTCGTCGTGGAGGACTACACCGATCAAATTGACATGGCCCCGCTACCGTTTTTTCACAAAAACACTATCTCTTCCTCCTTGGACAGCATTCGAATACTGCCTCGCGTACCTATGGGAACATCTTCAGGCATTGAAGATGTCGAGCTAAGTTTGTTGTCCGAAGAGGAACGGACGAGTACTGGGCGAAACCTCCAAGATGGTGACGCGCATTCTTCTGCAGATGGAGCGAAAACGACTGCTATGTCTTCTAGAGACAAAAAGGCAATGACCCTTTTGATCATTCTTTGTCGGTCACTTTCATATCTCCGAGCTTTCAATCCAGTTCACATGACCTTATAATCCCTATTAGATTTAATCCAAGGAGTTCCTGTAAGTTATTTATCTACCTCGGATGTCGCGCCGGGAGGGATGCTCACTATTCCATGAACAGCTTGGCCTTGCCCTTGGTATGATACACTTCTTTTTTCTGCTCAATCTCTGACATTTCTTAGGTTCTGTCCCGTTCATTCTCCGAGAACATCTATCATATTCACAACTTGGCGTATTCGCATTATCCAACTACCCATATTCGCTCAAGCTATTATGGTCTCCTATCGTTGACTCAACATTTCATCCTTCCATTGGTCGTCGAAAATCATGGATAATTCCCATGCAACTCATAATCGGCTCCTTAATGCTCTACATAGCATCGAACGTCGGGAAATTAATGGAAAATGTACGTGGTAATTGCTAGACTTTCAGTCGTCCACCCTGACGTTGAGTCAGCCTGCAGATAATATTCATGAACTCACTTTTGTATTCACGTCGCTGGTATTCTTTTCTGCAACGCAAGGTACGTGCATTCATCGTGCCCCTTGTTTTATACTGAAATGCCTTGCAGATATCGCTGTCGATGGTCCCTTATTTTATGTGTTTCCAGACACGTCAATACTAATATCATTCCAGGATGGGCTTTGACGCTTCTCTCTCAGGAAAATCTTTCCTACGCGTCTACATGCCAGACAATTGGGTTGAACACAGGCTTCTTCGCCTCTTTCACTGTCTTCCTAGCGCTAAACAGCGAAGCATTCGCGTAAGTAGTTTGTGTTCAACGCCCCGTATCATTCGGTGACAAATTGCAGCGAGAAATGGGGTATTCCACGCCTCGAGTTAAGCACATATCTCCGTTTTTGCAGCCTCCTGTGCTTCGGAGTAACTTTTTGGCTAACCTTCTTTGAAACAGAGGTGACTATCAAAGAAACTTCTTGCAATGAAACTGATGACAAAATGATGCGTTTTTTAAGGGTAATGATTCATTAGACGAGTCAGAAATGACTGTTACATCCGTTTACAAAACCATATGGAACATCTGCAAGCTAAAGCGTAAATAATTTCATTTTCGGATCATTTAGTAACTGATGATTTCTTTCAGACGTTCAGGCGCTCATTATCATGCACCTCTTCGCAAAAGTCGGGTTTCAAGCTAATGAGGCAGTCACTAGTTTGAAAATGATTGAGAAGGGTTTGGGTCGCGAAGACCTTGCTATTGTTGTCCTCATAGATTTTCCTTTTCAAATCTTGGGAGGCTGGTTTGCGGCGAAGTGGTCTAGCGGCGACAGGCCACTCCGTCCATGGATATGGGCATTTTGGCCCCGACTGGCATTTGCCTTTTTCTCGACGCTCATCGTCTACTGGTTCCCAACACCCCCTCTTTCATACGGGTTTTTCGTCTACCTCATCATCCACACAGTGCTACAGGGACTTGCATCGTATGTCCAATTAATGAAATGCTGAGCAAGGCTGATTTATTTCGTAGGACGATTCAGTTCGTTGGGATTTCAGCATTCCACACCAGAATTTCTGATCCTCTCATTGGAGGGACCTACATGACGGTATGAGATTTGCACGGTTCCTTACTTGTCGACTAATAGCCTCATTCCCATTTAGCTACTCAATACGTTTACTAATCTAGGAGGGACGTGGCCGAAGTATTTTGTATTGAAAGGTAAGGGTTTGTGTCAGCCATATTCTCCGAGCGCTACTAATGCTCCGACAAAGGCGTCGATTACTTTAGCGAGGCGTACTGCGAAGTGAAGGAAGCGCACAGTGAGCTGCTTGTTAAAAGTATGCGTGAATATTTTCTGCTCTGGGTGCTGCTTTGATGCTTACTCGAAACCAGCTGCCGAATGCGTCTCTGACCACGGTAAGGAAGCCTGCTCGGATATCGGTGGGAAATGCATCACAGAGCGTGATGGATACTATTATGTTTCGGTGCTATGCATGTCGTTTGGCGTGCTGTTCCTAGTGTTTTATATCATTCCCACTGCACGCAAACTCCAAGGTAGGTAAAACGTTTATGTCACTTCGGAATTAACTCAGGCGTCTGTCTAGCCCTTCCCATGTACAGATGGCGAGTTAGTCCAGAGTGAGCAGTGCACGGGTGCAAAATCAGGCTGGGGTTTGGACTATCGTTTGTTACTTATTCTAATATTACTGGGTGGTAGATAGCTCTTGTTCATTTCGCAAGTTGCTCAATGTACCTTTGATGTAACCAGTACTCATTCTTTGAGGTGGCTCCCGCCTGCCCTAAATTCAGACCGCGTCCATATCCTGTTTTCCACGGAAACGTGCAAACCATACCGCTGAGATTTTTCGCTAGTCACTTCTCGCACTAAGCAATAGCTATTAGAATCAATCGTTCTGCACTAATCACCACAAAATCGCAAAATGGCAACTACAACCATGCATTTTGGCCCCGAGTGGATGCGCGCGAAGCCACAAACTCCTGCCGCTCGCCCCCAAGCACCTCCCTCTCCACCTCCTCCGGCAATATCTAATACACAGCAAACGAACGCGTCAACTTATTCTGCACTCGTTACACCTGCCGCCGCACCAGAGCCTGAGAAACGTGATGAATGCCGTCCTTTCAGATATTCAAAGGAAGCAATGCTCAGAATCTACAAAGAGGGTGGCGGGAGGGGCGGTCTGGGATTAGAGGTGGAAAGGTGGGAGGGCATTGTACATGAAGTCAGCAGTGAACCCACAGGATTGCGCGAAATGAGCGATGCGGAAAAGAAGGTCAGGCAAATTGGACTTCTAGTTTATGTCTTCGGCCTCATTGGCTCACATGAGGCATATAGCTGTTTGCTGGGCCACTTAATTCCGAACTTCGACGGCGCCAGTCTACCGACCTTATAAGCACGCTGTCATCTCCATCTGATAGACCCAGGTTGAACCATTCCAATACCGGAGGAGCGAGTCCTATGAGAGGGTTTGGTCTTATGGGAAGGAGGAGAGACAGCACAGGTGAACACTGGAATATTTCTGACCCTTGTTGTGACACTGATCCAGGTTTTGCTAAGATCAACCACCACTTGCATTACCTCGTAAATTGTCTGTGTCTAATGCACAAGGTAATTCTCCACGCGACGGAGCACTGCCTTCCCCTCGTACCCGAATAGGCGGCTTTGCTTCAGGATTCGACGGTGTTCTTAACGGTGGAGATTCTTGGATGGCTAGACGGCGAACATCGGAGAGCGTACTGAAAGTTGGAGGAGTATCTACGGGGACCCGTCCGGAGAGCAGAGAAGAGGATGCGAAAGGACATAATATCAAAGAAGTGGAGGAAGAACACCCAGTACAAAACACCGCGCTCCAGCCTAGTCCTTCCGGCGCTTCTCAATTATCTCCAATCCCTGATTCCCAGCCCCCTGATATCACAAGCAGCAGTCCGAGCCAGCAACCTGCGCTAAGTGCAGATTCTGCGGCACATCGTATGACTGGAATGAGTCTCGGTGAAAATGGGCAGACCAGCGCGAACTTTCATCTCAACCCGGTGACCGACAGTCTGACGACGGGTCCACCACCGGGTCTTGATCCGGCTAGCATTGAGTGGTCATACCTGGATCCTCAAGGTCAAGTGCAAGGTGAGTTCTTCAGATTGCAGTCACGAGTTCCGGAGGTGATATTCCTTCCCAGGTCCTTTCAAAGCTGATATAATGCAGAAATGGTTTGATGAGGGCTATTTCACTCCCGACCTCCTGATGAAGCGCACTCATATTGATCGAGAATGGACGGCGGTTGGGATTCTTGACCACCAGTCCGCTGGCGGGAAAATATTTCTTTCACAATTCCCAACGTCCACCGGACCTCCTGGTCTCAGTATCCGTACCGATTCCTCGCATAATTACTCCCCCGCTCATGAGCATAATACATTCAGTGGATACCAGCCTGTGCCAACTCGGACTCTCCGTACTGCAACATTGGACCCATACCTTAATAGCGCCTCTCCTTTAGATTCTCCCTCCTCGTCCTTTGGTGGTGGGAGGTTTGGCAACGGCTCCCCCGATACTTCTGCATTGGCGGGGAGAGTCGGAAACCTTTACACTGGCGACTCGGGACTTGGCTCTCATGGTTTTACTGTAAATCCAGGTCCGTTCGGTCCAGTTGGGGACCCCCGCTCGTCGTTCAACACTTTAGCACCTGGCAGAACTTCGTCACTGGACACATTCAGCACCTATAAGAATAACAATAACTCCCAATGGCCACCGTCCATGACCCAGAATGTGCAACATTTTGGTGGCAGTGAGCATTCCCTTGCGACTGGTTTCAACAATGGCATTGGCTCGGGCGTCATGCCGGTACCTGTGCCAATTGCGCAGAGCCACTCTTTCACACAAGAGCCCTCGTATAGTGATGGCACGTACAACGCCATGGGCAGTCTCGGCGCCTCTCACGACTCACCCATCGCACGGCACCCCGTCGAGACGAACGGGCTAGGCTTCAACAACCTAGGGATGAACGGTTCACCTTACGTGCAGCACTTCCCCCAGTCCCCTGTCGTGCCACAACAGCGCTCGTCTACATCGCCGTTCGGTGAAGTTCTCGCAAAGGTCGCTGAAGCCCCTGCCGTGCGGACACCAGTGTCTGCGGCGCAGCCTGAGAATGTGTCATCACCCTGGGGCGCACCCGAGTCTGCTCCTGTACGCCGCCCTGTGGCTGAGATCCCTACCCCGCCCCCTGTTTCCCAGCCACCTCCAGCTGCCTGGAGTCAACCCCCGCAACCCGCCCGTAATGCCCCCAAGTCAAAAGACCCTTCACCATGGCTGACAGCCTCCCTAGGCGTCGTTGATGATGGATGGCGCGAGGTTCCTGGCCCAAACAGTCTCACCGTGAGCAACCTCGGGCAGCATAATAAGATGTATGAGGATGTGGATGAGGAGTCTAACGTTGCTGTGTCACCCATTGGGGGAACGGAGGAGGAAGCTGCACCTGTACCCGCGTCAGAGATACCCCAGCCAGCGCCCAAGGCCCCAACCCCCGCTCCACACATTGAGCCCCTGACATTTACAGCGCCCAAGGCCAAAGTCAAATCCACTGTTCGTGAGGCTCAGACACCCGCCCCGGCTTCTACACCGAAATATACACCTCCCGCACCCGCACCCGCACCCGCACCCGCACCCGCACCCGCACCCGCACCCGCACCCGCACCCGCACCCGCACCCGCACCCGCCCTAGCACTCGCACCCGCCCTAAAGAGCCCATCTCCTGTTCCAAAGCCTGCGTGGGCGACTGAAGACGATGCGAAAAAGGGCAAGGCATCGCTCGGTCTGCGCGAGATCCAAGAAGCAGAGACAAAGAAGGCAGAGGCACGTAAGGTTGCAGAACGCGAGCGACTTGCACGCGCCAATGTGCCTACCCCACCTGCTGTCGTCGAAGATGCGCAGCCGTTCATCGCATCGTGGGGACTTCCAACCTCTCAAACGGGTGCACGAGCTGCTGTGACGCCAAGAGGTGGAGAGGCTGCAGCAACACCTACAGTGAGTGCTCCGGTGTGGACGTCAACGAGTACGGTACCTGCCAAGAAGACGATGAAGGAGATCCAGGAGGAAGAGGAGCGCCGGAAGAAGATGGGACTGAAAGATTCGATGGCGGCGACGGCTGCAAGGCGCGGATATGCAGAGACTACTTTCAAGGTGTGTGCAAAAATCTCCACAATGCGAGATTGCTTGTTGATTCCCTTTGGAACGCTGTGTAGGTGGTTCCTAGTGCACAGGGCCCTAGTGGCGGGGCATGGACGACGGTTGGCGCAAATGGCAAGACAAACGCACCTGTACCTGCACCTGTACCCGCACCTGCATCTGCACCTGCACCTGCACCGGCGCCCGTTCGTCCAGCTGCCACTCCATCCGTATCTACACAAGCGGCGCCTACGCCTCGCCCCAATGGTATAACAGTCCGCTCGACTTCGCAGGCTTTTACAAAGGCTGCTGCTGGCGCACCATCACACGTGGACGACACGCCCGTTACGTCTACCCACGATTTCCTCAAGTGGCTGAGCGATACGCTGAAAGGGCTCAATAATTCCGTGAACCGTGAGCTATTCTTCTAGATCGCTTTATTAACTGTGCCTGATATACGATAATATTTCGGGTGAGCAGTGGAAGACATAACGCAGATGCTCCTCTCTTTTCCCCTTGACCCAGATCCTTCTACATCAGAGATCATTTCCGACCTGATCTATGCGAATAGCACTACGCTCGATGGGCGGAGGTTCGCAGCAGAGTTCGTTAAGCGCCGCCGGGCTAGTGGGACAGCCGGACCAGGACCAAATGGGAATGGAAAAGTGTCGATCGCAGACGTAGTGAAGGCGGCGCCACGAGCTGCCCAACCGGAATGGGGCTTCAAGGTAGTGAATAAGAAGAAGAAGGGGAGGGCGTGAGTGGGAGTAGGAGTGGGGGCATATTTTTAGTGTTGTACATGCATACTCATAAGGATGCTGAGACACTCATTCGCTTGTTTTTTATCATCTCATGAATTAATTTTCTCTGTTCGAGTCCTAACATTGTGATCATTAATGCTGTTTTGGTTGTACTTCAAGTGACCAATCGCGTCATCAGAATCAGTCAAGGTCATCCAACAATGTTGTACAACAAATATGCATTTGGTAAGTACTCATTATACATACTGGAGTCCAGTAATGATGAACGAACATAAGTAAGGACTTAAGTGAAATTTAAAGAAAACATAGTCAAAAATAATAGACAGCCCACGACCCTTCATGCACATGCTCAGAGAAGGAGGAACGTATCCTCTTCCGCTTCAGACGAGGATTCCACACTCGAATAAGATTCTGAATCGGACTCTGTCACATTCACCTCCGAACCCGTCTGCTCATGATCAGATCCCAAGGAAGAAGACGCCGCCGCCGCCGGTGCAAACGTTGCCGGCTCATCTGCAGTAGCAGTATCTGCCACCTCCGCGGGGATATCAGCGTCCGCATGGGTTAAAGTCTCAAAATCGGGAATGGAGACGGGAGGAGAGACACCGAGGGTGATCTGGGAATGAGAATCGGAGGTATCGAGGGGAGGTGGCGTTTGGTGCCTTGCAGATGGGGATGACGCTTGCACAAAGTCTGCATGGGTGGTGCTCTCGATGGTTTCAGTGTCCTCACTCGCCGTGTCCTCAGAGACAGAGACGGTGCTAACTCCATCTACAAGCGGCCCCTCGGACTCTTCTTCCTGCGGGACCGAAACCTCCTCAGCTGTCAACGTCTGGGAACTTTCAGAGGATGATGTGGGAAGAGAAGCAGAAGAAGCAAGGCTCGGCTCCGCCACAGATGCGGTTGCAATCTCGATGGAAGCAGCCGGTGCTTCGATCCTAGTGTCTGTGATTGCTTCGATAGGAGAAGAGGCGGCGGGTGCGAGTACTTCGACTGGAACAAACACGTTCGTACGAACTTCGTCTATAACGGGAACCTGGATGGGCGCGAGATCCGCAGCGGTAAGATTCTCCGGCTCCGAGGACTGCTCGACAGGCACGGCAACAGTTGCAGCGTCTGCCCTCCTGGCACGAGCACGACCCCTTCGCTCTTCTACACCTCTCTCAAGCTCTTCCAGCGCTTCCCCTACGCGTGCCACAACTGCGCGCCTTGCATCTCTCACTACGTGTGACCCAAAGCTTGGGACGTTGTCCAAGTCACCGAGGAGCAACGATAGCGCATGCTCCTGTGCGCGGAGAGGCGCGTTGGTCGCGGTGTATGTCAATGCAAATACGTCATCAGTGTCGAGAGCTGAGTAAGCTGGGGACGGCGAGCGCGAAGGGGAGAAATCGAGTTCGGCAGGAAACTGGAAGCCAGCAACGAGTGCCTCCAGACGGGATACGATGGAAGTGATCTGGGAGAGGGAAGATGCGACTCGAGCTGGACTTGCATAGGGCTCTTCTTCGGCGTCAGAGTCAACCACCTCTTTGGCTTTTCCCTTTCCCTTGTGTGAAGAGGTAGTGCCCTCCTCGTTGACGTTGACTTGCGTAGAGGCAGCGGCAGCGGATGTCACTGGAACGTGTTCGAAAGGAGTGTCGCTTGAAGTGTCTTCAGACACACCAGCAAGGATCGACTCGAAGATATTGCTCAATTCAGACTGGTACTGGTCCATCAGACGCTCCTCGAGCCTGTCCTTGACTGAAGACTCGGCGTTGGACTCAGGGATTTCTTTGCCTTTTCCTTTCCCCTCGTGTAAGGAGGTGCTTGCCTCTTGCACAGGGGCCTTTGGGGTGGAAGCTTCGGCCAGTGTGGGCAGTTCCTGGGATTGTGGTAAGTCAGACGAAGTAGAGTCTGTGGACGTGAATGAACATACAGCATCCACAGGCAGGCCACAAGGCCAATATGCACCGAGCAATGTCTGTGCATTTGCGAGGAACCTGTTAGCCTCTGCAGCGCGGCGGCGAGCGCGGAGTTGTCGGTCCATTTCTTGCTCCTTGCGTTGAGCCTGGAAAGCAGCATACCGCCTTCGGATAGCGGCGTTGTAGTCGTGATGGAGTTGCTGGATTGCAGCCTTGCGGCTTGCCCTTGAGAGGGCAAGCTCGTATTCGTACTCAGCAAGGTCGTTTGTGGTGTAGCCGTAGTACGGAGACTGCGTATGAAGATAGTCATCGCGCTCTGGCACGCGGTTAAGCAGGCCATTCATGCTGAGAGCATTTGAGATGGACTGATTCCTAAGTCGCTGCTGCTGGAGAGCCCATGCACGTTGCTGTGCAGCATAAGGGTTGACATGGACAGATGGGTAGTGGTAGTTATTGGGTGTAGCGAAGACCAACATTGTGAATTGAATTCGAATGAGATGAGATTATGGGAGATGTCATGTTGAGCACTGAATTTATATGGCTGGACTGTGGGCTGTGGACTGTGGAATGACGAATCGTCTTGGTGAGCAGGATGTACGCGTAATTGACAGACGCGTCCACCAATTCATCGTCACTTCCACCAAATTCGAGAATGTACCCAATTAGGAAGGTCAGATGAGTAATCTTTGAATCATGAGGGCTCAAGCTAAGTCAGACCTCAGAGCAAGCGCTTTCTTCACTAACCTGGACCGGTAGTTGAATAGACTAGGACCATCATGCATCATGAACCACATCGTTTTGTTTTGTAGTAATACTAATTCCAAAAATTAGCATAAAAAGTTTGAACGCGTGGCTCGGCAAAACGGCAGACGCGTTGTTTGTGTCGTGCTTGGCTTACCTTCTTTCTCTCCTTCATGGCCTTTCCACAAGCTGCAAGTCGTTTCCTCGGTAAGAAACTGTTCGAATACAATCAAGTCTTTTAACATAGTACTGCTAAAGTGCCCCTTGGCTTGGCCGTTGCCGTTGCGCAAGCCAGTATCTACGATGTGCCAGGTGGTTTCCGGGCAGTCATGTTTGACCGCTTTTCTGGTGTAAAGGACACGGTGTGCAAACTCTTTCACAAGACTGCCACTTTATAGACAATCCAATACAGGCAACCAGTGAAGGCACTCACTTCCTAGTCCCATGGCTGCAAAGAGCAATCTTGTATGACTGCCGGATTAAACCCCGGGTACGTCATTTCCGTTACAACTATGCCTCTCCTCAAAAATTCTCTAGAAATTTCAACAACCACCGGTTCAAAAGACTTGCAAATGGTCTCCATCACACTTCGTGTCTTGTCCAGACCAGACGTCGAGCATCTACCTCGCATTTACCAAAGCCTTGGCTTGGACTATGACGAACGTGTCCTACCTTCCATCGGGAACGAAGTCCTAAAGGCTATCGTGGCACAGTTTGATGCTGCTGAATTGATTACGCAGCGTGAGGTGGTAAGTCGCTTGTTTCTCATCGTCGGGCCAGGTTCATAGAGCTTGCGCAGGTCTCGTCAAGAATACGCGCAGACTTGCTGCAACGTGCCGGCGAGTTTAACATCAAGCTGGAGGATGTGTCTATCACGCATCTGACATTCGGAAAGGTCCGTCGTCCTTTAACTTCATCTTATGCAACTTGACACCCTTTGTAGGAATTCACCCAGGTTTGCACGAGGCTAGGACATATTGGATCTATACCTAATTAACTTTACAGGCTGTTGAAGCCAAGCAAATAGCACAGCAAGGTAAGGTTTCGGCTACTGTATTACTATGACAATCTGACGTGCTGCAGATGCCGAGAGAGCCAAGTTCATCGTCGAAAAGGTGGGTTCTCGGTAAGGAGTTCACCTGATCAGGTTACTGACGGCATGCAGGCGGAGCAAGAGCGTCAGGCCGCTGTCATTCGTGCAGAAGGTGAGGCAGAAGCAGCAGCAACGATTTCAAAGGCCATGGACAAGGCTGGAGACGCCTTCATTGCACTGCGTAAAATAGAGGCAAGCAAGGCTATCGTGCAGAGCTTGGCTGCCAATGGGAATGTGACATATATTCCGAGCAGTGGTGTGTTATTAAACGTACCTACAAAGTAGTCCATCTACAAAGTTCTACTACTACTACCATTAAATTGAAATCGGCGATGACCGTGGGATCAATTCCCATGGATGATGTGGTGAAAAATGGGATTGTAAAGATCTTAGTCGACGACGAAGTGCGAAGAGGCCTGCAACGTCGTTCAAAGTCTCTCTTGTTCTCTTTTTCTTTGTCTCTTTCTCTCTCTCTTCTCGTGTTTTTCATTTTTCTGTCTATTCTCGACGGACAATCCTTAAGCTCTCTCTGATTTCAGTAATCAATTCTCCTGTGCGTCTTTTCATTTCCTCATCAATCTCTCCCAGCTCACTCAAAATTTATAGCCTCTCATTCTCATTCACTCTCCATATTAAATCATGAATCCAATGGGTGGTATGGGTGGCCATGCGGAGGCACCAGTGAGTACCCTTCTCAAAGCCCATAGATATGGTCTCATGCATGGCAGCGGAGGGCCCATCTTTACGTTGGGAACCTTAGTCCAAGAGTCACCGAGTACATGCTCACAGAGATCTTTGCCGTTGCCGGTGCAGTCCAACACGTCAAAATCATCCCTGACCGCAACTACCAGCATGGTGGTCTCAACTACGGTTTCGTCGAGTACATCGACATGCGCGCAGCTGAAACTGCTCTCCAAACTCTTAATGGACGCAAGATCTTTGACACTGAGATTCGCGTCAACTGGGCTTATCAAGGCCAGCAAAACAAGGAGGACACTACCGGTCACTATCACGTTTTCGTCGGTGACCTCAGTCCAGAAGTCAACGATGAGGTCCTCGGCAAGGCTTTCAACGCGTTCTGCACAATGTCTGACGCTCGCGTGATGTGGGACATGAATTCGGGAAAATCACGCGGTTATGGGTTCCTCGCCTTCAGGGATAAGACTGACGCAGAGCAGGCCATCGCGACTATGAATGGCGAATGGCTTGGCTCACGTGCTATCCGCGTCAACTGGGCAAATCAGAAGACTCAGGGAGGGCTGCCTGCTCCTCCACGCCCCGGAGGCAGCGTCGGTACCGCACCTGCCCCCATCAACTTCCAGGGTGGGCCCCTCTCTTATGAATCCGTCGTCCAGCAGACTCCTTCGTATAACTCCACCGTTTACGTTGGAAATCTCGTCCCGTACTGCACCCAAGCAGATCTCATTCCACTGTTCCAGTCCATTGGGTACCTCTCGGAGATTCGCATGCAGGCAGATCGCGGATTTGCGTTCGTGAAGCTCGATACGCACGAGCATGCTGCCATGGCTATCGTACAACTGCAAGGACAGATGGTCCACGGCCGTCCCATCAAGTGCAGTTGGGGCAAAGACCGGGCTGACGGGACTCCTGCGCAGCCCGGAGCGCCGCTTAGCCCGACGACTCCAGCGGCTCCCTATGGAAACATGGTGAGTATTTTCGCTTATAAAAATATTCCTTAGAAGGCTCACTGATTCTATGACAGCCCATGTATGGGATACCTCAGCCTAATACTTACGGCCAGTACGGGTTTGGTGGATACGGTGGTTTCCCTAACCAAGGCGGTGCTGGTGGGTCGCCGACGCCTGGCATGCCTCAGGCTAGTCCTGGTGCCGTCGGTTCTGGTCTTGGCAGTGCAGGAGCGGGTGGTGTGGATCCTTCTGCTGTTGGTGCTGGTGCTGGTGCTGCCGGTGCTCAATGGCCCACTGGAGATGCTGCTGCTAGTTACTATGCTAATTACTGGGGTGGTGAGTGTCTTCTTTTCACACGTACCAACCACCTCTTGCTCAACGATTCTTTTTTCAGGATATTACGGCCAGCAAGGCCAAGGCGCCGAAGGCCAGGGTGCTTAAAGAATCCTTGTTTGCTCCATGTTTTATTCATCATCGATATCGTGCTCGTGTCCCCTCCCGAATGTAGCCAGCGAACATCGTCCATCCAAGCCAAAGTGTTTTTTTTCTCGCCTCACCACTCGAATCCAAAATTGTGAAAGCTGTGCTTTTGTATGGTGCCTTCATCCAAGAACAGTCTTATCCTTGTTTTCCGTCTCGTCATTTGTTATTGACTGGTTCCAATTATTCATTTCCCCTTCTGCGTCTCTTGCTAATGAAGTATTTCATCTTCTCTTGTTCTCTTTCTCTCCGTCTTTGATTGTTGTTTGTGTATATATCCTCGGTAGATGCGCGGTTTCCCATTAAACTAGGTCTACTCGACGGTGCAATAGGTTTTTCTTTGATAGTAAAGTCCACGACTTAGCTGAAAAGTCCAATTACGACCGATCATTTGTTCATCCTGATGTTCCGTGAGTCAGAAAGGGTATGTGATTATAAGGGGGTAGTATGTGCATGAAGTAGGGTCTACTCATCGTCCACCATCAACCATTCGGAGTCTGATCCAAGCTCGTCTCCCCCTGCAACTTCGTGCCATCCGTCAATGTCTCCCCTACTCCCTCCCCCTCCTTCACCCCATTTCCCGACACCGAAGTACTATTCCCTGATACTGGTTTTCCATCACCGCCATCACGCCAGTTGAGCACAGCCTGATGCCGCGAACGCATATCCTCATAGAAATCGTTCGCCTCGTTCATCTTGTTTGCTTGTGCCTGCTTATCATCAAGCCATCGTTGAAGGAGTTTAGCATTATCCTTCGTTAGCGTCTGATTCCGTTCATCGATCTGGCCGAGTTCAAGCTGAAGCGTGTTGATCTCATCATGGAGGACCTACGCACGAGATTAAGATCGATCAGAAAAGGGGAGATATAAGCGTACCTGGGCAGTACGATCTTTCTCAGCCATAAGCTCTGCATGCTGATCGACCTTCCTACGCAGATGTGCGACTTCCTCGCGCGCTTTGCGGAGGTTCTCAGTCTCGAGGCGCGATGCTTCTTCCTTTTCGCGGAGGGTTTCGTTCATGGCTAGCAGGCGTTGAGCGTTCTGGCCTTGTGTCTTGTATACGGTCGCGAGCTCATCGCGGAGAGATGAAATCTGGGATTCGAGCGAGGCCATGTACGCTGCACGCACAGGATTGCTTTTCCAGATAACATGAGGTTGACGCGCGTGCGTTGAATGAGATGGATGGACTTACTCTTCACTTGATGCCGTTCCAGGTACATGGACCGTCGAGCTACTTGGATTGGCGCGAACGGAGCCGACGGCTTTGAGGAGAGATGCATTACGCTCTTTGAGGAGCTTGGTTTGTTGAGCGAGCCTGCGGTCTGAATTGGGGGATTAGCGGAGTCTCTTATGGATTGTTTGAATGATGAATCGTACATTGCTCGATGATAGATGCGAAAGCGTTTTGTTTTGCATTTCGCTCTGATAGTCTGAGGCGGAGAAGCTCTTGCCAGGATGGCTCGGCCATGGAAAGTTTAAGGGATCTGCAGCTACACGCTGCATGAAATTCAGTATAGGCGTGACAGCATCACAGTCACGTAGCATGTCTTGAAAAGGAAGGTAGTCTTCATGTCAATACGATACATCCCCTGAGGAATTCACTTATATTCTAAGGAACGAGCGTGATCAAAGTATAGGGTATAGTAAAGAGTACATGAGATGTGATCATGTGCCGATATTCAGGGCTGTTCGTAGTAATAATATCGCAATAATATCATACTCACAAGGAAAACGCAAACTTACCGCGCGAATGGCCGACAGGATTCACCATGACAATGTCCAGTTAATAAAACATTGTAAGTGCTTCAATGAGACCGAGAGCAGCGCTCTGACTCCAACAGTTAGAACGACATTTCTCCATGGATTCATCCTCGGAAAACGCGATGAGGCTCTCGATGGTGAAGGCGTGATACCCGCACCTCGATATCTATGTCTGAGCGCCCCTGTGAGTGTTCTATGGTTACTGTGGTTCTCGGGACTATGGCAATCAAAGCCCCTGCCCGTATCGGTTCAATTGAGCTGACCATCGAGAAACGGTAACCAAGAAGGTGCGGAAATTCATTGGCAAGCGCAGTCAAAGGGATGTTGAGACCACATAATTATGACGGATGTATATCTCGGCGATGAACTCACATATAGAAATAATTGTGCCTCGATGGTCAGCCATAGACTTCACCTTAAAATGGTCTTGTATGTCTGTTATTCTGTGACCTAACGGTTGTCCCTCAGGCCTGAGTCAATGTTCAATGTTTGGAGGACGGGCTTGGCCCATATAGATCATCGTCAACGCTGTGTACGCGGTCGGCTGCGGTCCAGCTACAGACGAGCTATTCGACCGCGCATTCCATTAAAGATAGAAGGCAAGGTTGACGGCGACATAGCACCGTGCACTGAGAGTGTGACATGAGCGTGACTACGGACGGCGATTACCGGATATGAGCTGTTGTAGTTTGGTTCTCCCACGAGATGTAGACGTGCTTACTGTTGCTGGCATACCTTTCATTTTCCTTTATACAACTTTTCCTATATCCTCATCCTCCTTTACCGTTCTCTAGTCTTTCCTTACCCCTTTGTTTACTTTCTGCTCGTCCGGGGTTATGGGCGTCGTCAGCAGTTGCTGTGAATCCTGTTGTAAGCATTACAAACTAATATAGACTTAAATCCCTCTCATAAATTTCTACAAGTTCGCTCGAGGAGATCTCAGCAGTACGAGCCTCTTCTTCTCGAGAATGAACGAGAGGCAGTTGCAGACCTTCTTCAATATCTAGAGAGTATGTATTCAATATAGAAAAAACTAACTTTTGCTCACATGAACATCTAGACCGCACAACCACCAACTTCTTCCAAGGCTCCCCGCTCACCGCATTAACTACCCTATCTTTTTCCGATAATGTCGACCTGCAGCGCAGTGCTGCACTTGCATTCGCCGAAATTACTGAGAAGGAAGTGCGCCCTGTGGGTCGAGATACTCTCGACCCAATTCTTTTCCTCCTGAGCAGCCAGGACACGGAGGTGCAGCGTGCTGCTAGCGCCGCCCTTGGAAACTTGGCCGTTAATAGTGCGTTACACCGCGTTTATGCATTCTCCCTTACTGATGTCACGCACGCAGCTGATAACAAGCTTCTCATCGTGAAACTCGGAGGCCTGGAGCCACTCATTCGCCAGATGCTGAGCCCAAACGTCGAGGTGCAGTGTAACGCCGTAGGCTGTGTCACAAACCTTGCAACACATGGTAGGTCCAGCCCATATCGATGGTGATTATCGATGATTGACTCGCTTCTAATCACTCGCTTGTCCCTTTCTGATTTGCTTCTGTCATCTGATCCTTTGACACCCTAAGATGATAACAAGACGAAAATCGCAAAGTCAGGCGCACTTGTTCCACTTACTCGGTTAGCACGGTCCAAAGATATGCGCGTTCAACGAAACGCTACTGGGGCCTTGCTAAACATGACCCACTCAGGTACGTAACAGTTCCTATTGGAGGACTAATCTAGAATCAATGAGCTTTAATAGATGAGAATCGACAGCAACTTGTGAACGCGGGTGCCATCCCCGTGCTGGTGAGCTTGTTGAATTCAATGGACACAGATGTCCAATACTATTGCACGACCGCGTTGAGCAATATTGCCGTCGATGGAGCAAATAGAAAGAAACTAGCCCAGAGCGAATCAAAGCTCGTAACGAGCTTGGTAGCCCTTATGGATAGCCCAAGTTTAAAGGTTCAGTGTCAAGCTGCCCTTGCTCTACGGAATTTGGCTAGCGATGGTACTTATTCTTCTCTTTGACGCTTCTACTGTTTAACATCGGTTTCGCAGAGAAATACCAACTAGAAATCGTCAAAGCTGACGGTCTTACTTCACTTCTCCGACTGCTCCAGTCTACGTACCTCCCACTCATCCTATCATCTGCTGCATGTGTCCGTAACGTCTCCATCCATCCACAGAACGAGTCCCCTATCATCGATTCCGGGTTCCTGCAGCCGCTCATTAACCTTCTGTCATTCAAAGACAATGAGGAGGTTCAATGCCACGCCATTTCCACACTGCGTAATCTTGCTGCCAGCTCGGAGAAGAATAAGACGGCGATCGTGAAAGCAGGCGCAGTGCAGAGCATTAAAGAACTCGTGCTGGAGGTGCCAATGAATGTGCAGAGCGAAATGACTGCCTGTGTCGCCGTGTTGGCCCTGAGCGGTCAGTCACATGCGTTTCGTCATAATATCTGCTAACGGGTTTGACAGATGAGCTCAAGGGCCAATTGCTTGAGATGGGTATCTGTGAAGTGCTGATTCCGTTGACGAATTCGCCTAGCTCAGAAGTCCAAGGCAACAGTGCTGCTGCCCTTGGTAATCTATCATCGAAAGGTAGGTTTAGGAGGTTTGATCCTACCAGGAATTGAACCTTTTTTTTTCAGACGGCCGAACTGCATCTGACGACTATTCTGCATTTAACGACGTATGGGAGAAACCCGATGGCGGCATGCACCGATACCTTTACAATTTCTTGACGAGCGTAGACGCCACCTTCCAGCACATTGCTGTTTGGACGATCGTGCAGCTACTGGAATCGGGAGATCCTCAATTAATTAGTAATATCCGCCTGTCTGGCCTTTTGAACCCCTCGATCAGGCAGCTCGCACTGTCACGTACACCATCGGCAACGTCTTCCGTTGGTACGCCTCACTCGCACCGGTCACAATCACAATCATACGCAGAAACAGACACCGGCGATGGTCAAGGGGAGATCCAGCTGCTTGCACGGCGGATTCTGGAGTTTGTTGACGGGGATGTTGATGGGGGACTTCCGCGAAGCGTAGCCGGGTCTCACATGGCGGGGTCTTCTGTTAGCAGTGCCAGGGACGAGGAACTCAGAAGGAGCGTGCGGGAGGCGTTTTCGACTGGTTCTCACCACTAGCCAGGGCGGCTAGTAGGAACGGTATATATCCTCTGTTCACGGTCTGTGCCTTGCCTTTCCGTTGTACATCCTTTGCCTTGTTGATCGTTGTGCATCTTCTTTTCTTAATCATATACTTATGTCTTTAGTTTTAGTTTTAGTTTTTTTGTTTCATGGCTGATGAGTTTTCTTTTAACGGTTTCGGATGCCTCATGTTGATTGAACGGTGACGATTACGATTGAATGCTTGTGCATATAGTGACGAATAGACTTTACTGCTGCCAACGTTATCTTGTCTGTGGGAGTAAAGGCCTTAAGGCCCGAAGGATTTAGGTCCCCATTTCGAAAGAGGGTGGAGTTTCCTAATGAGGAATTGAATGAGTAAATTTAGATTACACTATTGTTCCACGACGCTGTGATCACAATTCTCATTCTTGTACCGTAGCCACAATGACAATAGTTGTTGCCTTCACAATGGACCTGTTGCTTTTAATCTCTCTTCATTATAGACTTACACCGGACGGTTGAACCGTCCCACAGACTCGGAGGGCCTATATAACGTTTGCGCCTTAACGGCCTCGTGTTTCAAAAGGCCGAGGCACAATTCCGTTCCTTCCAAGTGAGGCAGACTCGTTTTCAAAATCAAATAAGCAGAACGGGTTTATCGCGTGGTTTCCTAGTTCGCTTGATAAGGTGTGTTTATACTGGAGTCTCTCCACACTCTTAACTCTTTCTATTTCTCTTCTAGTAGTACTTATTATTGGACCACCAGGCTCAATAAATTTCTTCGCTGCTCACGCTCTGGATCGTGGCCCGGTGCTTCGATCACTCGTGAGCTCTTTTATTCGCAGAACACGTCCAGTGTTCACTAGACTTCCCCACCCCCATCTAATTACTGCCTTCACGAATCACGACTCGCAATGCACACTTTCCTTCCGCTCATTGCTCTCGCACTCGCCTCTCTGTCCCTGGTGCAAGGGAAATCATTAATCCTCACCCATACACACAAGGCAGCCGTTAAGCACAGTGCTGGCCTCGCGCGCGACCTTCGCGTGGCGTTCGGCGGCATCCTGGCTACACAGCCCAGCTCCTCATCAAATCAGAACTTCTACTGCGTTGGATCAGATGGGGAGGGGGTCAGTATGCCTCCATCTAGCAATTCATCTTCATCCCCGACCACGAACGGAAACCCAACTTCCACTGGAACGGCTGCGCCGTCAAGCACAAGCGTTGCACCATCATCTTGGAAGGTAGCAGAGAGTTATAGTGGGAAGACGTTCTTCAACGGCTGGACCTTCTTCACTACAGCAGACCCGACCAATGGGAATGTTCAGTATGTAGATCAAAGCACCGCTCAGAGCGCAGGCTTAGTCGAGATAAATTCCGACGGGAACGCCGTGATGCGCGTTGAAACAACGCCACAAGTACAGACCAATCGGCAGAGTGTGCGGATCACGACTCAAGCCACTTTTAATGGTGGCTTGGTTGTAATGGATGCCGTGCATATGCCTACTGGATGTGGAACGTGGCCTGGTATGTGGCGATGTGTTCTTGCATTTTGTGGGATTCTTCTGACATCGGTTCTAGCCTTTTGGACAAATGGCCCTAATTGGCCAGCTGGAGGCGAGATCGACATCGTCGAGGGCGTGAATAACTACACGAACAATCAGGCGACGATTCACACTAACCCAGGATGTGTATTACCCTCTTCCAGCAGCGCCTCGCTTAATATATCCGGAACATTGGTTGCGTCTACCGACTGCTCAGCGTCCCAGACTGATAACCAGGGGTGTGGAATTCGTTCCAATTCGAGCAACTCGTTTGGATCAGGGTTCAATGAAATTGGTGGTGGTGTTTATGCTAGTAAGTATCCTAACCATAGCCTTCTATAAATACGCTAATGGTGGGTACAGTGCTCTGGGACGACACCGGCATTAAAGTATACTTTTTCCCTCGTGGATCAATACCATCAGATATCTCTGCAAAAGCACCGCAGCCTCAGAATTGGCCGGCTCCTATGGCCGACTGGCCCTCCACGGATTGCAATCCATACCAATTTTTCAATAACAATTCCGCTATTTTCGATACCACGCTTTGGTAAGTTTCTATTCATACACAACTGAACATCTTGATGGTAATTCGCATGCAGCGGTGACTGGGCAGGCGGCGTTTGGACTGGTACAGGCGTGCCTGGGCAAACAGTGAGCTGTGCACAGCAGACTGGTTTCTCAACGTGCTCGGCATTCGTCCAGGCCAGTGGTGGCTCGTTCACGGAAGCTTGTAAGTTCTGTATCTTGTCTATATTGCTATTCAACGTCGCTCACTGTGGCTACAGACTGGGAAGTGTCCAGCGTTGTGATCTACCAGAACACATCATGAAATATTCACGACACTGGAGGAAACACAAACTTTTTATAGATCTACCGTTGTATTTACTAGGATATATATTATAGCTCTACGTCTGGAATTACACGGCCACACACGCCAGCCGGTGTTTAAAGTTACTAGGGTGTGATCTTGAAGATGTCCAAGTCAAGCTTATCGCGGATAACCACACGGGAATGCACAAGTATATTACAAGTACGTTGCCATGAATAAATGGTGCTATGGCTCCGAGACAGTCCTAATCATAAGATCCCCCCTCTTCTCTGCCTCGCCAGCCTCCATGCGAGCAGAATGACTGCCAAACTGCATCGCCTTTTTCTTCCTCACGCTCGCCTCAAGAAGCCCTACCTTTTGCGCAGCAAGCCGCAGCAGCATTTTATCCCCGAGCCCCAGCTCCAGCCGCGGATCAAGCTTAAGATGTACAGGGAGTCCCGCAAGAAAAGAGACAACCGTGAGCGAAAGGAATGGATGGCGCGTTTCCTTGCCATGTGAAGAAATTACGCGGTCATCTCGTCCAAGGTTGCGAGTCGGTATGCGGTCCAGTTCGAGCTGGAGCTGGATGACATGACATCATGAGGATGTTGTTGTAAGCTGTAGGAGGGGAAGGTGGCTTACCTCGTCGATAACGCCCTGCCAGCCTCGAGTCGCGTACGCAGTACGGTGACGGCCGTATCCACCAAGTAGCTCATCGGAGCCGAGGCCATTGAGTAGGACTCGTGCTGTGCTAGTGTATGGCTGATAGTCATCGGGCACTGCCGAAATTCGGACTCGGCCTACCCCTTTGGAGGCAAAGTAAAGCGCCATAGCAAGACTCTGGGGACATGACATCAGAATGTTGTCTAACTTAGGAAGGTAACCTTACAAGATCCATCACTGTTCGACCAGGGAACATGATGGCTTCGACAGTTGCCCGCGCAGCTTGAGACTCCTATTTTATTATAGTTATGAAGTCTCGTAGATCTGAGGGTAAGAACGGACCTCGTATGGAACATCCACCTCGACCTAGTGAAATGAGCAACGTTCTTGTCGAAGAATTAATACTCACAAAATTCCATGTCCTGCCGGGACATATCCGCTTGAACTCTTCGACTTCCTGCAAGCCTGTCACACGGTCCGGAACCATGTACGAAGTGGATTCCTTCACCGCTCCATTGATCTCTGCTGCTTTGAGTTGTCGCTTCTTTTCGCGCTTGGGAATAGCCCCTATGTTACCATCAGTTTGAACCTGTATCTTTCGCGGATTCTGGAAGGCCACATTGAGCAGATCTATGGGTTCATCCAGTGGTACATGTCTAGAGAACACGAAATAAGAACAAACACCACAACAAAGTATGGTATCAAAGTACCTATGTGCAAGGAAGGCTAGCATTGTTGAATCGATGCCGCCACTGAAGAGGACTGCGACCTGCGCTCTCCCCCTTTCGGACGACGTTCTTCCCGGGATATTTTGAACACGAAGCATCACACTCTTGTCCAGGTGATCGATAAGGTGATCGATGGCGATGGCCAGGTCACGCGGTACTATTGCAAAGTCCAACGAGGACACAAGTGGCGGTGCATCCGGAGGAAGCGTGGCGTTCACGCGACCAAGTTTTGCCTACAATAGGTCAAATTATCAAAAGCACATGTCATCTCAAATGTACTCACGAATGGCAGAATTTGCTGATCAATATGTCGTGGAATACATGTCAAGCTGCTGTCGAAATGTTGCGTGATCTACATAGGTTAGGAACTAGGATGCGCCTAGCGCGGGCTGATTTAGTACCTCTTTGGATTCGCACAGTTGTCCCACATCGAGGCAAAATATCCCATCAGTAGATAGTTCTTCCATGACGTATCCTTGATCATCTCCAACGGAGACAGATGCAAGTAAGAAATATGGATTAAACACAGAAGGCTTGTGGATGAGCAGAGATCGGCGTCCAAGGGGGTCTCGAGCAAAGTACAATTTTTGAGATTCGGCCTATGTATAGAAATGTCAGATGATCATAATCCATTAGAATACTGCCAGCGCAGCCTACATGGTAATAGACAAATGCATATCTATTGCATACTGTACTTCAGCAGGGAAAGATTGCCCACAACGAAAATAACTCACGGTCCCTCGATCCTCCCCAACAGAGAAGGGAGATCATCCATCGCAGAGTGTGCGTGTATGCTTTGAAAGAGTTTTGCGCCATCATTTTCATATGCATCGACCTATGTCAAAATGACATTAGCCCTGGCCACGAAGGTAGAGGCTTCCGACTCGCATCCAAGCCTTCGAAAACCTCGCCATTCCAGCAAAAGACATCCCCGTCCTGTTGATGAGGCTGCACTATGGGTTCGTCGCCTCGAAGCCGGAGCTCAGAAGCAAAGAACTCAAGGTCGAGTGCTGCCAGGCCGCATGTCTTGCTCGGAGATGGGGCCTGTGCTTCACCAGACCATGTCCCTTGGACTCGGACGTGATGAGTTCCTTGTGCATCGGGACCTGTGGAGTAGTACCTCAATCGGTTAGCCTAGCTGTCGAACGGGAATGCATCAAACACACCACGAGCGGCATTGGCGACTTTTAATCGCTCGGACAATTCGTGATAAACGGCATTGTTCGGTCCGCCATGAATGTTATCAGTATCGCCACAACATCCTACGTGAAGCGAGCAGAAGATGCCGCACATGAAGAGTCTGAGACTGTCTGAGAGTTTCTAGTATCGACCGAATCCGGCCGCCATTTGATTCTTATGAAATCAGATGTAACTCATCCGGGCCGCCTCTCAGGCTGATCTTCACGCCAAAATTATAGAAGCCAGTCATTGATTTATTGTGCTACTCCCACAACATGATACGTATCATACTTAATAATGCACCTGAAATACAGTTGCGGTACAAAAATTGATGAGAAAACGCAGAACAGAATCTATCGAGACAAGACAAGTTGGTCGTACGTGTTTCATGTCCACCTCTAAGCGGAGTACGAGCTGGCAGAGACATTGCCTCCACGGCCAGTCCAGTTGATGTCTGAAGGTTACATGGTTAGAGACGTGCAGACAGATAGAGACGGAGCACATACGGATGTCGCGATCCTTGGGCAGGCGGGCGTTCTCCTTACCGGACACCACGCGGAAGGTGTGTGCACCAAAGTAATCACGCTGGACAGTTGGTGAGCATGTTATCTGGTCAGACGCCATGTGAGCGTACCTGAGCCTGGAGGAGGTTGGCAGGAACCACTTCACTCCTGTAACCATCGAAGAAGGCAAGGGCGGTCGAGAAGGCGGGGGTGGGAATGCCCCAGAGGCAGGCCTGAGCGATGACACGCCTCCAGCCAGGTTGTGCTTTGTGGACAGCTGCATACAACGTCATTGGATGGTACCAATCAAATGACTATTTATACGAACCCTTGTTGAAGAAGTTATCAAAGAGCAGAGACTCGAGGTCCTTGTTCTTCTCGTAAGCAGAGGTGATGTCACCGAGGAACACACTCTGGCAAAAATGTAAGCCTCGGCAGCAGCATAGACGGGTTCACGTACCTTGATGATGCATCCGCCTCGCCACATACGAGCGATGCCAGCGTAGTTCAAGTTCCAGTCCAACTAGACTTCCTGGTCAGATTGTATACTTCGATTGTTTGAACGTTACCAACCTCCTTGGCAGTCTCCCTCATGAGCATGAAGCCCTGTGTGTAAGAGATGATTTTGGAGGCATACAATGCCTGTTCAAGGTCATCGATAAACTGTTGCTTGTCGCCGCGGAAGGGTTCCCTTTGAGGGCCATTGATAACTTTGCTGGCGCGCACGCGCTCTTCCTTGATAGCAGACAAGCAACGTGCGAACACAGCCTCACCGATAAGCGTGACTGTTAATCGCGGTCAGATCGCACTTTGATCGGGTGAGCAGTGGCATACCGGCAGTGCCAGCGTCAAGGGCAGCAATTGCCGTCCATTTTCCGGTACCCTTCTGACCAGCCTTGTCAAGAATTTTTGTGACGAGGGGTTCACCATCGTCGTCGTTGAATTTGAGAATGTTGGCAGTAATCTCAATGAGGAAGGAGTCAAGGACACCCTTGTTCCACGTTGTGAAGATGTCAGCGATCTCACTCTCGTGGATACCAAGGCCACGTTTGAGGATATCGTAGGCCTCAGCGATCAGCTGCATGTCACCGTATTCGATACCTGGAATGATTTCCTTAACCCCACAAATTACAGTGGGGTAAATAATGATAATCACCATTGTGAACCATCTTGACGTAGTGACCAGAACCAGTCTCGCCAACCCAGTCACAGCAGGGTTCACCGTTGACCTGAGCAGCGGTTTTCTGGAAGATCTCCTTAATAGCGGGCCAGGCAGCGGTTGAACCACCAGGCATGAGAGAGGGGCCATGACGAGCACCCTCCTCACCACCAGAGACACCAGAACCGACGAAAAGGAGACCCTTGGCCTCAAGCTCCTGGGTGCGGCGGATGGAATCAGGGTAGTGTGAGTTACCACCATCGATGACGATATCGCCCTTCTCCAAGTAGGGCTCGAGTTGCTGAATGAAGCTGTCGACAGCAGGACCAGCCTTGACAAGAAGGATGATCTTGCGAGGGCGCTTGAGCTTAGCACAGAGCTCCTGGATAGAGTGTGCGCCCTGGACCTTAGTACCTATAGGGAAAGACCGAGTCAGCGATAGGGATGAGGGGTATGAGGTCATAGATAACCTTTTGCCTCGTTGGCGAGGAAATCGTCGACTTTGCTGGTAGTACGGTTGTAAGCAACAACGGTAAAGCCTTTGTCGTTCATGTTGAGGATCAGATTTTGACCCTTTTGCCAAAGTCACATCATGCAACGGCTGATATGCATAGATATCTTACCATGACGGCAAGACCGATGAGGCCGATATCACCTCTGCGGGAGAGAGGGGTCAGCATGTTCATTCTACATGACCGTCATCATAGGACGCACACTGGGGCCGACATTGTGTGTTTGCGAAAGATGTAGTTAAGGAAGAATAGAGGATGATGAAATTATGAAGGAAAGATGGGTTGCAACCTCGATGGATTAACTTGATTAAGAGTCCAGCGGAGCACGGCAATCTGCAGGCGTGAGACTCCACATATCAATTTCCTCCCATGCTCTGAATCAGCCAAATGGATGGCGATGATTTGGATCACAGCCCAATGGCTCAATTCACTTATGATAACAGAAACTTCGAGACCAAGCAAAATCTCCATATCGCCGGCGTAATTATCGCAAAGATGCCTATGCCAAAAGCACGTAGCGTAGTGAGCGTTTGCTAACGTGGAAACCATATCCAGTTAGCTGAGGCGCATCCTTCGAAACGCGTCTTCGCCAGCGCGATACTATGAGTGACAGACAGACTGTCGTGGGCAATATGACCGACAGCGAGAGAAAATTCTTTCAAAAATGCATGTTCGACTGCGAAAACAAATGTTTGAGACTCACCGACGATCTCACACAACATATGGCAGTGAGGACAAGGCTGCCGCCAGAAGTGAAAGACTCTTCAAGTGAGCCAATAGCCACCTGGTTGATCCGGAGACTCTGTGTTACCTTTCCCAGTCTTTTTGCGCCTAACCAACGCGTGGGCCGGAACGTGTCTTTTCTAACCACTGAGCTTAAAGTAATCATTACCACGAAACACGTCCATTCTGTGACGAGGGCAAATCTTGCTTCCTAATTTTAGTCTGGGACAAGAACGTAGCTTATAGAGCTTCTAGCTATAGATATAACTGTTTACTGCGCCCGCGTTTCGACAACGCTGATCCGGTACACGAGCGCGAGTGGCACATGTCATCTGTTCGACAGTCTTTCCCTCTCTCCATCGATACGGCCCAGAGATCAGGAGTGGTGTGTGAAGGATGGGTCCTCAAGAAGAGAAGGAAAAAGATGCAAGGTATGTGTTTTAACTCTGACCTCTCAAGTCCTTCCCAGCTCATGGAACTCCGGTTGTCGTGTAGGCTTTGCACGGAGGTACTTTGTCCTCGACCAGTTAGGATCCTTGTCCTACTCCATCGATCCAAAACGCCCCATACGCGACCAGATATTCCTCCCCCATGCTGCGTTGTCCACTGCTGTTGGTCGTAAAGATATACACGTAGACTCAAGTAATGCCACGTTTCATATCAAGTGTTTGACCGCAGATGACTTTAATACATGGTTAACTGCAATAAGGTGAATCAAGATTCTGGAATTCTGACGTGTTTGACACTAAAAGTGGCACGCGTAGACAGTTTGTTCTTCCCGAAGGACGACGGTCTCTTGCAGGAAAGACCACATCTCGGCTGAGTCAATCCCAGTTTAATAGATCTGGGATTATAGCTGAAGGAATTGGCTCTGTATGTACTCACCCCATTGCTCAGCACAAAGGCACATCACTGATGCGCTCAACAGACAATATCTGAGTTGGAAGCTGCTCTCGCTGCCCTCCAATCCGAAAGTACACATGAGAGGAGTCACCCTTCACTGAAGTCTAAGTCGGAGAAGGATAAACATCATCACCATCCGAAAGATGTCTTCAACATGTTCAAAAAATGTGTTCCTCCATCCTTCCTTTGGATCACTGCGTTTGCTGACCCAAGTCCTTTCAGCCCACCAGGCTAACGAGGATGGCACGCTACCAAAGAGCAACCTTGATTCTCCGTCGAACATTCGCTTTCAACAAATCAACACGGCCCTTGCATCTCTTAAGTCACAGCATGCTGCCCTGCTCAAGTCCTTAGCGCATGATGTCACAGCACCACCAACAGCTCGCGGCTCTCCTCTTCCTCCTACTACAGAAGAGAAGGAAGAAGAACCTCTCTCAACTTCACGCTTCAACACAGCACTCTCTCGTAGATCCAACTTAGCGATCTCCATGTCGAGTCTGAGCGACAGTGCACATAACGAATGGTTTGACGCCGAAGAGAATGTAGGCGAGGAGTTTTTCCTGGACGTGCCCAACCCAGATGAGGAGAAGGAGCTCGTAGTTCCCCAATCCGAAACTAGTAGCTTAAATCAAATCGCATCTAGCGATGAGGAGGAGCATTCCCTACCTCTAGTCCCTGATACAGATCCCTCCGTGAACGCTACTCGTCAAGTGGTACGACGGACGCATTTACCTTCGGGACCGATCGGTGACGAGGGCAGTTTGTTCGCCATTCTCAAGAACAATGTTGGAAAGGTGGCTTCTGGTGCTTCGGATACTACAGACCCATGGCTAATGAATCTGTCGAAGGACTTGACTACAATCACTCTTCCCGTATCATTCAATGAGCCCCTGACTTTATTACAACGCACAGCAGAAGAACTGGAATATTATGACTTGCTACATCAAGCAACTGAGGCTAAGGATCCCACTCAACGCTTATGCCTCGTTGCCGCATTTGCCGTGTCCGGGTACGCACACACAAGATATCGGACCGGTCGCAAAGGCTTGTAAGTTAGGTACATCGTATTTTACTTCTTCCGATGGCCCTAACAACTTAGTTAGCAATCCCATGCTCGCTGAAACGTTTGAAGATGTGCGAATGAAGTTCCTGGCTGAGAAGGTGTCCCACAATCCTGTCGTAATTGCATACCACGCAGAAGGCAAAGGCTGGGAATTGAACGCAACTTCGGCCGGGAAGACCAAATTTTGGGGTGAGGATCATGCCTGATAGCTGTGCCTGTGGTTGACGTGCTTGATTTAAATATAGGCAAGAGCTTGGAAATCATCCCCCTTGGGACAACGCGGCTCAAGATTGGGAAT